CCTTCATGAGGCTCAGGAATTCTCCTGAGGCTCTGGGAACCAAAGTCACTTGCCCAAGGTCACAACAGCTGAAGCTAGCAGTAGCTTTTGAACAGTTCAGAGGGTCCCCAGGGCACAGCTGTCCAGGAGCCCTTGGCGCAGCAACCACGGTGATTTGGTCCAGCAGTTAATTAGTAACTGGAGATCCTGAAGCCAACTCCCAGCTGGGCTGGAAGGTGGGTGACAGGTCACTCCTGCCTGGGAAGGCTGCTGGGTGAGTCAGGATTGGGTAGACAAAGAAAGCACAATTCTCTGGGATCTGCGCTGGGACCCAGGGTTTCGAGGTGAGGAGCGCCCCTGTGAGCAGAATACCTGCCTTGCTCGCAGCTCTCTGAAGCAGTGTCTTCTGTATTCCGTCTGACTGCCGAGGCTAGGTGCTTCCTAACTACCCATTTTCTCTTTCCCTTGCCCTCCCTAACTTCATCCCCTGTCCTCTTTTTCCTCTACCAAGTTTTCTTACTCCCTAGCTCCTTCCCCTTTCTCCTGCCTTCCCATCCAACTGACTCCTTAATTTCTTCTTCTCTGCCTAATTTCTCCTTTCTTAATGAGCCAGCTCATGTCTTCACTTCATCCCCATTTTCTTTCTTTCCATTTTTAACTGTCTAATCTCTTCTGGAGATTCTAGGTAATCTAGGCAGTGGGTTTGGGGGTCAGCTTGCCTGAGTTCAAATCCTATTTATATCATTTATTGACATGGTATCTCACTTGAGCTATTTCTCTTCACCATGCCTCAGTTTCCTCCTCATTTAAACAGCAGTAACAGGACTGGGGGTGTTCAGCTTAGACGTAGAGCACTTGATTGGGAGTCCTGGATTCAATCTTCATCAGCACACAATTCTCTCTCTCTCTCTCTCTCTCTCTCTCTCTCTCTCTCTCTCTCTCTCTCTCTCTCTCACACACACACACACACACACACACACACACATATGTATGTGTGAATGACGACAATTCCAGGAACAAAATAAGAAGACAAGTGAAGCCAAGCACGATGACAGAAGCAGATACAAGGAGAGGCCATTGGGCAAAGTTTTTAGGGGAGGCAAATGATGACCCATGAAAGGGTTAGGCAAGCAGGCCATGTTGGTGGGGCGATGTTCAAGAGAGACGGGGGGGGAGGGGATGAGAGAGAGAGAGAGAGTTGTGTTATTCCTGCCCTAGCCCACTGTGCAGGCCTAGGGAGATGGAAGCAGGCACACCAGGGATGGGCCAGAGAAAGGCAAGTTTAGGCAGCAGCAAGGGATGGGAGGGAGGGATGATATTAATGGCCCTTGGATGAGAGAAGGGCTGGTGAAATCGCTCACTGGATAAAAACACTTGCCATCAAGCCTGATGAAATGAGTATGATCTTGGTGGAAGAACAGAACCAACTCCTTCAAGTTTTCCTCTAATACACACAATACACACACACACACACACACACACACACACACACACACACAGACAGACGAACAGACAGACAGACAGACAGACAGAGAGTCAATAAATGTAATAATAAAAATAAAATAATGGGGAGAAGACACTGACAACAGGTTGGACCAGGTTGGACCTATCACAAGACAGTAACACAAGAGAAAGGGGACTCAGAAACTAGAGGGATGGAATGGGGTCTTAGCCAAGATGGCAGGAGACTGGGCAGGGAACACATTGAAGTGCTGCTGAGGCTTGGTACTTGAGTAATTAAACAGTGACACAGTAAGAAATGTTATACAGTACTTCAAAAAGAAAAACAAATAACCTAACCTGATAACTAGTGGTCATGGCCTCCTGAATTTTGCTGTAGATATTCGTGCAAATGTTCATTGTCTTTTTCCCACTTTAATAAAATTAGTACCCCAGTGCACCCACCATCCTGAAACTTGATTTCTCCTTGATAATTGCATCAGCTGTGTGCCCATTTTTGATCTACGTAGGCCTACACAGACAGAGGTTTGGGTTACATAATTTTTCATTTTGTATGTACACTCTGCTTGATTATTCCACTCCTTGACTTCATTAGTCAAATGTGGCATGAATGACTCCTCGATTTCAGGCCAGTTCTTTTTTTTTTCCTCCCTTTTTTAAAAATTTAAATTAGAAACAAGTTTGTTTTACATGTCAATCCCAGTTCCCTCTCCCTCCCCTCCTCCCCTGCTCCCCCACCGAACCCCTATCCCATTCCGTTTGTACTCCCCAGGGAGGGTGAGGCCTTCCATGGGGGATCTTTAAAGTCTGTCATACCATTTGGAGCAGGGTCTAGGCCCTCCCCAGTGTGTCTAGGCTGAGTGAGTATCCCTTTGTGTGGAGTGGGCTCCCAAAGTCCATTTGTATACTAGGATAAATACTAATCCACTACCAGAGGCCCCATAGATTAACCAGCCCTCCAAACTGACATCCTCGTTCAGGGGGGCAAGTTCTTGATGTAAAGGATTCGACAGTGAGCAAGAAAGGTCTGCCTTCATGAGCTGATGTTCTAGTTTGAGATGGAAAATTAGAGAGCCTGACTAGTGACACGATAAGAGGGCATGAGCACTAAGTGTACAGTCGGATATCCAGCTTCTAGATACCCAGAGGCTAGCTACTGTGGAGGGTGGACCGGCCATCAGGATTTGCTCAGGATTACACAGGCTCAGCGCTAAAAGTCCTAAGCCCCAGCTAGACCGAGACAATCCATCACCTGCTATCAGTCAGTACTGGCCTCTCCTGGAGGTCCCACTGAAGCAGGGTCCTCTGCCATGTTACTAGAAGTCAGCCATGTGTTGTCTGGGACAAGAGCTTTCTAGACAGAGGATGAAAGCACGAGGAGCTAAGCCATTGAACTAGTTTATGGATATGGGAAGTAAGTGGAGATGGACACCCAAGGCCTGAGCCAGGGTTGAAGAGGAAGGGGAAGAGAGTCCAGTAAGGAAGCCCAGGTCCTCTCAAAGCCAGGTAGGCAAAGGAAGGATGCCAGGAAGGATGCCAGATCCTCAGCTAGGCTGAGCGAGATGCGAACCCAGGAGTCATCCCTGGCTCTGACATAAGAATTCACTGTCCACTGATTCCTCAGGATGCTGGGACAAAATCCAAGGTGGGTTCAGGAGTGAAACAGAAAAGGGGTGGACGTGAGGAGTGCTGACAGCTCCTTAGAGAAGTTTAATAAAAAAAGAAAGAAAGCAGGCTGTCCAGGCAGGGTGCGAGTAAGAATCTGAGCCAGCATGGCTGAAGTGTTCCTAAGTACCACCAGGGCAGGGGCACTTAGCCTATTGTTAGCTTTCTTTATCTTCTTCTTCTAAAATCCTGCAGCCCAGCAAAGACCCCATGGGGTTTTTGTTATTGAAAAGAAATGTCCTTGGTAAGGATGTGTGTTTTGTCAACATGTCACCCTGCAGACTTGTGTATTGGTTCAACATTTCTGTTTTGTGGGAAAATGAAACTTTGATACTGTTTAGTGCAGTGTTCTTAGGTCAACACCTCCAGGTTCCTTGAATTTTAGGGTCTATAAGGATGCCTGACTCACTCCCTCTGTGCCTAGAGTGATTGTATAGCCCCAAGAAGACAGGTGCTGTGTTGCTCCCAGTAATTCCTCAGAACACCTACCGACCCCTCCTGATCTCCTGATAGAGGAAAGGACACCATGAGAACACCACAGGCACACCTCACAGCAAGGCCTTCATGGCCAGGAACTTCTAAGATGTGAGTTCTCACACAGCGGAAGAGCTGTGAGCCAGCCAGGCCTGCTTTAGGGGCAGTGAGCCAGAGCTCCTGAACAGCTACAGGGAAAACCTAGGTAGCCAAATACTCAGTAGTTCAAGACCAAGGGCAGCTGGATGGAGAGCCAGCTCCAGCTTCTCCGGAGCATCTACAGAGTTTTATCAGGTATGTTGTTCTCCATGGCTGTAGCTCAGGTCCCAGTGACTTCTCCTCTAGACCAGGTGGTCTATGTAGTACCTGTTTAGAACCCTGGGTTCTTTTTTTTTTTTTTTTTTTTTTTTTTTTTGGTTTTTACGAGACAGGGTTTCTCTGTATTGTTTTGGAGGCTGTCAGTCCAGCCCGGCCTCAAACTCACAGAGATCCGCCTGCCTCTGCCTCCCGAGTGCTGGGATTAAAGGCGTGCGCCACCACTGCCCGGCTGAACCCTGGGTTCTAACAGATGGGCTTTCTATATATGTACACACATGTTCACACACACACACACACACACACACACACTACCAATAGGACATAGACACACACAGTGTTGGACCTATACATATGATTACATAGTCACATGCACATATTACTAGACACAGTCTCATCTGAAGACAGACATATAGACACTCACAAGCAGGCTTACACACAAACATATACTATACAGTGACATACTGAATGTCTGAGGACATTACATACACTACACACACAGAAAAACAATGATAAACTCAGCACAGATGCACACTCACATGTACATAATGTTGTCATGCCAACACATATACACTTCCCTTTTTTGTTTTTCAACACAGGGTTTCTCTGTGTAGCCTTGGCTGTTCTGGAACTCACTCTGTAGACCAGGCTGGCCTCAGACTCACAGAGATCTGCCTGCCTCTGCCTCCAAAGTACTGAGATTAAAGGTGTGTATCACCACTGTCTGACACATGTATACACACACACACACACACACACACATCTGAAGTCTGCAGCCACACTGGCACACCAGAGACATGCCAAAGCACAACTCTCCACAAAACACTTGCAGAGAGCACATACCCTGACCCACACTAACACACACATTCTTGCAGTCCCCAGTGATCCCCAGGATCCTCTGGGACTGCTACATATCCCCTCATCTCCTAGAAAGCACTGGTGTCCCCGAGGAACAGAGGTCTCCCATCCCATCCTAAGCACTGCTGGATGCTGCGTGACATCACCAGCCCCCTCAGTACTGCCACTGCTGGAAGTTCTGAGCTCTGTGCTGGGGGCACCAGGCACTGACACTTGGCTCTTGTTGGGAGAACAGAGAGAGTCTCTCTTGTCTGCCTGCAGCCTGTGCTCAGCTCCAACTGCTGCATCTTCCGGAAGCCTCTGCCCAGACTGCATAGGTATGTGGGACAGGGCAGCCAGGGCCAGACACAGGACCCCCTGGGGGACAGGGGACAGCCTAGGGAGGGGTGGTGGTGTCTCGGGCTGGCTGTGGGAGCATCAGAAAGGCCAGGATGCACCTCCCTCTGCTAGAATTCTACAGCCTGCTGTGCAGGAGTTTGGCAATGGGAGGCCTCTAGAACAGCCTAGCTGAGGAACTCCCTTCTGTCGCAACTACTTTCCCAGTTGGGTAGCCTCCAACCTGGTAGAAGTTCCTGGCCATGGGTGAATGGATTTAAGGGTCCCACCCAGTCACAGAATGGTGCCTCAAAGACCGTTCCTTAAAAAAGAAGGTGATCTAAGAGATGCCAAAGCCAACAGCAACCAAAACTGGGGTCTTTGAATGAATAATTTGCACCAATCCCTGTGGGAGGCACAGAGCCTGTGAGGTTCCCAGCATATGAACCGAACCCTAGACAGTCGGCTTCTCCCACTGTGCTGCTGGCTGCATAGACCAGCTTCCGAGTCCTTCTATCTACCACTTGAACTCACACTCTGGCTACCTGGGGGATTTCGTGGTTCTGGCCCAAAGACCCCAGTGTGGTTGCTGTTACTGGGAAAGCACCCAAGCAAGATTGTATTCAGCACAGAGCTTATATCCTGGGACTTTCCACAAGAATTCTGGGTTGCGAACATGCCTATGTGCGAGTCTGTAAAGTCTAGGCTACCCACAAACAGTAAGAGCTAAGAAAGCCCTATTCTAAATCATGTGTAGTAGCACACTTCAGTATTCTCCCCATTTGGGAGGCTAAGGCAGTTCAAGGTCAACCTGAGACATACAGCAAGCTCAAGACCAGCATGGGCTACAGAGCAAGGCCCTGTCTAGAAAGAGAGAGAAAGAGAGAGAGAGCTTCACTGAGAAGTAAAAGGAGAGATTCATCTTTAGGCTTACAAGGGTCCTGCCTGCTCCTGCCGCCTTGGAGTTCTGAGGCATCTGTCAATCACAGGAGTCTTCCTGTCCTTTGCGAAGTTCCTGCTAGACAGGGACCACACTAACCGTCCCTCTCCATCCCTCCTGAACTGTTTGGTGAGAAAGGCTGGGTCTGACAAAAGTATCATTTGTCTCATCCATGCATGGACTTCTGGTCTTTAGGGTGGGAGCTGCTAAGATTGTATCAGAAGTTAAAGGTGTGCAATCGGGCAGACCTGCCTGGAGGCCAAGGTCTTCCCTGTACCCCCAGAGCCCACCTCATCACAGCTACAGAATGGCTTCCAGCCCAGTTGGAGCTCCCAGCCCACAGGTGAGCAGTTCTTAGTCTTCCTCCCAGCACCCAGCACCCTGCACTGGGGACTCACTTCCTCCCAAGGCTGAGGAGATCTGTAGAGATACTAGCCAGCCCTGTGGACTTGCAGTGCTGCCAGGTTACTGTGAACTCACAGAGATGGCCATTTGCAAGGAAAATTGAAGAGAGATTTGGCAGGGAGCTATAAGAAGTAGATTTGGTTACAAAAAAAATTGTGACATTGGTTATGAGAATATATAGGTTCAAGTCCCACCTTGACCATCTGTAAGACCTTGGACAACTCCTCTCTGGCTTCAGTTTTCTTTCGTATAATTGTCATGATGGCCAGTAGCCTGTCAAGGTCATTAGGAGAAGCAAGCGTGATGAGAATGAATAGATTGAGGAGGGGGTGGGCACGGAGGAGTGAATGGGTGCGAGGGAGGTAACCCATGAAAGAAGGGAGAGGGAGAGGTAGGTAAGCTGGGTAGTAGTGATGTTGGCCAAACCAGGGCCTAGGCCAAAGGAAGAGGAGGGAGCCTGCTGGTCTTGATCGCCTCTTTCCTTAAATGTCTTCAGCCCTCTAGGGCCAATGGAAACATCAACCTGGGGCCATCAGCTAACCCAAAGTGAGTTCTGTTTTCTAAGACAAAATTCCTCCCTGATGTCCCATGGCTGGTTCTCTTGGCTTTAAAAATGTAATCCAAGGTCCCTGGTGTGCTCAAAACCTGTGCCAGCTGGACCAGAATCCCTCTAACCCCGTGCCTGTGAGGCTTCATCTCTCATTAACTTCCCAGCCTTGGCCCAGGCTGAGTCCTCTGCCTGGAATGACCCCAGACGTTTTCACTGTCAGCAACTCTCCACCCAGGCCCTTCTCCTGGCTGGGGAACGGGGGTGGGCGGAGAAGACTGCCTTCTGCACCATGTCTCCCCTAGTTTTAACTGGTCTGTGAGCTGGGGTGGGTGTGGGGAGAGGTGTGTGAGGCTCCATCTTCTGAGCTTCTTGGGTCTGTAAGACACAATGTTCTTCAGGGGCGAGGCCATGAGGTTCCTGTAAGGCCACCTGCATTTCCCAGCTCTGAATTAACCAGAGACCCAGCTTCCCAGCTTCCAAATGGTGACCCTTGCTCTTCTCATGTCCACAGTGCCCGGCCCACAGACTTCGACTTCCTCAAAATCATTGGCAAAGGGAACTATGGGAAGGTAAGTAAGGAGAGGAGAGTGGAGATTGGAGCCTTCCACCCCCTGCCTTCATTAGCACATGCAAAAGAAGGCTCACAAGCCGAATACCTGTAGAATGGGTGTGGGGGCTGCCAGGAGAACCTTGTCCTCCCTGATGTCTTGGGTCTGTACTTTCCTTCAGGTCCTACTGGCCAAGCGCAAGTCCGATGGAGCCTTCTATGCAGTGAAAGTGCTTCAGAAGAAGTCCGTCATAAAGAGCAAAGAGGTACCGGAACCCAGGGATGGTTATTTCCCCTCGTGCTTCTTGATTCCCAGCCTAGGGTGACTTCCCAAGATGGTTCCGTCTCCAAGAGGTCAGCATGGGCAGCTCAGAAAGTCCATCTCCCACACAGAACCCTAACATTTCTAGAGGAAAGCAGGCCAAGCCATTTCCCTAGGAACCTTACGGAGGATGAGAAGGTCTCATCATTCCAGCCTTTAACAGAACCCACGGATGACCAGTTCTCTGTCCTCTCTAGGTGGCAGGCTCCCCAGGGGCACACTGTGGGCTCACACCACACCCTCTTCATAGGCCCTGTGAGTCTGGCCAGCTTGGATCTCTAGATGCCTTGGTGACTTGAATTCCTTCAACATAATTTGGAGGACAGGGAGAGGACAGAATGTGAAGTCAAAACTACTCTGGAGACAGTGATTCATGCCAACAAGGAGAGGAGGTCTTCTTGCATAGGTGGTCGTGAACTGACCCTGACAGTAAACAGCAATCTGATAGTTTGAAAAGAAGGTGACATGTCCCAGGGCTAGGAGGATGGCTAAAACAGCATAGTGCTCCCTGTGCAAGCATGAGGACCTCAGTTTGATCCTGCATAACCACATAAAAACACTAAGCATGGCAGCATGTATCTCTAATCTTGGTGCTGTGGAGATGGAGAGAAAGTATCCCCCAGGCTCACTAGCTGGTTAGACTAGTGCAAGCAGTAAGTTATAGGTCCAAAGAGAGACCCTATCTCAAAGAACAAGGTGGAGACATCCATCACGTTCTTATGTGCACGTGCACACGGGCACACACACACACACACACACACACACACACACACGGGGTAGGGGGACTGTACAGGTAGATAAAATAGCAGGATCAAAGGCATGAGCATAGATACTGCATGACATTGTTTTTCTAGAGAGTTTCCCTGAGACGCAGTCATCCCATCATAGTATCTGCTTTGCTTGTCACCCTGGGGCAGGGTTTTCTGAAGTTACAACATTTGTATGAAGTGACTGGGGTGAGGCTCGGGACACTGACTTCTAAGTACTAGACAAGGAGGCTAGGCCTGGCTTGGGAACAATAGAGAGCCAATGTGGGTGTCGGAACTGGGGCAGGAAAAAGTCTTGGACAGGACACCTCCATAAGCAATGTCACCTGGATTGTGCTGGACTGTGACAAAGACCCCTGTCCGTGTGACTCCACAGCAGAACCACATCATGGCAGAGCGCAATGTCCTGCTGAAGAACGTGCGGCACCCCTTCCTCGTGGGCCTGCGCTGCTCCTTCCAGACCCCAGAGAAGCTCTACTTTGTGCTTGACTACGTCAACGGAGGAGAGGTGAGTGGGCCTCAGGAAGGCAGCTGTCCTCCCGTGTGCCAACTGCGCTTCCCACTTAGAGTGAGCTCACTGAATCCCTGCAACCGACCCGCTTGGTAGTCCAAGACACTGAGCGGCTCAGCTGAGAGCCTCAGCTCAGTAAGTCACTTCCCAAGACAACCCAGGCTGTACCGGGTCCTTTTCTCGATTGCTGTTGCAGGGGTGTTTGCCACACAAGGTGGCTGCTACTCACTTACCAGGAAAGGTCTCTGCTAATAGGAATGTGTGCTCACTGTTTCCCCAATACTTCCCTTCCCTACACCCAGGCAAAGGCTCACATCCATCTCTATCATTTTTTTGTTTTGTTTTACGAGACAGGGTTTCTCTGTATTGTTTTGGAGGCTGTCAGTCCAACCTGGCCTCGAACTCACAGAGATCCGCCTGCCTCTGCCTCCCGAGTGCTGGGATTAAAGGTGTGCACCACCACCGCCCGACTCATTTTTTAAAATGTATTTATTTCCATGTATGCGTGTTGTACATGCCTATTTTTATGTGTGGGGCAATCATGTAGGTGCATGTGTGTTTGCACATGGAGGCCAGAGACTGATGTCAAGATTCGTCTTCAATTTCCCTTCCACCCTTTTTTGTCAAATCGGGGTCTCTCTCAACCAAACCCAGAGCTTGACAGTGTGGCTAGTCTTGCTAGCCAGCTTGCTCTGACGATCCCGTCTCTACCTTCCAAGGCTGGAATTACAGGTGGGCAGCCATGCCCACATGGCATTTATATTGGGTCTCTGGGGACCTGGGCTTGGGTCCTACTTGCAAGGCAAGCACTTTAATCCCACTAAGATATCTCTTTAGTCTGATGTCGCTATCCTAAGTAGAGACCTGAGATACCTGCTAAGTCCAAAGCAAGGCAGGGACATCATCTTGGACTTTGCTTTGCTTTGCTTTGTCTCACTGAACAAGGGGGCAAAATTTAGTGGGGGCTCTTTTCAATTGTACCAAGTTTGGCCTATGTGTAACCAAATGTTTTTCAGTCTGAATCCAACAGGGGAGGTTTCAGCCTGCACATTCCTAGATGTTGCAACCAACAAAGCAGACCAAACAGGGAGAGCTAACCTGGGCTCAGTGTGACATCTTAATGCTTGGGTTGGAGGAAAAGCACATTTTGTTGGGCATGATGCCTCCCACCTATAATCCCAACACTTGGGATATGGAGGTAGGAGGATTGAGTTCAAGGCCAATCTGGGTTACATAGAAAGAATCTACCCCCTCCTACTCCATCCCACTCCCCACACACAAAGTATGTCTTGATCGACCTGGTTTCAAATTCCAGCTCGGCCAACTCTGACATGTGGGGCCTTAGACAAATCATTTAACACCTCCTCCTTTGACATGAGGCTGACATCGCAGCTGAGATCTTGAAGATGGTCATGAGATTTAAACGAGAGTTGTCAAAGAGCCTGGCTTGCAGCCTGGAACACAGGAGCTGCTTAATTAGGCTATCTGACAGTGTGGAGAGCACACGCGCGCTGAGGGGTGGGGTCCGCACGCAGTCTTTTGGTTCAAGTACACTAGGGTGACTGGCCTGCATGGGGTCGAGGGCCTTGAAGGACCCCGTCTTGTGATCTGGGACCCAGCCACCGTCTCACTGTCCCCTCTCCCAGCTCTTCTTCCACCTGCAGCGGGAACGTAGGTTCCCGGAGCCCCGGGCCCGGTTCTACGCCGCAGAGGTGGCCAGCGCCATTGGCTACCTACACTCTCTCAACATCATTTACAGGTGAGGCCCGCCCTTTGCTCGTGGTCAGTCCCAGGACCTTTCTGCTCCACCAGACAGGGATTGTGTGGGCCATGAAGTTCCAGCGAACTTGGTCCTTTGACTGAGGAGGTCCCTTATTTAGGGGTGGGGTGTCCTCCTCTCTAGAGTTAAGTACCCAGACTCCCTGGGTTTTCCTTCTTCACCTGTGGGGGCTTCTATGAGTAGTTCTCCTGCCAGGACCCAAGTCCCCAATTCACTCAGTAAATGACTGTTTTCTCTTGTTTTCTGCAGAGACTTGAAGCCAGAAAACATTCTCTTGGACTGCCAGGTGTGTGGTGTGGTGTGTTTGTGTGTGTGTGTGTGTGTGTGTGTGTGTGTGTGTGTGTACACATGTGCACGCGTGTGTACATGCAGCTCAACTCTATGCTCTCCAGTCACAGTCTGTACATATAGGCATTTATGAATTACACATGTATACGTGTGGTAACATACATTCTTGTGTATATATGTACATATGTACTCATGCACATATCTATGTATATAAACCTGTGCACAGGAGACTATGTATGTATGTATGTATGTATGTATGTATGTATGTATGTATGTACATGTGTATGTATACAGACCTGTGGGGAGAGGTATGGCCAGGTGGAAGCTAGGGACCTGTAGACCTTCCATGTTTCCTGATGCCCTGGAGACAGCCCTTGAGATGAGTGTGGAATGTAGGTTTCTTGGGGAACGTTTTCCAAAGATACAACTTTAAGGAGAAAGAAGAAAACGGGGGTGGGGGAGCACGGGGAGAGGTGCAGCTGCGCTGTGGTTGCAAGAGAGGCCTCAGTACATCTCACAGATGGGAGCCCTAAGCAGGGATGGCTCTTCGGGATGGTAATAAAGTTGACACAAGGAGATTTGGACCTTCATGGCCTCTACCGCTCAGTTCTGGAGCAGCATGACTTTGGACAGGGCACAGTCCCAGCAGTGAGAATTAGGTACGGCAGCTCCTAACGTCTGATAGCCCTCTGTACCTGTCCACCTTCTCCACCCTCACGCTCAGCTGGCATTGGTAGACTTGATTTCTCAGTCTTCAGCCCTTCATCATGGGGATTACTACCCAGCAAGAACATCCTGGAGTTGCCACTATTGTAGACATGGGCCTGAGTCATGATGAGCTGGGGAAGACAGCAGAGTGTCGTGTCCCCATCCTGTGCCCTGAGATCTCCTGGTATCCAGGCCAGGAGCCCCCAGTCTGCATGCAGCTTGTGTCCCCTCATACTGCATAGCCATTGCTCTAGGTGTGGCATTTGAGCTTTGGCACAACCCCTTCCTGTTGTCTCTCACCCACAGGGACACGTGGTACTGACAGATTTTGGCCTTTGCAAGGAATGTGTAGAGCCCGAGGAGACCACATCCACCTTCTGTGGCACCCCCGAGGTATGTGGAAGATCTGTGGAGAAGGCTGACCATTAGTGGCTGAGGCCACAGCCCCTAAATAAAGCCACCAGGCTACAGCAGACAGGCTTCACTCAATCCTCTCAAGCTCTTCCCTGAGACAGCCCTATACTGAGACTTCATTTCCTCATGAGTGTCAAGGGACCAGCTTTTGGAAGGGTGGGCACCCAGCTATCTCTAGTGCGTTCTACCGCTGCCCAGTGGGAATAGCAAGGTACAGCTGAATGTGAGCTTGCATGCCTGTAATCCCAGCTCCCAGGGGGTTGGGGACAGGAAGGTCAGGAGCTTGAAGCCAGCCCCAATTGTATAGTAGATCACAGGTCAGATGGGACTTTATGAGTCTAAAAGCAAATAGATACAAACCTTATTTATTGTGATGTTGGGGGTTGAGCTCAGAACCCCAGGCATGCTAGACAAGTACATTTAAAAAGTAAAAAGTAAAAAAAAAAAAGACTGGAGAGATGGCTCAGTACTTAAGAACACTGGTTACTCTTCCAGAGAACCTGGGTTTGGTTCCCAGCATACACATGTCAGCTCAAAACCACCTACAACTCTAGTTCCAAAGGATTCAAAGTCTTCTTTCAGCCACCGTGGGTATTGTATGCAAGTGGTACAAGCAAAACACCCATGTACACAAATTGAAATAAATCATGTATGTAAATATGTATATTATAATGTGTGTGTGCATGTGTGCACGTATGTATAAAGGCAGAGATGTAGAGCTGTCTCCACAGTTAAGAGCATTTGTTTTCTTGCAGAAGGTCAGGAATCCATGCCTTGGCACCCACATGGCAGCTCACACCAATCCTCCACAGTAACTCCAGTTCCAGAGGATCTGGCACCCTCCTCTGGTCTCAGTGGGCACTGCACACATGGGGCACATAGACATACACATGTAGGCAAAACATGCAAACACATAAATAAATCTTTAATAAAAGTAAAAAAAAAGACAGGACTGGTGGTGTAGCTCGATGGTAGAGCACTCATCAAGACCCTGGATTTGATACACACACACACACACACACACACACACACACACACACAACACAACACACACACACTATAATATGCCAAGTAAAAAGAAACATGTGATACCAGGCATAATGACACATGCCTTAACCCCAGCATTTGGAATCACAGAGATCTCTGTGAGTTTGATAATAACCTGGAATAGACAACAAGGCTACATAGTTAGAACCTGTCTTGGGATGTGTGTGTGTGTGTGTGTGTGTGTGTGTGTGTGTGTGTGTAGGGAAAAGAAAATAGGTGAAACTAATTTTAACAGTGCACTTTATTTAACTCATTTTATCTCAAATCTTCTTATTTAAATACATAATCAATATCAAATTGTGAAATAGGGCTGTCAAGACTGCTTAGTGGCTAAGGGCACTTGCTGCTAAGGCTAAGAAGGTAAGGGCCTGAGTACAATGCTTAGAACCCATGTAGTAGAAGGATAGAACTGATTTTTCCAAACTGGTCCTCTGACTTCCATATGTATGTATGCTATAGCATGTGCGCGCACGCACACACACACACACACACACACACATGCACACACGCACAAACACACACGAATAAAGTAAATGTGAAAATGTTGAAATAGTGAATTATTTCTTAGTGTTACAATCCAGCATGTGAATACATTTATAGTCCTTCTCAGCTGTGATTGACCACATTTCAATAGATCCAAATCTTTTTTCTTTTTTGATTTTTAAGACAGGGTAATTCTCTAGATGTCCTGGAACTTGCTTTGTGGACCAGGCTGGCCTCAAACTCAGGAATCTGCCTGCCTCTTCCTCCTGAGATTAAAGGCATGAGCTACCACCCCCAACTAGACCCAAATCTTGATCCTTTACAAAAGCAATTGTTCACTAGCCACATGTGGCTAGTGGCTGCTATGCGGGATGGCACTGCTCCACAGGACTAAGTCCTTGACCAGGAGAGCGTGGCCTGAGAGTTCAGGTCAGGGCTTGTGTAAACATAAACATGACCCCTAGACAGAGTCTAGAAGGTGAAATTTGTAGATTTCTGTAATTCCCCATGCCTATCTTCATTGAGAGGATAAGGCCTGAGGATTTTAAGAAAGTGCTTCAAAATGATAATAATTAGGACAGGTAATATATAGCTCAGGGGTAGAGTGATTGCCTGGCATGCCTGAGGCCCTGAGTTCAACCCCAGCATCCCAATAAACAAACCAACAAACAAATAAACAACACGTGTCTGAGCATGAATTAACCTGTCTATCTGTGCCCTGGGATTAAAACCTTTCCTTGAAGTCCCACCAGTCTTGAATGTTGGACCTTGAACTTGCAGGGCCCCTGAGGGTTGGACAGGTGCCAGAAGGGGGCAGAGGGCGAAGGCTACAAGCACCTCCCTGTCTAGTCTGGAGCAGGACTTGAGAGCCACCTGGTAGTGTCTATCAACCTGCAGAGCTGTGCCTGGTCCTTCAGGTGGGTTCCACCAGGTCCCATCATGTCAGTCAACCTCTCCCAGAAGGGACCCTTGTCTGTGTTTGTGCATGGGGTGCCCACCCGATAAAGCTGACCCCGAAGTCTGACAACAGCCAGTCCTTCAATGGGTGTAGCTAGCTTAAGGAGCAGGGGTTATGGAACTGTGTCTCATGTAAGAGATGTCTCTTCTTCCAGGACTGCTACAGTCATACAGACAAGATTACCTACATTTGTTCCCATTAGGGACTCCATGACCTTAGTGTTTGTTTGTTTGTTTAGTGTGCGTGTGTGTGTGTGTGTGTGTGTGTGTAGTATAGGTACATGTTCATGTGGATGTGGACAGGTTCATGTGCACATGTATGCGAATGGAGGCCCGAGGTTAATGTCAGGCACCTTCTGTAAGTCCTCTCCACATTATATTTTGACACAGTGTCTCCAACTAAGCCTGAGTTCATCAATTTTGCTAGGCTGGCTGGCCACTGACCCAGGGATCTGCTTATCTCCTCACCATATCACTGGGGCTACATATGTGAGCCGTCTCACCTAGCTTTTATGTGGCGGCTGGGATCTAGATAAAGGTCCTCATGCTTACACAGCAAGTATTTATGACCTGAACCATCACTCCATCCATCTCTCCATCTCTCCATCTCTCCAGCTACCACTCGATCTATGCTCCCATTTTAAGGGTAAGAAAGTCAAAGTTCTGGCAGGTCAAATGCTTTCCTGGACACACACACTGAAGAGGGTTCCAGGTGGTATGATTCTCTTCCCTTCCACAGACCCACAGGGTAGCTGTGTCTGTTGCTGGGACTCTGTTCCTTAGTAGCAGACAACCCGAGGCCAGGAGGTCACTAAGCCCTTGGGACTGGCAAAAACACAGCACTGCCTATGGTTTTTTCCCTTGTACCAGGCCACGGCTCCTGGAGTGTTCCCGTCTGTCAATATGACCTGGAATACCACCCCTTTCCCGACCTTCTCCCATGCACTAAGGTTTCCATAACAAGTGTGTGCCACATTGCTTTGGCTTTGCTCCCTTGTCACCCCACTACACCGTGAGGTGCCTCCAGGGCTTTCCCAGTGCTAGGACACAGATAGCTTACAGGTGACCATGTACTAATAAGAAGGCATGCCTGGCTTCTGAATTACCATTCTGGCTTTGCAAGCAGATCACAGACAGATCGTGGCTCCCTTTACCCCTATGGCTGGTACTCCTGTGTAATGTACAGCTGTACAACTACACAGGGCAATCTTGCCTGATCTCCTGTATGTCCCCAGTGCACTGCAAAGGGCCTGTCACCCTCAGGTCTCTGGTGAATGGATACTAATGAACACAGGATAAGCTATGACAGTGGGAGCAACCCCCTTCAAGGGCCTTCGTTACAGATAGAGAAACAGAAGCTAGGCGTCCTCGAATTCCTGTACTTCTCCCAACAGTACCTGGCCCCGGAAGTGCTTCGTAAAGAGCCTTACGATCGAGCGGTGGACTGGTGGTGCTTAGGGGCGGTCCTCTACGAGATGCTGCATGGCCTGGTGAGTGGACAGAGATGTCTATGGGGGCACATGTGGCCTGGGGAAGCTGAGGGTGGTCCCCAATTCATGTAGCTTGCTCTAGCTTTGCACAGGGAATTAAACGAGCAATCTATGCACCCCAGGAGGAAAGATGACGCCAAAGTGAATATGAGGAATGTACAGCTCTTTTAAGTAGTGTTATTTTCACAGTTTCCATTTATAACACAGCCTCTTTGCAGAGCGGAGAGCTACTTTTATTGTACTAAGATGGAAATGAGGCTGAAGGTCACAGTGTGGTAGATTGAGGACTAGCCTGGGCTATGTACTTATGTGGAAGCCTGTGTGGACCTGCCTGAGGCTGGCTTTCCTCTGGCCTGGATTCTCCAGCATGGCACGCTGTAGAAGGAGTAATTTCTGAAGGTTCAGAAGAACCAGTGGGTAGAGGAGCTGGATGAAGGGCAGGAGGAGTCCAGCTAGTGTATCCTGGCTGTCCAGCTTGTTCCAAAACTCCCTGATAAGACCCTTTCCATGATCTCATGGCTGAACCCCCAGCTTCTCTCCCTGTCTCCACAGCCCCCCTTCTTCAACACAGATGTGGCCCAGATGTATGAGAACATTTTGCACCAGCCACTACAGATTCCTGGAGGCCGGACAGTGGCTGCCTGTGACCTTCTGCAAGGCCTTCTCCACAAGGACCAGAGGCAGCGGCTGGGCTCCAAGGCAGACTTTGTAGGTGACCAAGCAGAAAAGCACAGGTCCCTTTCTGCAGGGACAGTTCAGAAGCACCTGCGGTGGGACTGCCTTCTGCTGCCCTCTGAAACCAGGAGTTGTCTGTCTGTCTGTCTGTCTGTCTGTCTGTCTGTCTGTCTGTGTCTGTCTGTCTCTATTCTCTTTGTGTGTGATGCATGTGTATATGTGTGTGTGTATGTGTGTGTGTGTGTGTGTGTGTAGGTCAAATGTCTTCTCCAATTGTCCACTTTATATCTTGGGACAGGGTCTCTCATGGAACCTGGAGCTAACTGATTGGCTAGACTGTCTTTGCCTCCTCGGTTCTGAGATTATAGAATACGCCACCATTCTCAGCTTTTACATAGGTGCTAGCAATCCAGGTTTGGGTCCTCCTGCTTATCTAACAAGCAATTTACCAACTGACCCACCTCTCCAGTCCCTGACTACTTTTTAAAAACATACAGTGTTTTAGCTAATCAATATTTGCCGAATCAGCACTGACCTAGGTACCAGAGGTTTAATAGCCTGGACCTCTAACATGCCTAAGCTTGAAGGTGGAAGGAGACAGACAAAAAACCAGAGATTCTGTACAACTGTCACCAAGTGCGACAAATTTCAGGAAGGAAATGAACAGTGAGCAGAGATAGACAATAAGGGTGTATAGGGCTGGTGCTCTTTCACACTGGCATGGCCAGGCAGGTCCCCTCTAAGGAGGTGACAAGCTGAACTTGGAATATGAGGAGCCATGTGAAGAATTGGATGGAGGCTTCCCAGCCCTAGGCACATGTGTGAAAGTCCTGTGGTCTATACAAAGGGGAGAATGGCAAGAAGCAGAGTGTGTTTGCGAGACACCTGGCTGGACACATAAGACATGGGGATAAATAATTCATAGAATTCATAGTCTGTTCCTTTCATTCATTTTCTGACATATACATGTTTTGTTGTTGTTGTTGTTTTTACGAGACAGGGTTTCTCTGTATTGTTTTGGAGGCTGTCGGTCCAGCCAGGCCTCAAACTCACAGAGATCCGCCTGCCTCTGCCTCCCGAGTGCTGGGATTAAAGGCGTGCGCCGCCACCACCACCGGGCACATACATGGTTTTTTAAAAAGACTAAAGCATCACTTTAAAAATAATCTTAAACCAAGCATGGCGTTGCACACGTTTAATCCCAGCACTTGGGAGGCAGAGGCAGGTGTATCTCTGTTAGTTCAAGGACAGCCTAGTCTACAAAGCGAGTTCCAGGAACTACTTTGGCTACACAGAGAAACCCTGTCTTGAAAAACAAAACAAAACAAAAATCTTATTTATTACTTAGTGTAAGGTCATTTCAGGGCCAGCAAGATAGCTTGAGTATAAGATGTCTGTTATCAAACCTGGCAATCTGAGTTTGGTCCCCAGGATCCACGTGATGGAAGGAGAGAACTGACTCCCAAAAGTTGACCTCCACGTGTGGCAGAGGCAGGCAGATTTCTGAGTTTTAGACAAGCCTGGTCTAAAAAGTTAGTTCCAGGCCAGCCAGGGTTATACATAGTAAGACCCTGTCTCAAATGAGAAGGAGACAACTGTAGTCCAGATGGCCTTAGCATCTAAAGGAAGGCTCCAGGACTGCTTGCCCCCACTCTGTGGGTAGCACAGCTTTTTGACCCATGTCTGGCATATGATAAGAGTTTGTAAGCATTATAAACACTAAAAGATCTCCATGCCAGGTTCTGTGATGTGTGACAATAGGCTATTTGCCTATCGATTCCCCCAGCCTGCTTGTAGATCTGGGCTTCTGTGAAGACAGACCCCCTTCCTTCCAAAGAGGAATTTGCATCTTAGAACATGCCTGCGACTCTTGAATTAAGTTATGCATTCACAGAAACCAAACCTCTGAGAGATGGTACTGATGCAAGGTGTTGGAGTACTGTTCAATGTGAAACAGACCGAGGGAGGACTCTGCTGGGAGGGAAGGTGGTTTAGGAATGAAGTGGGAAACCATGCCCACGACTCACTCCTCGCTTGAGTCCCTGGAAACCTGCCATTTTTCTTAGGGCTTTATTTCTCCCGTCGTCTTTGGTGAGCAGGTTTGCCCTATTTCTCTGGCTTGCACTCTGGAAGAATCAAGGTGTATTAATGTATTTGGAGGTGGGAGGCTGTCTCCAAGCTCTCCCTGCATACCCTCTCCCCCAGTAACCAGTTCTTTTGATGTTTTGCCTGCATGTATTTCTGTGTGAGAATGTTAGATCCTTTGGAACCGAAGCTACAGACAGTAGTGAGCTGCCATGTGGGTGCTGGGAATTGAACCCAGGTCCTCTGGAAAAATAGCCAGTGCTCTTATCTTCTGTGCTATCTCTGCAGTCCCAATAACCAGCTCTTTAGCCTTGCTTATAGCCATGCCGCCAGAGGCTAGTATGGTGTGGGTGCCGAGACTTAGCTGTGGAAGGCATCTGTGAGTGTAGAGGAAAAAATGGATTCTGATGATGTGGGAAGTAAGATGTCTGTCGACAGAATGTTCCCTGGGCTGAGCAAACCAGCCAGAGCTGCAAAGTTCTGTCTCGTTGGTGGCTAGTTGTGGGCACCAGTTGGGGAGCGACTGTGGCGAGGACTGCTGACCAGTGTCTTCTTCCTGCAGCTCGACATAAAGGACCATGTGTTCTTCAGTCCCATAAACTGGGATGACCTGTACCACAAGAGGCTAACTCCACCCTTCAACCCAAATGTGGTAAGTGAGCACAGGGTGGGGTCTCCAGATTTTGGCTTCTGGATTCCGAAGGCTGGTAGGCTCTAGGCTTTTTTACGGCTGGAGAAGCTGAGGGGCCAAGAGTCTCATCCAAACCACAAGAGTGAGAACCGGCTCCGGCTGCCCTGGCCTCCCATGGCTAGCTCAGCCTGAGCAGGATGAGCCATGGGTTGCTCCTTTATCACCAGCACCTTAACTCCACCACAGAGCTGATACAGTGTTTATGTTTGAGATGTAGTAGCCCCGGCTAGCCTTTATGTTTGAAACATAGCCCAGGCTAGCCTTTAGTTCATGTTCCTCCTGATGGTAAAAATGATGTGTACTTCTTGTCCAACGTTGTAAAATGATGCTGGAAGAAGCAATCAGACAATGGCGATGTCTCACTAGGCGAGAGAAACCACTGTTGGTAGACTTCCCTCCACACGTGTATACTGCCAGGATTCATCATTCCCTATTTACATCTTTTTCCTTTGGTGACTTCCTGCCCCATGAATGTGACACTAGATTTGTTTTTCCTTTTTTTTGTGGGGGAGGGGGCGGTGAGACTCTGTAGTCCAGGCTATCCTAGATACTATCTCACTATCCCTGTATCTCTGGCTGGCTTCAAACCATGGTGATCCACACCTGTCTTCTGAGTACTGGGTTTGCAAGAGTGAGCTACCAAGGCTTGCACTAGCTTTGGGCAAGCATGCATATGTGTGTGGGTGCATGCATGCATGTGAATGTGTGTGTCTTATCCTTCTCCTCTATTTCCTCTACCTTGCTTTAAAAAACTGTTAGATTACATTCCTAAACCTAGCCACCAAGGTTTATTCCCTTATTTGGCCACTTCCTCCTCCTGAGGCTGACTACCAAGGCCCAGCTATCAAAGTACTGAAGCCCAGAACTAAAGCCCTCTTTGACTCACCTAATTAACTTGCCCAGTTAAAATGAACCACCTTATACTAACATGGAGTTTCCCCTTTTACCTTTATGAACCACCATTTTCCTGTGGGTCATATCTGTCTTCTATCTATCCAGAGACAGTTCTTTGTCCCTCCTGGGACAAATATCCCTTCCCCATCTTTGTTGTTACTTACCCCATCTCCTCCTTCTCTATCTCCTGGTTTTGTCTCTTATTCTCTGCCCTTTGTCTCTGTAGGGAAAATGAATCTTCTTTGTGCTGAGAACTTGGTCTTGGGGTATCCTGAGCTGATACTGGTATTTACAGCGCGCGCGTGCGCGCACACACACACACACACACACACACACGCACGCACGCACGCACACACACATACTGGAGTTTTTTGTTGTTGTTGTTGTTTGCTATTTTGAGACAGGGATTCTCTCTGTAGCCCTGGCTATCCTGGAACTCACTATGTACACCAGTCTAGCATCAAACTTAGAGATCCGCCTGTCTCTGCTTCCCAAGTCCTGGGATTAAGGCATGCACCAGCACCCCTGGCATGTGATCACACTTAATGTAATGCTACGTTAGAAATGAAAATGAGGTTGAGGAGCTGCAAAAGCAGGCAACTTCATGGAGATGATGAAGCAGTTGCGGGTACCTATATAGGCTAAACAGAGGCAAAGGACTACATGCACCATGACCAATTGTGAGATTATTGACAATGGGATTTATATTCCAGTGGGAAGTTTGAAAACACATTTAAAGAACACTGGCTACTTCTTCCTCTTAGCCTGTCTGTATAGGTGTGAAGCTATCACCAAGTGTCTAAAATCACTACAAATACACAGTTTCCTAAGACAAGCATAGAACCAAGATCCTAGGGCCATGCTGATCCTTGCTCTTGGGACAAGATCATTATTTTTATGATGTTTGGATACTTTCTCCTGCTGGAGAGTTTCCTTTGACGGAGTGTTTTCTTTTCTTGGATATTCAGTTTTCATGTGCTAGCCTTGTCCACTTCTGACAAATCCGGCTCATCACTCATGCTGACTAACAGAAAGACTGCAGACTCCAGGGCTCACACAAGGCCACCAGTTTGAGACACTGCTTGCTGGGGACTAGATTCCAGCACCAGGTTCTTCATAAAAATCAAGATATGCCGGGCGGTGGTGGCTCACTCCTTTAATCCCAGCACTGGGGAGGCAGAGGCAGGTGGATCTCTTTGAGTTCGAGACCAGCCTGGTCTACAAGAGCTAGTTCCAGGACAGCCTCCAAAGCCACAGAGAAACCGTGCCTCAAAAGACCAAAAAAAAATCAGGACATATTTAGTCCAGGGTTCTGAAATGTTTCTTCCTTTTTGGATTTTATTTTTGTATGTTGTGAATGGAACCCAAGCCTCACACATGCTAGATAAGTACCCTACCACTGAGCTACACCCCAGTTTTATTTTTTGGGACTTAAACTGACAATAGGGATAGTGTTTAATATGTACCTGTGGAGGGTGTCAACACAACTCTCAATTAAGATGGAATAAGATATAGTGTATCCTGGAGCCAAGTATGAAACACATATTGAAAACACAGATTTAGGTTACCTAAAATTACATGTTCCATCATGGTAACAGTTTTGTGAATAATTTTACGATAAAATTACAGAGAAAGTCATAAACCTGGCCTTTTTCGAATATGTTGGTAGAAACATTAGGTAGGTGGGTTACAGGAAAAATCTCTGCTATAGGCCTTAGGTGTTAACTAAAGATATTCTTGTGGTCTTTTATACATCCCAGAGGTTTTTTACTGTTAGCCACAGGATGCTAGGTCAGACAAAGAGGTAGACAAGGAATGACTGTTAAGGGGGGGGGAGTGGCTAAAGATAGCCCAAGGTGAATCGTAATTAGGTCCTAGACCTGAAACATTCCAACCTCTCCACAATTACTGGTTTTAATCAGTTGATCAGACCTACATGCAGTTCTTTTCAGGAACTTTGGTTCACAAGAGAGGATATGTGTAGAGTCACAGGAAAGGACACAGGAAAATACAGTAATGCATGGGCATTAAAGTGACACATATTGGAAGATTCCTTCTTCTGATATTACCACATCCTTTATTTGTAAAAACAAAACAAAACAAAAACAAAAAGCTGGAAACTATTTGGTTGTCAAGAACCACACAACTGACATGGTTAGGCAAACATCATGGGTGAGAATCACAGTCTGTCCAGGAACTCTGAGCCTTGGGCTGGACCACTGCACCCTATGACCTTCTGAGAAGCTGGCAGCCACGGCTTGCTGGTTTCCCCAGCCCAAGACCTGCATGCTAAAACAGACCTGCAGACCCTTCCACCTTTGCTCACCTGCTTATATTGTAAACCCAGGGGCAGTGACTTTTCCTCTGCAGAAACACTAATGCTGTTTGCTCCTGCCCTCTAAAGTAAGGGGCTTCAAATAACCATCTTTTAAAGATTGTATTTATTTTTAATCATGTGTATGTATGTATGTATGTAGGTGGGCGTGTGCAGGTGGGTATGGTGTAGGGGCAAGCTGAAACCAGAAGAGGGCATCAGATTGCCTGGAGCTGTGGTTGTGTATCTTCCCAAAGAGTGCTGGGAACCATACTTCAGTGCTCTGCAAAAGCAGCAAGCACTCTTAACTACTGAGGCAGATCTCCAGCTGCTGAACAAGTCTTCTTTGGATTCTGTGGGTTTTTTGTGGTTAGACAGACAACTCTTCTCTGTAGAGCCCTCAGGTCTGTGGTTAGCAGTGCAGGAGTTGACACTGCTAGGCTCAGATTATCTCACTTGTGCTTGTTTCCTGAGTCCCCTTTACCTCCATCAAGGCAGTCTGAGCTTGTGTACATGGTGGCCTCAGAGTATCAACTGAGACAACTCCCAAGGTACTCTTTTCAAGCCTTTGCTTAGTTATTTGGCAATGTCTGATTGGCCAGTCACATGACTGGCCCATATTAAAAAGATGGGTATATGTATTCTGTCTCTGGAGTGGAAGCAGAAAATCTATTATCACTTATTTTATTTTGTTTTTTGTTTATTTGTTTGCTTGAGACAAGGTCCATCTATGTATCCCTGGATGCCCTGGAACTCATATAGGTAGACCAGGCTGGCCTCGAACTCGTAGAAAACCACCTGTCTCTCCTCCCAAGTGACGGGATTAAAGGTTTGTGCCACTATGCCCAGCATCATATCTTTTTAAAGACGGGATCTAATGCACCCCGGCTAAACTCAAACTTATTAATTAGGCTGAGGATGACCTTGAAGTTCTGATCCTCTTGTTTCCACCTCCCAAGAGCTGTGTGTGTGTGTGTGTGTGTGTGTACACACATAGGTGTGTACAACTATGCTGTTTGCCTGTGGACATTTTTTACCATTTCCCATACATGTCTTCCCGGTGTCTTCCACATTACCCTATTCTGTCTCTATTATCTAGGACTTATCAGACTCCTAAATGATCCTCCTGCCCCCCTCTATCATATAAGGTCCTTGAAAGTGGAGGCTTGCTCTGCTTTGTCCTCCCACATTCCCAGCACACTTAGGAAGTGTATGTTGACTAATGGCTTGTCTGCGGATTGGTGTGGAGCATGAGACAGTCACTTTAAATATGAAGGACCAGGAGGCACTCAGAAAGGAAGGTCTGGCATCCTTCTCCCAAGCTCTGAGATCCTTAGTTGACTCATATCCCAGTGTCGCCTTCTCATCCTTGGCTTCTACTGACAGGAAGGACCTGCTGATTTGAAACACTTTGACCCAGAGTTCACCCAGGAAGCAGTGTCCAAGTCCATTGGCTGCACCCCTGACAACGTGGCCAGCAGTTCTGGGGCCTCAAGTGCATTCCTCGGATTTTCCTATGCACAGGATGACGACGACATCTTGGACTCATAAGAGGCAAGCACTTATGAAGCCACCAAGACCAGCTGGCAACTTCCGGGACTACCTTCTGCTGCCAGAAAGACACAATGAGTCTGATGACTCAAAGAAGACGGAGGTGCTTACCATTACATAAAAGTCAGTGCAGGGCTCAGGCTGGCAGGACAGGGCACTGAGCACCCAGGTGTTTATAGTTTTGATTTGCCCTTCTTGAGAAATGACTCCTCTGTTTGGTTTGTTGTTGTTGTGACAAAATGTCCAGGAAAAGTAATGGAAAGAGGATCCATTTGGACTCACCATTTCAGGGATTTCTGCCCATGGCTTCGGGCCCCATGGCTGTCGTCTTTAGCCAAAGCTGAGTCATTTCGGTGGAAGGAGTGGCACAGAAAATCTGCTTACCTTATTCCTACCAGGAAGCAAAAATAGAAGACTGGGCTGGGAATAAGATTCACCTTCAGAGTAATGTCCTAAGTGACCGACACCCTCCAAGCGGGACCAACCTTTTAGTTATCACCTTTCCACGCCATACAATTATGAATCTATGAGTGGACTAAACAACTGATGAATCCTGGGCCCTTGTGATCCAATCATGTACTAAAAGGGTCAGCAGAAAATGGGAACCGTCAGAAAACACTTCAGATCCAAACTGTAATAGCTTTGAATATTGGGGTCACATGATCACAAAATGGTGACTGGTACCATAGCCACCACCATTGTGTTCTAAGCAAGAGAAAAGGAGGAATGGAACAGGAGTGGGTTAAAAAAAAAAAAGCACCATAACCAGAAGCCCAGTCCAGTGGCTTCCTTTAGCACTTCATAAATCCCCAGTCCTACTTAATGGAGCCTGGGTACAAGCTACTTCTCATAGTAAGGGAGTTCAAACATTCAAACACACTGAGGGAAAGGGGAAGAGTGTTTCATAGGCAGCCAGAACTCTGGGGAAGGTCCTCTTGGTATCTGAATTTTTATTTCAGTGTGTAAAATGATGAGATGTAGTGTATTGCCTTCAGTTTCACATGGCTGTGTGTGGATGGTCTCTTTGTTTTGAGTAGTATTAGATGAACTGGATATTTTCTAGTAGGTATGGTTGCCTCAAGACCTTTTAATTTTCAAGGAATTCCCTATTTTTGAGGCTTGATTAGAGGGGGGGAGTGGCTACCTCTATTTAGAATAGGAAAAAAAAAAAGCCAGATCCTGACTTCCTCATCCTTCTCTGAGCTCAAGCAAGGCACATGGTCCTGAGATGCATCTGTGCCAACCTGGGCCCAAGGACAGGACTGGGAATTCTCTCGAGTTCCTCCTGTAGAAGAGGTGACAATGTAGATTGTAGCACCCAGTCCTCGGCATAACAGGGCTGCAGCTCTGCTTCTGGAAGCCTCAAGGTTTTCTTCTGAAGACTTCAAAGTCTTTTAACACACTCCCTTTTTACTTAGTTGTCCAAAGTCAACCTCAGAACACTCCTCTTGGGTGAGTTGTGGAACAGATGTTCACGGCTGTTAGCAATTTTTATCCAGATGCCCCTAAAGCAGTAATTACTTTACCTTCTTTTGTCAATCAAGACACAAGGTCAGAGAAACTGTTCCTGCTTGAAGGCCACACCACTGACACAAGCTGGGATATGGAACTATTTGACCTTGGGCTCTACCCTGTAACCTTTGGACACGTCTCCTCCTCCTTCAGGCTGTTGAGTCTTCCAAGCCGATCCGCTGCCTAGCTTACTAAGTTCCAGGTGGTCAAGCTCCGTCATTTCAAAAGCTAACTCTGGCTGGCAAGAGTGTGAGTGTGTCGTGTATGTCCAGGTATGGGGTAGGTTGTTTTATTTCAGTTTCTTTTACAAACCTGCAGCACATACTCCAGGGTAGCGTATGTCCAGACGTGCCCAGGTATGGGGTAGGTTGTTTTATTTCAGTTTCTTTTACAAACCTGCAGCACATACTCCAGGGTAGCGTATGTCCAGATGTGTCCAGGTGGGGTAGGTTGTTCTGTTTTAGTTCAGTTTCTTTTACAAACCTGCAGCACATACTCCAGGGTAGCGTATGTCCAGATGTGTCCAGGTGGGGTAGGTTGTTCTGTTTTAGTTCAGTTTCTTTTACAAACCTGCAGCACATACTACAGGGTAGTGTATGTCCAGATGTGTCCAGGTGGGGTAGGTTGTTCTGTTTTAGTTCAGTTTCTTTTACAAACCTGCAGCACATACTACAGGGTAGCTTCATTAGCTTGCTGGTTGGTTTGGGGACAACGGGAGGACTTCACTTGGTTCCACCCCTTTCCTCTCAGTTTTGTTCCCTCTGTCCCCTGCCCTAGGAATTAAGGAGGGTGGCAAGGCTGGGACTCATGAAAATTACTATTAAGATTTGTATGGGAAAGAAGCAATTTCCATCTTAGCTAGTACAGGTTAATTGCTAGAGGTGGGATACAAGGAGAGAACAGGGATTTCCACTTACAGGATTGTAACTGCCAGAAATCTGAACATGCTGTCAAGTCCACAATCTGCTGGTTCTGTTTAAGATGGTAAAACCACAGAAAGTTTCACCAGGATAGGAAAGAAAAATGCAGAGCAAGTGCACTATTAAACTGATTGTGTTATATCTATGTTTATTGAAATATCGTCATATCTGTATATGTGTGTGTGTGTGTGTGTGTGTGTGTGTGTGTGCGTGCATAAACATGCCACAGGATACATGTAGAGGTCAGAGGAAGTTGTCTGCTTCCACCATGTGGGACTCAAGGATTTAACTCAGGTTGTCAGGGTTAGCAGCAAGTGCCCTTTTGCCAGCTGAGCCATCTCCCTGGGCCCACCCCAAGTTTTATAAGCATCATCTATAATCCTCAATAGGCATTTAGGAACTGTTCTCAATTTACAGGCAGGACACACTCAGATTAAGCAACTTGTCCAACTTCACCTAAGACAAGTCAGTCAGACACTGGATTTGGGAGCAGCTGACTCTGAAACCCTCTAGCTCCTTCTGGAACCTGGTACAGTGGGAGAAACACTCTGGGAGGTGCTCTCTGTATGGTCTATTAGGACTTCTAGTACACACCGACAGTACAGAATGGTCCCGTGGCTTGCCCGACTACAGCTCGCTTTCAATTGCATCCTTAGTCGCACGCTTATCCAATTTGGCAAGCCATGCAGCATTCCTTTAGAAAAGTCTCCTGACTGGAGATTAATTCAGTGGTAGAGGGCTTGATGTAGAAGGCTCTGGGTTAGCTCTTCAGTGGGAGGGGAGAGATAATGTCTGTTCACACTCTTAACCACTTTTTAAATTCATAGTGACATGGTTGTGATATATGCCAGACAAGTTGTGTATTTTAATATCCTAAATGCAATGGTTCTATACATGAAGACATGACTAAATTAAAATTAAAACTTCTGGGGTTCCTACACTCGCCTGCTCAAGCCTTGACGCTGCAGCCGCCTTGTACACAAACCCCATAGTCCTCTCGAAGGCAGAGTGCTCTCCTGAACGGAAGGGTGCCTGTTTGTAGATGCGGGCGTTTCTCGTTTCCATGGTAATCGTTTGCACAAGCACTTCCCTCTGCCCGAAATGCTTCCCCAACTCTACATCTCCGATCCCTCACAACTCCCTACGGCAGTTTCTAAGTTTTGGTAAGATCTGACATTTCAGGACTCCTGGCCTCCCAATCCTCTCACATTCCGCAGCCCTGCAGGTGTCTCACCCTCTCCCCAAATCCACCCAGACGCCCTGCGCCTGCAGCCAGACCAGGACGTGGCTTACCGCAGCAAGCTGGCCGCGAAGCCCACACAGTTTCCACCCTCAGGGTGGCCTGGGGACCTACTATCTTTATCGGTCTTTAATGGCGGCTGTAAGGAGATGAACAAAACGGGCTTCTTATTAAAACGTCAGTCCTCCAGCTTGGCTGCTCCCCTCACCCGTAGGAACTGCCCAGCCCGGCGTTAGACCCGCCCCCTACCCATCAGCCCCCGCGTTCGCTGCCAACTGGCACTGTCAGTCTGTCGCTCTGTCGTCATCATGCCGCGGCGAAAGGCGCTCAGAGCCCAGAGCCACGCCTTCTAGGCGCGCTTCCTTGGATACCTGGCGGCCTGTGGCCTCAGGTAAGGAGACGTTGGGTTGCGCCGGCCGGCTGGGCGTTGGGCGGTCTGGGGATGATGACCTCTTGGCCATGCGGCTCTGGAGACCCCTAGCCCAGCCTTGTGGGAAACTCGAAGTCGGCAGAGGTAAACTGAGGGCGCGTAAATGGGCTGGGAAATGGTCCTGGAAATGATCTAGAATCTCTAGTTGCTCAGACTGCGCGAATTTGTCGTCGTCCTGCAGACTATGAAAGAACCCTGGACAAGGCGCCATCAAGTCTTAGACTCAGCTGTCATCGCTACCACCTTTGTTTCAGCATTCTGACAAAATTTGATTTATCTAGTAAGGTTATTGAAGAGAAAATAAGAGAATAAGGTTGGACCTTATTCTACCCAAACGATGTTTTATTATTATTATTTCTTTTTAGCCTTTTCCTATTCTTAAGGAAACTCACTTTTAATTCTATTAGGACAGAACCCCAGATCTGCCCTTTAGCCAAAAAATAAAAAATAAAATAAAATAAATCGCAAAAGCAGAAAAATATGAATCTCAGTACTGTGATGCTTGGGTTCTTTGTGGTGTAATATAGTAATAGGTCAGTTCATCACTAATGTGACCATTAAAACTTTCCAACCAGGAAACTGGAGAAGGCAGGAAACTTCATTGTATGTACACAGAATGAAAATATGCATACATACAGAAGGATGAGATGGAGCATCAAAATATAGCTCTGTCAGGTGATGAAATCAATATGACATTTTTAAAAAAATTTCATTGAAGGGGTTAAGGATGTAGCATAGTTAGCACTGAGTGAGAGCATGAGGCCCTGGGTGTCTCAGACGGTCCTCAACACAGAAAAAAAAATGCCATTGGAAAGGCAGCAACATGGTAGCAATGTGCCTATAAACCCAGAACTCAGGAAACTAAGGCAAGACATTAAGAGGTTCAAGGCCATCCTCCACTACTTAGTAGATTAGAGACTAACTTGGGCTATGAGACTCTGAAAATAAAAAAATGTATCGAAGGTATCTCATATCAGCTCTGAAAACATGGATTGGTATTGGGGATCTTCTAGTAATTTAAGAAAAAAATAATGATGCTCATTTTGAGCATCAAAGTAAGTTTCAAATAGACCAAGAGTGTTTTAAAGTTTTAATTAGGGTTTATTTGTTGTGTATGTGTGGGTGTACATGCCATTGAGTCTTGTGGAAGTCAAATGACAACATGCAGGGGTCATCCTTTGGTTTTTTCAGTCTTGGTGGCAAGTGCCTTCAACTACTGAGTCATCTCTTCAGTTCACAAATGGACCCAAACTTCAGCGTTAAACAGTTATGTCACATTTCCCTGCACAAGACCTATACCAAATTGGACCTGTCAACATTGTCTCGTAGAGAGGGGAGGGCTCAGGAGGCCTTGTCCCTCACTGAAGCTCCGTGGCCACTTAAACGTTGCTAGGGCAGGGAAAGACATTTTCTTCTGTGTTATGCTATAGTCACCCATTTCTCACATTCCCATAAGCAATCCTAACTAAAGTCATTTATTTAAAAAAAAGAAAAAGAAAAAGACAAGCCAGGCGTTGGTGGTGCACGCCTTTAATCCCAGCACTAGAGAGGCAGAGGCAGGCGGATCTCTGTGAGCTTGAGCCAGCCTGGTCTATGTAACAAGTGTTAGGGCAGCCAGGTTACATAGTGAGACCTGTCCTGAAAAATAAATAAAATAAAAATAAATAAAATTTAAAAAGAGGAATCTAGAAATGTTTTTAGTATTTTACTAACAAATTGAAAAACATGTCACTAAATTTATGACTGATTAAACACTTGTATTACATCCTTAGAATACTAAGTAGTTATTTGAAGGGATTGGTTTATATGTATTGACAAGAAGGGGTGTCAAATACATAGTATGTTTTGGGGCAGCATTTATGGTAAGATCTTATTTCATAAAATTAAGTTATGCCTAAGATGATCTAGAGAGCTATACTCTACACTTGGCCGTGGTGAGCAGTGAGGAGTTACTTGGGAAATATGAGGATGGTGGTAGACAAGGCCATGAAAGTAGGCTGGTAGAAGGCCAGAGAGCAGCCTGACAGCTGATGCCAGGCACAGACTGGATTGGGTTTGCCACTGGTTTTTCAGCCGTAATTACGCATTGCACTCTCAACCTTTGAGAATCATTAGGGTTTTGTAGGTAGGTGAAGCTGTGTATCCTTCTCCAGTGTTATAGGGCACCTTTAACATGCTGCTTTTCTGGTTTGCTTTATAAGGTAACCATGGAGAAGGAGCTGCGGAGTACCATTCTTTTCAATGCATATAAAAAGGAGGTGTTTACCACCAACACTGGTTACAAATCTTTGCAGAAAAGACTTCGGAGTAATTGGAAGATTCAGAGGTGACCAGGATCTTGGAGACTGCTTTCTAAGTGATAATGGTGACATGATGGTAGACCTGAATGGTCATTTCTTAATTTTGATTGCTTAGGTGGGAGGGGCTCAATTTAAAGATTACTTGGTCAATGTTTTGAAGGTCAGACTGAATGTTATTAAGTTGCTCCTCATAAAAAATAAACATAATTATGGGTATATACTATTTTAAAATATCAGAAGTTTTCTCCATATTTTATACTTAATCTTAACCAAAAGGCAGAGAAGTTATTCTCCATGCTTTAAGTTAGTTTAAAACTCCAGTTTAGGGAAGAAAAAGTAAGAGTTAAATGAGAATGTCTCTGTTTTTAGCTATGCTTTCTTTAAATGTCTTTCCCCCTTGTGGTTATGAAGATTGAACCTAATACCTTGCTTAGGCTCTGCAAGTACTCTACTACTAAGTTTCAAATCTAGTCCTTAGATAGTTGTTTTGTTTTTTATATGTAGTCATATAAATTAAGATTAGAGCCGCACTTGGTGGCATATGCCTGTAATCTCAGCACTTCAGAGGTAATGGTAGGTAGAGTAGGAGTTCAAGGTTAGACTTGGGTACATAGTAAGTTTGGGACCAGCCTGGGCTACATGAGACATTGTCTTAAAATATAGATAAACTAATGGAAGAGTTGGTTGAATTAATGTTTGGAAGACTTCTTTATACTTTAGTGTGAGTTAACTTGAATTCCTTTGCTTATTGGGAGTGTCTGAACAGAGACTGGGTGCCTCTAGCACACTCGTGAGAGGGCCTCTCCTCTCACCTCGGGAGAGAGGCTGTTCTAGGACACGAACTGTCTCAGCTTTTGTGGTACCACCTAGTCAAGAGGCTAAAATAATTCATAAATTGGTTTAAACTATGGACCTAACTTTGTCTTAAAATTATATTTGCAGCTTAAAAGATGAAATCACATCTGAGAAGTTAATTGGGGTGAAACTATGGATTACAGCTGGACCAAGGGAAAAATTTACGGCAGCTGAGGTAAGGAATATTCCTATTGAAACCAAGAAAGGAGGCCAGGAGCAGCAAGGGCCTGAAATCATGGATTTGAGTCTCCCTTCTACACCTTCTATGTTGCCTTCGAGTAGACATTTCCCCTTTGTGGAGATGAACTGTGGTAACCCACAGAGTCCTAAACCCACGGGGAAGGTGGATAAAGGTCAGGCACATGTCTTTGCCTTAATTTTACTTTGAACATAGGAAAACTCCTGTGTAGTCTAGGCTGGCCTCAAATCCAATCTTCCTGCATCCACCTTCAATTGCTGGAATTGCAGTTGTATACCACCATGTCCAGCTTATCTATGCATTTAGATCCCTAACAACAAAGGTGGCACTTATATACAGATGGATGCTAGTCCTAAGCTGCACCACCATGCTGTCTTATGGAGACCTGAGGATTGAACCCAGGACCTAGTACCTGCTAGGGAAGCACTTTTACCACCTAAGCTAAATCCCCAGTCCCTGTTCAAGCATTTTAGAGTTTTAATGCTCAAAGCTAAACTTGTAGACATATTTTTGTGTATGTGTATGTTGGAGGGGATGTTTGTTTTTTTTTCTTTTTGCATTTTTGTTTTTTGTACATACTATTGGCATCCAGGAACTCAGTTTGTAAACTATATTGGCTTCTAACTCAGAGATCCTCCTGCCTCTGCATCTACTGAGATTAAAGGCATGAACTACCATACCCAGAACAGATAGATCTTGTATAGTGAGAAAATTTTATACTATTCTGTGAACAGTTAAATGGTTTATAGATTTGAAGTGTTTATTTTTAGTTAGTTAAGGCCTTATTCATAGTATGTGTATTTTAAACTATATTCATAGTTTGTTTGTTTTTCCCTTCACATAGTTTGAAGTCCTTAAGAAGTACCTTGACAGTGGTGGGGATATCCTTGTGATGCTGGGAGAAGGTGGAGAATCCAGATTTGATACCAATATTAACTTTCTTCTAGAAGAATATGGAATCATGGTTAATAATGGTGATTATTATCTTACTACATTTTATTTATTTTTGTGTACATGTTACCATGTTGTACATATGGAGGTCAGAGGACAATTTGGGATTTGGTTCTCTCCTTCTACCATGTGTATTTCAAGGTTAAAACTCATACTGTTAGGCTTGGTGGCAAGTACCTTTACTCACTGAACTGTCATTGGTTTGGTTATTATTTTAAACAAAGGTATTGATTGCTTATTTAATGTTTGTATCATAACCCTGTTGACCTACTGATGCACTGGAGGAAAGCGCTTCCAAGGTGACATGATCACCCATTCTGAGATAACTAGTACACTGAACCTTTGGTAAAGTGGAAGGGATTTGAACAGAGGTCTAGGTTTCTTTTCAAAATTTGGATGAGTCTCTATGTCAAGCTTGTTTCTAATCTAAAATCTCTTTTGCTCCATAAGATGCTGTGGTTAGAAATGTATATTACAAGTATTTCCATCCTAAGGAAGCTCTGGTTTCAGATGGAGTGTTGAACAGGTAAGAGTGTTGAAAGTGGAATGCCCTTCGTGTGACTTCCGTTTTTCTCACAAGCTCTTCCCTGACACACCTTCTCTTCCTTCTTGGCCTTTTTGCTTTATTTCTTATTCTTCAAATTATATTCTTCCATTTTTGGAAACTTCATATTTACTTTTTGGTCAGGATATTCTGCACTCCCACGTAAAGGAAAACTCTGTCAAGCGGGATTAACCAGCAAAGAAACGCTGTTGCTTTGCATGACTGGAAAGCACAGAAGTAGTGTAGGCTTTGAGCATGGAGTGACTGAAGGAGTCCTGGCACTGGGACCCCAGTTCCTTTACTTCAGCTTGGCATTCCTGTTTGTGTAGCTGAATATCTTTGTGTGTTTGTTTGTCGAGGTCGTCATCTTCTCCTGCCACTTATTTTTAATTTTTTTTTTACCAGGTCTCTCTATATGTATCCCAGTCTGGTCTCAAACTGTGATCTTCCTGCCTCACTCTCCCAAGTGCTGGAGTTAAAACTGTGTGCCACCAGAGCTAGCTTCCAGCAAGTTAACAGTTCCCTAATTGATAACTACTTGCCACACCATCTAGAGATAGCATGATATGATTCCTCACCATTCCCTCAAGAGTGTCTCCAAGGTTTGCTGTTTGAGCCATCCTAGGCCCCGTGCCCATCCCGGACTGACCCTGACTTCACCTCTTAGAGACTGAGACTTCGTCAGCTTTCATTGCTCTGGATCCTGAAACAGATGAGGGGCTTTTGGAATTGGGAAATGAATACATGAGATGGCAGTCTCAGATGCCCCATGAGCTTTTTCCCATGATGAAAATTATTCATTCTACACTTGAGCTTGCCATATGCAAGTACTCTGCTCACCTTAGTTATACAGTGTAGGATGTGGATCTAGGATATAGACCCTTTCTTTTGCACACACCTACAGCCCCCATACTTGGGGGTCTAATACAGAAGGATTGGCTCAATTTCGAGAATGGCAACCATGCCAACCAGTGCTACACAGATTCACTTCCTTCCCTCTTTCCTTCCTTTCATATGACATATTCATTCTCTGAGAATTTCATACAATGTATTTCAGTCATATTACCTCCCACTCCTCCCTCTAATTCCTCCCAGGTCCACCTCATGTCCCCACCCCTCCCAACTTTGTCTCCTCCCTCTTTTTTTAAAACAACACAAAAGAAGAAACTGAATCAAATATTTGTGTAGTTGGTTTCTTTCTTTTTTTCTTTTTTTTTTTTTTTTTTTCGAGACAGGGTTTCTCTGTATTGTTTTGGAGGCTGTCCTGGAACTCGCTCTGTAAACCAGGCTGGCCTCGAACTCACAGAGATCCGCCTGCCTCTGCCTCGCGAGTGTTGGGATTAAAGGCGTGTGCCACCAACACCCAGCTCTCTTTTTTTCTTTCTTTTGAATCAGTCTCACATTGTCCAGACTGGCTTTGAATGCCTGATCTTCTACTTCTCCCTCCCAAGGGTTGAGATTACATGAGTGTACCACTAGACCCTGTTTATGTGTTCCTAAGGATTGAACTCAGGGCCTTGTATGTCTTAGGCCAGCACTCTTCCAACTGAGCTACATTGTCAGCCCAAACCTAAGTTTTTTGTTGTTATTGTCACTTTGGTTTTTGTTGTTTTGTTTGTTTTTAGAATTATCCTACGTAGCCTTAAGTAGCCTGGAACTCACTTGTTTTTTTTTTTTTTTTTTTTGAGACAGAGTTTCTCTGTATTGTTTTGGAGGCTGTCCTGGAACTCGCTCTGTAGACCAGGCTGGCCTCGAACTCACTGGGATCCGCCTGCCTCTGCCTCCTGAGTGCTAGGATTAAAGGCATGTGCCACCAATGCCCGACCCAAGCCTAACTTTTTAATGTTAATCTTTGCAAGCATCTGAAAAGAATGTGGGTATGTGGGTGTGTGCTTTTGTTTACTCTTTGAAACCTGCCAAAGTACAGAGTCCTAGTTCATATTTACTGTTGATGAAGGCAGTGTGAAATCCCCCACTTCTTTGCTTACTAGATTTTAATGTTTTCCTTTTAGGGAAATTAGCCGAGCTGCAGGAAAGGCTGTGCCTGGAATCATCGATGAGGAGAGCAATGGGAACAATGCCCAGTGAGTGTGTTTCTGCAGCTCCCTGAAGAGGAAGGAGCTCTCACTTCCAAGTTGCTTTTTTTAAAATGAAGAGTTTTCTGATTATAAAAGTAATTCCCACCAAAAGAGTTCCAAAACCACCACCAGCAAAAACCTGTTTGGGAGCTGGAGAGATGGTTCAGTGGTTAAAAGTGCATACTGCTCTTGCAGGACCTGAGGTCGGTTCTCAGCATCCATGTCCGGCAGCTTCCAGTTACCTGTATCTTCAGGGAATCTGAAGCCCTGTTTTGGACTGTGGGCACCCCCACACACATACACACATACTTAAAAACAAAACCTCAACCCATGGTACAGCTTAAAAGGAAGCAAAGTAGAATTCTGCACGGTAAATCCCTGCTCCTCCCCTTTAGAGAATCATTGTGTCTTAAGAGTATGGACTTTAGATTTCCAGGTTGGTTGGTTGTTCCTCCGCCTCCACCCCCTACATCATAATAGCTAAGTACTTTATTACTTTTTAAAATGACTGTATCAGATTAGTTACATTCTAATTTATCTAAGTAGTGGTGAATGTAATTGTTCAACTTCACATGACTAATCTGTTGTCAGAACTTAGATTCAAACCTATGCCCCAGAGTCTATACTTTTTTTTGAGACAAAGTTTCACTATATGTTCCAGACTGGCCTGGAACGTGCTGTGTAGTGTGAGCTGGTCTCCCAGTCTTCTTGTGTCAGGCCTTTTTGAGTACTAGAATTACAGATGTATGCCACATGTCCTGCCAGAGACTGTACTTGGTTGGTTGATTATACCTTTACTCACTGTGTGTGTGTGTGGGGGGGGAGGGGTTGTGTATGCATGTACAACAGCATGTGTGTGGAGGTTGGAGAACAGCTTGCAATCATTCCCTCCTACTACTGTGTGAATTCTGGGAATTGAACTCTGGATTGGTGGCAAGTGTTACTACCCACCGACCCATCCTGTGGCTCCTAGAATCCATTCTGTAATCACTTGGATGCATTTGCTTTCTTACAGGGCTCTCACCTTTGTCTACCCTTTTGGTGCCACGTTGAGTGTCATGAAACCAGCCATGGCTGTTCTGTCTACAGGCTCTGTCTGCTTCCCACTGAACAGACCCATTCTGGCTTTCTATCACTCAAAGGTATTGACTTCTTAGATATGTCGGGGGTAGGGGGGTGTTATTTTGGTATTGAAGTAATAAAACTACTTTGTGATGGGCACATGCCTTTAACCCTAGCACTAGGGAGACAGAGGCAGTCAGAGCTCTGTGAGTTGAGTTCTAGGTCAGCCTGGTCTACATACTGAGTTCTAGGTCAGCCAAGGCTACATAGTAATGCCTTGTGTTGAATAGAAACAACACAAAAAATAGTATTATTTTTCCTGTAAAATATTTGCTTTTATGAGCTAGAAACTGGTCTGTTTTGTAGGCAAATAGATGAATCCACGAGAGCCCATTAAAGGGGTATCAAGGATTTATTAGGATACACTCACATATGCACATCAAGGCAAACAGCTGCCATGGTCTTCCGCTCTGCCCCCGGCTGAATGGAACCAGCAGTCCTATCTCCCACCACAGAGCTGAGGAGGCCCTCCCTCTTTCTTTAATGGTGTCACCTAGGCAGACAAGAAGTTCTGTCTCTTTCTGGCCAGATAGCCCAAGGTCATGGGGGGAACAAATGCCCACTGCACCGTTTTCCCACCGAAAATTGGATTTATTTCTAATTATCTTAGTTATGGCCATGGATTGTGTGTAGAGTCTCCAATGTTTTGGATCATTGGTTGCAGGGTTTTGTTTTATTTTTTTCCTTTAATTTTTTTTTTTTGCCTTTAGATGTGGTGTGTGTGTGCGTGCATGCGCGCGTGTGTCTTGTGTATATGTGTATGCAGTTGTGTGTGTGTGAATATGGGCACATGCATCCATGGCATGCAAATGGAGTCAGAAGACAACCTAGGAAATCGTCTTCATCTTTGACTTTGGGACAAAGTCTCTTGTTTGGTTCCTGCTATATGTGCCTGGCTGCCTGGCTCACAAAATTCCAGGGATTTTCTTTTTCTCTGCCTCCCAAAACCACACAGGAGTGCTGTGGTTATAGACATGTGTGCTACCCCAGCTGGCTTTATATGGATTTTGGGGATTCAAACTCAAGTCCCCACACTCACACAACCAGTACTTTACCCACCAAGCTATCTCTTCAGTCTTGGCTGCAGATACAGACAATTTTAGTAGCAGTGTGGTGTAAGAACTCACTCACTGAAATCTAATCAAAACTGATCGTATTTATCGAAAAGGCAAAGATAATTTGTTTTTACTTGTTGAACAACAGTAGTTAAGAGCACTTTCAGAGGCTCCAGTTTGGTTCCTACTTGGGGGCTCACAACCAGCTGTAATTCTAGTTCCAGGGAATCTGATGCCCTTCTCCGGTCTGTACAGGCTGTTGTTATATGCACATAATGCACATGTATTCATGTAAATTCATATATATAAATGAAAAAGAAATGTATTTCTAAAAATAAATAACAGTTAAGGGTAATTGTTTTCATAGTTGATATTTTTCAAATGTTAAGTCTTTGTGTGAATTAGCATTTATTGGTGTATTAGACAGTTGCTAATGTGATTAATGATGCATGTATTGTGCTTCAGGGTCTAAGTATCTGACATTGCTTTGTCACCAACAGAACCAAGGTGGGAAGCTGGCAGTTCTTGGCTCGTGTCACATGTTCAGTGACCAATATTTGGATAAAGAAGAAAATAGTAAAATTATGGTAAGCTTTTCTCTTTCATCAAATTAATACACACTCTGTAAGTATAACTTGGGAGGCAGAGGCAGTCAGATCTCTGCAAGTTCAAGACCAGCCTGGTCTACAAGAGCTAGTTCCAGGACAGGCTTCAAAGCTACACATGGAAAAATCAAAAAAGAAAAAGAAAAAGAAAATACTGATAAGTATATTTATTAATCATCTACATGAGTTGTGTTGAACATGTTAGATGTCAGACACTAGAAAGTACAAAGTTGAGTTGGGCATAGCTCATGCTTTACAGAAGTCAGGAGAGTGACTTGCAGTTTGGTGAATGTAGGAGAGTGTTGGGGAAGCATGCTGCCTTGGAGTGGTGGCTGACTGGAAAGGTGGTGAGGAGCAAGGGCCTCCTTTGTAAGCAAGTAGTGTAAGCTTACACTGAAAGCCCAGGGTGCTCGTGCAGGGTTTACAGATTGTGTGGATGGATGGAGGGAAGAGAGAGGAGCCAGTCACCCAGGCAAGAAAGGAGGATGGCTGAGGGGAGGTTATGCTAGTGAGTGGATCGAGGGCTGGCAGCATGAGTTAACAAGGGTTATGTGCAGGACTGCTCAATGGTAAGGAATGAAGTAGAAGCATGACCTTTGCCTTATCTACATAGCTGAAAGAGCAGAGGAGGATAATGGGGGAGCAAGCATTTTCCTAGTGTCTGCTAGACCTCAACGCTGGAATTCCAGCAACTTGGCTGCCAGAAGAAGATGTGTGCACTGAGCTTCTCTGTTGGTAGAGTGAGCCCTTCTAGTCTTACATTGTAGTGGAAGGTGGACTAGGGTCGACCTGGTTCCAGTGCCTCTCACTGTGCTCTGAAAAACTGTTTGTTTCTTTGTATAATTATGATTTTGTCTTCTTACAATAGCCAAAGCTAAAAAGGTGTGTTTTAAAAGTTTAAGCTGTCATCCTAGTAAACAAAGGTTGCTTTAGGATTGTAAACAGGTTTTAGTAAGTTTTGGCTTGTTACATGTTAGAAGCAAATAATAATAAAGGTTGCATTGATTGTTAATTTCCAAAGATTTTACCAACAGAAGGCTGACCATCCTTTTTTAAATTACTAGTTGTCTTTTCTCCCCACCTTAATTAACTTTTCTAGCCTGATCTTCAGTGTTCCCACTGAAGGTGTCTAACTATAATTATTATTTTAAATGCAGGATGTTTTGTTCCAGTGGCTCACGACAGGAGACATTCACCTAAACCAGATTGATGCTGAGGACCCAGAGGTAGGAGATTGTGAATCATTAGGAGACTGAAATGGAAAATGGGGCCAGCTTCATCCCTCAGACAGTCAGAAAGAAAGTGATGCTGCTTGGGGAAAGGAAGGACACATTATAGAGAGTCTTAGGCAAAATAAATAGTTAATCATAGGATTAATTGAAGTCAGTGCTTCCATATAAATATCAGGATTTAAATTTTGTTCTCTGGAAGATTGCTGGGTTAGAGAGATGGCTCGGTGTGTAAAGGCCCTTGTTGCCAAACCTGATAGCCTGAGTTCAATCCCTGGGACCTACATGATGGATAGAGAGAGCCAACTCCTATACATTGACCTCTTACTGTCACATGCATGCCGTGGCACATGTGTTCCACATATACAATAGATAAATAAAGTGCAAAATAAATGTAAAAAGAGAGCAAGGTAGGACAGTTAGTCATCCTGGGATCACTCTTTATGTTTCTGTTTGGATAGCTAAGCCTTGATGACTGTCTGAACTAGGATTTCATGGATGGTCTATGGGCTGGCCTGTTTCTATCCCCCGAGTTGTGTGCTGAGATGTGTTATGACACAATTCAGTCTTCTTGCCATTACTCTCACCCTTAGCTCACTAAAGTTGCTAAAGCTGCCAAATGTTGCTGGAAGGGCATGTAACTGTTTGTTTCTTGATTGAAAAAGCAGTTTGAGGATTGGGAGAAGTTGTTGGTTTCATTTTTGTTTTTGTTTAGGCTGGGTTTCACTGCATAGTCTTGTCTAGCCTGGAACTCAATATGTAGACAAGACTGTCCTTGAACTCACAGATAGCCCCCTATCTCTGCTTCCCAAGTACTGACCATAGGGTTATAGAAAAAAAGTGAGTGCATTTTATTGTTTCTATAATGCGCAGGCAAGTCTACGTTGAAGCTAAAGATTTTGTGAAACAGGACTAGCTGTTTGGTTTGCTTGTTTTGTGGTAGAGGTCAAAATCTGAGTTTCCCATATGCAAAGCATTCAGTGTCTGAGCTATATCCTCCAGCCCTGCAGATGACCAGCTTCTGTTGATACTCTTTGTTTGAGTCAGTCTCCCTGCCTGGTCCATGTTTGCCTTGAGCTCACAGCAGTCCTGTCTCAGCCTTCTGAATGCTGAGATCATAGGCTGTACTGCTACATCTTGTTACCTATCAGGGCTGTTGTTTTGTTGTTGTTGTTGTTGTTGTTTTAAGCTTTAGTAAGTTTTCTGTTGGATAACCAATTAGGGGGCTCATGCCTGGGACTAGCTAATTCTCCCACTCTCAACAATAGCAGTCATTAGCTACCTGTATTTCTTTGTCTAGGGAAGGAACCCTGTGAGATTTACTTTATTTTTCTTGTGTGTATGTGTGCTCGCACATGCCCACCCACCTGTCTCTAAACATGTATATACCACATATGCAGATGCCCAGGGAGGCCAGAAGAAGGCATGAGATCCTGTGAAGCTGGAGTAACAGGTAGTTGTGAGCCACCTGATGTGGTTGCTGGCAGCCAAACATTGTCCTCTGAAAAGTTCTTAATGCTGAGTTGCATTTTCCCCTTGTTTATACTGCCCTTTATTAAATAGTGTCCTCACTGGGCATTGGTGACGCATGCCTTTAATTCCAGCACTGGGGAGGCAGAAGCAGGCAGATCTCTGTGAGTTCAAGGCCAGCCTGGTCTACTGAGCAAGTTTCAGGACAGCCTCCAAAACAATACAGAGAAACCCTGTCTTGAAAAACAAGAACAAAAAACAGTGTCCTCTTGAGATGGACATTTAGATTCTCCTGGGCTTTTGCTATTACCCGCAAAGAGCACTTGTGAACAGTGCTGGGAATGTCCTTGGCTGGGGGAGAAGGGCTGAGTGAGATACAGTGTACATGGGGAGGGTCTGTATGTGTTTGTGCCACACTTGCTCATGAATCTCACAGGAGAGACAGACATGGCCCAGATGCTGCAGGGAGGGCTCTATGTTGTAGTGGGAGTTCATGGACTTTCTCTTATCTCCAATTTATCACTGTAATAATAAAGAAACGATGTTCTTTAAAATAACCTGAAGGAAAATTGGTTTGGATGGTTAAAGTGATAAAAGGGGTATTGCCTCAGATGGAGATGTGAGTACATTTGAGAGAGAGTTGATTTCTTAGTATTCAAGGTGAAAGACCGTGATAGTAAAAGGAGAATAATTGAGTCAGCATGGCTCCAGCAATGCTCAACTATGTGTAACTGGAGAGTTGGACTCAGCTAGCTTTGAGGTTCAGTTCAGTGGCTTTGTTCCTCTTTCTGCTTCAAGTGTCTGATGGAAGTTGTCAGCGATGACAAGTGGTGAGATCTCTTGGCAAGTACATAGAAGTTTTGTAGTCTGAGACCCAAGATGGTGGATGCCTTACAGAGTAAACTCCCATTTATTGTGCTGAAAGGAACTCTCTCTTGGCTTTTAGATTTCCGACTACACAATGGTACCAGACACAGCTACCCTTTCAGAACAGCTCCGAGTGTGTCTTCAGGAAGGCGATGAGAACCCTCGTGACTTTACCACCCTCTTTGACTTGTCCATTTACCAGCTGGATACAACCTGCCTCCCCAAGGTCATCAAGTTAGTACTGAGGCTGTGTGGGCTGCACATGGCAGTTCACTCTGGTTTGACAACATGAGCCTGGAGACAGTAATTAGAGATAATGTTACATCACAGCAGATGTAATAGGAAAATGTGTTCTCAGATCTGTTTGAAAAAAAGACTAAATGAATAGAATAAGGAAAAAAATTAAATTGGGCTGAGAGTTGTACTAGCTTGCAGAATTACATACAGTGCCAAAGGACACAATGAATGCTAGGGACAGTGAAGGCAAAACAAAAGCCATAGCAGCCACTTGAGCTTGGCACCTGAGTATCTGATGTCCTTACCATTCTACCCACCTTGCTGTGACGAAGAAGGACTCTTCCCTCTTTTGCCAAGTCTTTGCTGACTCCTAAAAACTTTTTTCTTGAGATTAGGTTTGTACTGATCTTACCATGGAACCCAGACTGGTCTTGAACTTGCAGTCTTTTTGCCACAGCCTCCTGGGGACTGGAATAGGCACGTGTTATACGTGACTCAGCTTCAGGTGTTTTTCAAGATACCTGTGTGCCTTCTTCCCTCTCTTACTCAGGGCTTCTCTGACCAGCCCCACTTCTTGCTCCCTTCCTGTCTCTATCCTGGATTTGTTTTGCTTCATACTACTTACTGATACCTCACATATTACCTGTTTTTCTGTGTACCGTATATAGCACCCAGAAGAAGCTCCTTTGTCTCTTCTTGCTGTGGTGCTTATAACAGGTGTAGCTACCTGGTACATGACAGACAGCGAGTCAGTACTTGCTGAGAAAAGTGAACACGTGGGAGTTCGCATCATGAAGATGTGTTCACTTCCCAGAAGCAGTCTTCATACTGGACTGCTGTCTCTTGGTAGTGAAAACAAGTCTGGAAACAGTGAGTTTCAAGAGTCACAGCATACATCGGGTACAAACCAAATCCCAGTGAGAGGACTGTTGAAATTTAAAAGGAAGCTTTCCCTTCAGTTCTCAAATAAGACTTTGTGATTCAAAAGATATCCTGTTAGACAGAGCAACACTTTAAAATTATTTTTCCTTTGCATTACATTTTATTCAACTTATGTGCTAAAATTTGGTTTCTATGATAAACACCATGATCAAAAGCAGCTTGGAGAAGAAAGGGTTTATTTCATCTTACACTTTCTGGTCACAGTTCATCAACAAGGGAAGTCAGGGCAGGAACTCAGGAAGGAGCTTGAAGCAGAAGCTCAGAGGAATGCTGTTTACGCTTGCTCCCCCGGCGCATGCTCAGCAAGCTTTCTTATAAAACTCTGCACTGTCTGCTCAGAGGATGGTACTGGCACAGTGGGCTGGGCCCTTCTGTACCAATCGTGACCAAGAAAACGCCCCATAGGCCCATCTGATGGAGGCAGCTCTGCACTTGAGGCTCCTCCTTCCCAGGTGTGTCAAACTGACCGCCAAGATGAGCCATACTCTGTGTGTGTGTGTGTGTGTGTGTACATGTGTGTGTGTGTACATGTGTGTGTGTACATGTGTGTGTACATGTGTGTGTGTGTGTGTGCGTTTGTACATGTGTGTGTACATGTGTGTGCGCGCGTGTGTACATGTGTGTGTGTACATGTGTGTGTGTGTGTACATGTGTGTGTGTGTGTGTACATGTGTGCCCATATGTGGAAGTCAAAGGATAACTTGCAGGAGTTGGTTGTCTCTTTAGCAAACTCTGGGGCTCAAACTCAGGTCATCAGGCTTGGTGGCAAGTTCTTTACCTGCTGAGCCATCTCACCAGTCCAGAACAACAGATTTGTTTGTTTGTCTTGCTTTGCTTTCTGGAAGTGATGAGGCTAGAGCCCAGACCCTTTGCATATGTTAGGCATATGCCCTATTACTGAGCTATTTCCATAGCCATTTAGAATAACACACTTTGTGTATTTTCTGAATAGTGTTGATGTGAGCAATTAGCTGTGCTTTACCACAGTGTCTTACCTTTATTCCCACGTTTTTTGTCCTGTTAACCCAGGGCTCATGAGGAGCTAAACGTGAAACATGAACCACTCCAGCTCGTCCAACCTCAGTTTGAGATGCCATTGCCAGCCCTTCAGCCTGCGGTGAGTGTGTTTAGGGGCTCCTTCGGCAGGGCTCTATGCCTGCCCTCAGTGTGGGCACCTTCATAGAAGTCCCAGTGTTCACCTCTAAGCATGTTCAGACATCACATCTGTTAGCATTTCCTAGGGACTTGTACATGGGGAAGTGCCCAAGGAGTCAGAGCATGGGCTTTCCTAGCCATTAAATGTTTCCATCTTGGGGATGGGGTTTGGAGGGCATGTATGAGACTGCCTGAGTGCCCTAATTACTATTCTATTGCTGTGATGAGACACTATGACCAAGACAACTTATAAATGAAAGTATTTGCCGGGCGGTGGTGGCGCACACCTTTAATCCCAGCACTTGGGAGGTAGAGGCAGGCGGATCTCTGTGAGTTCGAGGCCGGGCTGGACCAAAAGCCTCCAAAACAATACAGAGAAACCCTGTCTTGTAAAACCAAAAATAAAATAAAAAAAATAAAAGAAAGCATTTAATTGGGGGATTGTTTACAGTTTTAGAAAGAGAGTCCATGATCATCATGATGAGGGGCATGGCAGTAGGCAGGCAGGCATGACATTGGAGCAGTAACTGAGAGCTTACATCTGATCCACAAGTAGGAGATGGGGAGCACAAGACTCAGTCTGGTGTGGCCTTTTGAAACCTCAAACCTCAAAGCCAACCCCCAGTGACACACCTTCTCCAACAAGGCCACACCTCCTAATCCTTCTCAAAACAGTTCCACCAACTAAGGACCCAGCATTCAAATATATGAACCTATGAGTGCCATTCTCATTCAAACCACCACACTAGGTAAAGAGGTAGAAAATCTTTGTGATACCTTCCTAGGCATTGGGCACTCAGATCCTTAGTTTAGTTTTAACAGCCTGGGGGCATACAGCCACTGTATGACTTACTTAGGAGACATGAACAGACATGTTCACTCTAGAGGGCACTGATGACAGACTAAAACCATGATTCCACCTAAGTTTGCTTGACTAAACCAATGAGCTTTTGCAGTGGGTTGCTTAGATGAACATGGGTGAGGAGCTATTCACAGGTGGGGAGGAACAGGGCTACTTCTCAGCCAGCTGCATCACCAAAAAGCCCAACACGAGCTGTGGTGAATATTCATGAAAGTTGTATGTTGGAGTTTTCTGTCCACCTTGCAGGCACTTCCACCTGTTTATTTACCCGTCACCTAGATTGTGAGTCTTGTAATTTTGTGAGCTTCCTGAGCCTTGTAAGTTTCCTAATTCCTAGGAGTCTGTTTTCCCTTCTGGGGGGGATGTTTCAGTTGAGAAGAAGCAGCTACAGAAGAGCAGCCATATGTAAGGCGTTGTGCAACTTTTGAGTACTTCATTGTTTTAGGGTTTCTATTGCTTCAACAAAACACCATGACCAGATAGCAAGTTGGGGAAGACAGGGTTTATTTGGCTTACTCTTCCACAGCACTGTTCATCATTGAAGGAAGTCAGGACAGGAACTCAAACTGGGCAGGATCCCGGAGGCAGGAGCTGATGCTGCTTACTGGCTTGCTTCCCCGTCTTACCCAGCCTGCTTTCTTATAGAACCCAGGACCACCAGCCCAGGGATGGCACCACCACCATAGGCTGGGCCCTCCCCCATTGATCACTAATTGATAAAATGCCTTACAGCTGGATCTCAGCATTTCCTCAGCTGAGGCTCCTTCTCTAATGTAGCTTGTGTCAAGTTGACACACAAAACCAGCCTGTACAATTATTAAATGAACTTGTGTTATCTTTTCCTGTCCCCATACATTTTGTCCTCAATTTGCTAATTTGAAATTGGTGATGGTGATGTTTATACCCTGGAAGGCATCAGGTTGCTTGTCATGAGAGCTGATAGTTACAACTCACCAAGGGTCCATACCTATGAATGTTAAGTTTAGCCTTGTCTGCACTAACCTACATCTGCTTCTCCAATGACTTCTGTCCGTAAACAATGTGTAATAACCAGCAGGGTATAATGATGAACACCTATAATTCAGGACTCAGGATGCTATGGCAAGAAGATAACAAGTGTGAGGCTGCCCTGGGCAAAACAGCAAAATCCTGTCTCAGAACAAAACTAAACAAAGGCATGATTATATAGGAACAAGTTGTGGCATCAAATGTTCTAGAGACCTAAGCTCCAGGCTTGTGCTGAACTCATGGCACTGTTGTATTGGCGTGGTCAGTTTAGTGGCATAGTTAAGCTGGTTCTGTTTGTTGCTTTCAAGAGACTCAGCCTTACTTGACATGGTCCTAATGGATGAGGGCAGCTAGTGGTGATGGAGTTGGGATGGTTTCTCCCAGTTTAGGGATTGGTCAGCCTCTCATTGCTTATGCTTCTTGTTGCTGTTAGGCTCAGAGAGACTTGGCTAAAAGCCTGCATTTTCTCTAGGTCTTCCCTCCTAGTTTCCGGGAGTTGCCGCCCCCTCCTCTGGAGCTGTTTGATTTAGATGAAACGTTCTCCTCTGAGAAGGCGCGTCTTGCTCAGATCACCAACAAGTGTGAGTATTAGCCTGTTATGTTGTTTTTCTTACGACTCTTTTTGCTGTGAAGCTCTGTGACTTGCTGTAAGAGAATGTTTAAGACTGCTCATGAAGAACCGAATCCAAGCACATCGGTAGAGTTGAACATGTCTTTATTGCTTGAGAATGTGGTCCTCTGAGGTCAGTTAATCTAGTGAATCAGAACATGATGCTAAGAAGAAAACTAGTCTCACTTTAGATCCTCCTAAGCACTTAGTTCTGACCGATTGAGTGACCATAAGATGCATACTAACCCTGGCTTCTACCTTACAGATCTGGGTCACTGGTCATAAGAACATTTAGATTAGAAAGAGTCGAAGGCTGGCAAGGTGGCTCAGCAGGTAAAGGTGCTTGTTGTGAAATCGTGATTACATGGGTTTACATCCTGGAACCCACCTACAGGTGAACGGAGAGAATCAACTCTATGAAGTTGTCCTCTGACCTCCACATGAGTGCCAGAACAAGCTGCTTCCCGGATGCACACATACAAATAATAATAATAAAACAATTATTATTCTTAAAAACAAAAACAAAAAAAATGAAAAAGAAGTCAGGACTCATGTAGACTTCAAATTGTAGTGTCCTTCTGTCTGTCAACCCTCCTAATATGCTCTGCTTCTAACACAGCAAACAGGCCTGCACCTAAATAGCAAGAGACATAAACTTAACCACTCACTAGGAGGCAGTGACCCCCCTCCTGGGAATACAATTTAAGAGACACTTGAGCATACACAGATGTGGTGCACTCCTTTAATCCCACACTTGGGAGGTAGAGACAGGGGGATCTCTGTGAATTGAAGACCAATGTGGTCTACAAATCAAGTTCCAAGACAGCTAGACCTGCTATAGAGAAACCCTGTCTCAAAACAACAGCAATAACAAAAAGCAATGAAATTGGGAATATCCGTCACATTAACTAGCAAAGGAATGGTGGTTACTTGTTTCACATTTAATCTGTGGTTTAGAGCTTGGCTCAAATAATTCCAGCATTCAGGAGGCTGACAGGAGAGTTACTGAGTTCAAGGCCAGCCTCGGCTACAGTGCACAGCCCTGCCAAGAAGAGCCATAAAGACTGTACATCTTAGATAGAGGACTGCTAAGGAATAGCTTCACCAAGGACTCTTGTAATTACTGGCCAATTTTTCTTTTGTTTTTCTAATTTTCAGGGTATGAGATGAAAGTTGAGATGGGCTCATATAGCCAGGCTGACCTTGAAGTCAGTATGTAGCTGAGACCTGATCTCCCTGTATCTACCCCTCATCAGTTCCGGCCTCTTTTTGTTTTTTTGTTTTGGTTTTTCTGAGACAGGGTTTCTCTGTATTGCTTTGGAGGCTGTCCTGGAACTCACTCTGTAGACCAGGCTGGCCTCAAACTCACAGAGACCCGCCTGCCTCTGCCTCCCTAGTGCTGGGATTAAAGGCGTGCGCCACCAACACCCAGCTTCTTTTTGGGTTTTTAAAACTGGGTTTCACATGGTAGTATAAGCTGACTGTGAAACTCAGCTGGGTCAGTTCAGCTGACCTCAAAGTCAAGACCCTCCTGCCTTAACTCGAGTGCTATTAGGACAGGTGTGAGTTCGAGTCACCTTGTGTCATGGGCTGCTTTTCTTTTCTTTTTTTCTGAGACAGGGTTTCTCTGTGACTTTGGGGGCTGTCCTGGAACTAGCTCTTGAAGACCATACTGGTCTCGAACTCACAGATCTGCCTGCCTCTGCCTCCAGAGTGCTGGGATTAAAGGCATGCGCCACCACCGCCTGGCTCATGGCCTGCTTTTCTATGATAATTTATACTAAATGGTGGGGTTTTGTGTTTGTTTTACTAAGGATTGAACCTACGATTTTATTTTTCTATAATGCTCTTCCAGTAAATGCCACTCCCTACCTTCCTTATTACAGATGGAATCCCAGTGCTGCAGCCCAGTGCTCTCCCACTGAACTGTATCCCTAGTCTTTTTCTTTTTCTTTTATGTCACAGGGTCTTCCTGTGTCACCTAGGCTGCTCTCTTTCCACGGTCTCCCAAATGCTGGGGTTCTGGGTGTGTCCATCATGGTTAGCACAAATGCTACTTTCAACTTCACACATTACCTTTTCACAGTGCCCTTTGTATTTAGAGCCTGGTAACTGGAGTTCCTTCTGCTGCTTTTGTGCTTTGTGGTGTACCAGTGCTTGATTTGGGATGTGGGAAAGCCAAAACAGACAGGCTGTACTCTGATTAGGCCTGTCATTTTAGGCTGGGCATAGTGGCCACTCCTGTAATCCCAGCACCGAGGAAGCTTGTAGTTGGAAGCTTTTGGCATTTCTCTTGGTCCCACAGCCACTTATAATCACTCTGAGCCTTAATATTAATTATAATTGTTTTGTCAATGAAGCAGGCATATTACTGACTACCTCTCACAATTAAACTAATCCATTTCTATTAATCTGTGTATCACCACGTGGCCTTGGTTTACAGGTAATGTTTTGGCATCTTACTCCTTCGACAGCTACATGGCATCTCCCTACTCTACCTGCCTTCTCTCTGTATCTCTGTTTGAATTTCCTACCTATTGGTCACATCAGCTTCTTTATTAGCCATGGTAATAAACATACTCACAGCATCAAAGGGGCATCCCACATTAAAGCTTAAGTTAGGCAGGAAGATTGTGAGTTTGAGGCCAGCCTGGGCTATAACATGAGGCTGTCTCACTAAAGAACAACAAAATGTGCCACTTTGTCCTTACTTACAAGAGCAGCACATCCAAGTTCCCAGAGTTGCCAGAATGTAAGTCCCATGGTCACAGCATTCTAGGAAGAACTGAACAATCCTGAGAGGAAGGGAACACCTAAAACATGTCTGTACTCTGGAAAGAGCAGAAGTGAAGGGTTAATCAGACTGTACTGTGTTTAGGTACTGACGAAGACCTGGAATTCTATGTCAGAAAGTGTGGTGACATTCTTGGAGTAACCAGTAAACTCCCCAAGGATCAGCAGGATGCCAAACATATCCTTGAGCACATCTTCTTCCAAGTGGTGGAGTTCAAGAAACTGAACCAGGAGGCCCACTGACATGGCAGCCTTCAGGTGACAGCACCCATGTAGACTGTTAACAGCATTCATTTGCTCCACAAGTACCTACCAAGTGTCTACAGATGAACATATGATGACCCTTTGAAAATGGAACTTCTGTTCTAGCTGGAGGATCCCAGCAAATGGTAGCAGAGTGTATAAGCAAGCACTTAGTGGGCTAGAGGATGGTAAGTGCTGTGGTGTGGAAAAAATAGTTAGGCCGGAGGGATCCAGTGGGCCAGCATTCAGTAGAGTGAGCAGAGTTGACCCGGTACACATGGATGCCAGAGTCTGGGGTGCTGTTTGTGCCAGAGCCTTCAGCTCTGTGGGCAGTGGGCAGAATCCCCCATCCCGGAGTTGTGAAAACTTCATCCTTGAGTTAGAATCAACCATCAAGCCAGCTAATTACTACTGGTCCCAACAAATGGTGATTCCAAATTCAAGTTAATGTTCAAAATACCAAAGAGTTCCTATTTCAGGCTCTGTACTGAAATAAAATGAAATTCTTTGTTTATTGTCTCGTCCTGGAACATGATATTGATACAAGTGGAATGACATCCAGGACTTGTGGGGCCTGTGCTCTTGAAGCATCTTCTCACTGCAGACTCTGTGGTTTTGAATTCACCCTCCCTGCCAAAATGTCCGTACTTGGTTTTCTCTGAGCTGTGGGAGGGTTGTGCATCCTCTGTTATGCCCAGATGGAAGAGATGATTCATTTGCTGGAATTAAATCTATGATTGAACTTTTATAATTTATGAAATGGTCTGTCATTAATATCTTTTTTTTCTCCTCATCCCTGCTAAGATTTGAGTCTTTTATTGAAGATATACCTAATGATCAAACTTGTTAAAATACTGTACAGACTTCTGGGCTGATTCAAAGTCAGATGAAAGCCTAGCAGGAATAACTGCTTAAGCTAAAGCTGACCTTGTGGACTAATCTGAACATTACGAAACAAGCTGAGCATGTGTCCCACAACTTTAATCGCAGCACTCAGGGAAAGGCAGGTGGATCTCTGTGAGTTTGAGTTTGAGGCCAGCCTGGTCTACAGAGCAAGTTTGTACATATTGAGACCCAAAAGAGACTCAAAAAGAGAGAGAGAGAGAGAGAACTAACAAATGGCTAGAATTCTATAACAGAAGCTAAGATGTACGGTTGCAAGTTCTGAACTGTACATATGATTGTTGAAGCCATTGGGGTAGCTTGTCAAAAAATGGACTATTTTAGACATGACTTACGCCTATAATTGCAACACTCAAGAGGGAGAAACAAGAGGTGTTATGCAAGTTCAAGGCCAGCCTGATCCATACAGTGAGTTCCAGGTCAGCCAGGCGTGCATGTGAGACTCTTGTCTCAAGAACTGGAGGGTGGGGAGTGAACATTTTTTAGGAATTTTAAATTGGGAAAGATTGGGGGGTATAGCTCAGTGGCAAAGCAATGGCCCATAATGTTGAAGACCTTATCTTCAGCCCACAGCACCTCCCAAAAGAAGTTAAAAGACAGACCAATAGTGTGTGAACCTGACTGAATCCTGGCTTGGAAATATATCTACAAAACACATTTTGAGAACCAAGCATGATAGCATAGCACTTGTAGTTCTGGTGTTTGAAAGACTGAAACAGGAGAATTGCCACCCTGAGCTATGGAGACCTTTTCTCAAAAAGATAAAATGTGGGGCTGGAGAGTGGTTAAGAGTACTGACTGTTCTTACCAGGATCCCATTCCCCACACTCGCATGGTGGTTTACAGCCGTCTATAATTCCAGCCCAAGTGATCTGCTTTCCCTCTTCTGACCTTTATGGATGCCAGGTATGCACATAGTGCACATACCTACATGTAGATGTGGGACACACACACACACACATACTCTAAATGTAATAAAAAGGGGAAAATTAAGCCTACAGGGACAGTCTGAGTGTTCATAAGATATGTGACAGATATGATAATGACTTTAATGAAGTACTTAGGGGACACAAAGCAGAAATATTAAACTACACAAATTTAGGGATGTCCTATGATATTTATTGAAAGAAATTACTTATATGAAAAGCCAAGGAAAGCTGAGAACCAAAAGTCCTCACGCTGCTCTCCAGGTCAAAACCGAAACCCAAAGAGAAAGAGTCTCCTCCGCCTTGCTCTATTTATCCCATAAGTTCTATATACCTGTGAACACACCCACACGGGAGTGGTCCACACTTATGGACTTGTAAAATCACACCCTACAGGGATAAGCATTATTTTTTCTTTTTGGTTTTTCCAGACAGAATTTTTCTGTATTGCTTTGGAGTCTGTCCTGGAACTCGCTTTGTAGACTAGGCTGGCCTCAAACTCACAGAGATCCGCCTGCCTCTGCCTCCCAAGTGCTGGGATTAAAGGTGCGCACCACCAACGCCCTGTGGGACAAGCATTCTTTACACTGATCTGTACCCTACCCTCTATTGCTTTAAATTCAGAACAAGTGTGGCTCCTGTCAACAATTAAGCACTTACAAAGCTAAGGCAAAAGAATTGTTCAGGGTTGAGACTAGCCTGACATACCAAGTCAGTTCCAGGCCAGTCTGGGATATATAACACATCCCTGTCTCAAATCAAAATAATCTGCAAGCACCTCTAAATAGCAGCTAGTGCAGTGTGCACCCTTGTAAGCCTAGCTACTTGGGAGACTGAAGCAGCAGGATCTAGACCTGGCTGGGCACATAGAGAAACCCTACCCTACAATAGCAAACACACACATACATACACACACACCCCTAAGCATCAGAGGGCTATTTTACTCTGTTCTTAGGGTTGTTCATGTGCCTTACAGAAATTTAGGAAGTGTTGTTTGTCTGGCTTTGTTTTGTTTGAGGGTTTCTCTCTGTAGCCCAAGCTGGCTTCCAACCCCTGGTCATCATCCTGCCTCAGCCTTCTGCATGCTAGGATTACAAGCATGGGCCACCCTAACTAGCTTGAAGTTTAGGGATTTTTTGTTTTGTTTTGTTTAATTTAAGATTGAAAGGGGTAAACTAAACTCAAAGGCTTCACTTCTAATAATTTAGGAATAAAGGGACCAGACCCTCACTCAGACCCTGCCTTCATAGCCATGACAGGCTACAGAAAAGACACAAGGAAACTCCAGGTCCTCTGGCCTCCCAGAGCCTAGGGCCAAAACTGAGCACAAACTCCAGACCCCTGCTAGCCTCCTAGATACTTGTTTCCTGGGAACTGTTTGGCCACAAAAAAAAAAAAAAAAAAAAAAAAAAAACCTCTAGGGGAGACCAAAACTTTCCAGGATACAGTTCTAAAAACTATCCATATCTGTGTACAATAAGCCACCTGCAAGAAACAAGACAAAGCCATAGAAACCACAGAATGTTTCCTCTCAGCACTAACCAATGAAAATAATTGGTACACAGGTATTTTGTGTCAAAATATGACTTTGAGAAATGTCAACCAATCAGAATCCAGTGGTACCTATGCAATTCTGTAACTTTTGTCTTTAAAACCTAGCAGTAGGCCGGGCAGTGGTGATGCACGCCTTTAGTCCCAAGCCTGGTCTACTGAGCGAGTTCCAGGACAGGCTCCAAAACAATACAGAGAAACCCTGTCTCGAAAAACCAAAAAAAAAAAACAAAACAAAAACAAAAAAAAAAAACATTGCTTTTGCAATTTGGTGGATCTGTCTTCCTGATAGTCTCTGGGAAATCTTTGTGACTTGGGCCCAATAAAAATGTAATTTTTTTATGCCAGGCATTATGATGCTTGCCTTTCATCCTAGCACTCTGGAGGCAAAGGCTGAGTTTGATGCCAGCCTGGTCTACATAGCTAGCTCCAGGATGGGCCAGGGCTACACAGACAAACTCTTGTCTCAGAAAAAAACAAATCTTGTTTTGTTTTATGTATGTGCATGTTTTGCCTGCATGTATGTGAGTGCACCATGACTGTGTCTGTTGTCAGTGGACCCAGAAGAGGGCACCAGGTCTTCTGAAACTAGAATTAACTGTGGTCATGAGCGGAGTACTGAACTACAGTTTAGTTTTTAATTAAAAAAAAATTAAGCAGGCGGTGGTGGCACACGCCTTTAATCCCAACACTCAGGAGGCAGAGGCAGGCAGATCTCTGTGAGTTACCAGCATGGTCTACATGAGTTAGTTCCAGGACAGCCTCCAAAGCCACAGAGAAAGCCTCTTTTGAAAAACAAAAAACAAAAACAAACATCCCCCCCCCCCAAAAAAAAACCAGCAAGAACAAGAACAGTGTTTAAGTCTTGAGCATCGAAGTAAATGGTGTAAGGGAAAGAACTCCACCCTCTTCAGCTATCCAGCTCCCCTCTTTGTAGCCAGTGTTACCATAAATAGAAATATATTCTTTAACCTTACAAGAATGCAGAGCCTGGACTCTCATGCGGAGAGGGGAGCAGCTTGAGGTCTTGGCCGCTAGGGGCAGCCAGCTCCACCGGCCCACACTGCCAGGCTGGCAGGGTCCAAGCCCTTTCTAGTACATACAGGGTGGTGTCTCACTGCCTCACTCTGTCAGCTCTGGAAAAGAGCCAAGGTGCTAACATGCAGGCCTTCAGGCTCCACACTTCTAGTAATTTGGGAGAGACCCCTAGAGTCATGCAAAAGGACAAAATTTCCTGTGTGGGCATATACACTTATGTTTTGAAGATTTAATCTTACCATAGTTGTATAGTTGTGAGGCTGCTCTTTCTGTTTCAGGAGAGGGGTTTTGATTTCTTTGATTTGAGATGTTTGTTTTTTTGAGACAGTTTCACTATGTAACCCAGGGTGATCTGGAATTACCATGTAGAACAAGCAGGGTTCAAACTTGGAGTGATGCTCCTGCCACTGCCTCTGCCTCTGCCGCTAGGTTTGCGGGTCTGGGCCACCAGGTCTGGTTTTATGTGGTGCTTGAGATCACATACCAGACATCATGCCTGTTCAGGAAGCACTCTACCAAGCTTCTTCCCAGCCCATCCCCCACACCCCGATTCTTGTTCTATATGTCAGCCATTGGTTCTGCAGGAACTTTGCCTCTAGCTCCTGAGTGCTGGGATTACAATTGTGTACTTTCTTTCATTCTCTTTTCCTTCCTTTGAGACAGGGTCATCTCATGTTACCTAGGCTGGTCTTGAACTCCTGGACTAAGTTGATCCTCCCATACCAGTTTCCCTCCTAGCTGGTAATGTAGGCCTGTACCATGCCTATCTTATGTATGTGTTTAAGAAACAACTACAGGATAACACAGAATTAAAAGTTTAAGGCTGGTCTGGAGTGGTAGCACACACCTTGGCATGCAGATCTCTGGTTTACAAATCAGTTCGGAACATCCAGGGCTGTTGTTACACAGAGAAATCCTGTCTTGAAAAAATAAAACAACAAAAAACCCCAAAACTTTGAGACAGTCTGTAGAGAGAGTTCCAGGCCAGCCTGGGTTACATGGAAGGGCCACCTCGCATCCCTTTTCTTTTTTGTTTTTGTTTTTCAAGACAGGGTTTCTTTGTGTAGCTTTGACTGTCCTGGAACTAGCTGTGTAGACAAGGCTGGCCTTGAACTCACAGAGATCAGACTTCCTTTGCCTCCCAAATTCTGGGACTAAAGGTATGTGCTACCTCCTTCCTTCCTTCCCTCCCTCCCTCCCTCCCTCCCTCCCTCCCTCCCTCCCTCCCTCCCTCCTTCACTCCCTCCTTCCCTTCCTCTCTTTTACTTTTTGTTTTGCAGTTGGTGGTGGTGGTGTTTAACTGGCCTCAATTCCAGGTCCTAGGTGACCTCTGCACTACTCCCTGCCTCTTTGGGTACATTTCTTATGCAAGTTTCCAGGTACTGTTTTTGTCCAAAAGGAGATTGGTAATCTACATGAGAGTGTGTGCAGCCTGCAGAGGAGCTTCTTGAACCTCACAGGAAGGCAGCTGGAGTCCGAATAATAATCAGAGTACTAACAGAAGGGGTATAGGTGTCCTGAGAAAGGCTTGTGGGAAGCCCTGGGTCTAATCTCAGCAACAAAAATAACCTGACAGCCGGATGGTGGTGGCACATGGCCTTTAACTCAGTACTCAGGAGGCAGAGGCAGGCAGATCTCTGTGAGTTCGAGGCCAGCCTGGTCTACAGTATGAGTTCCAGGACAGCCTCCAATGTAATACAGAGAAACCCTGTCTCAAAAAACCAAAGCAACAACAAAAAACCCAAAACCAACCTAACAGTAATATAATACTATGTGCCTTATGTATATTTTTGATCCTTTTAATTGTATAACTACCATACAGGGCAGATATCTTTGTAGTGCATGTTTTAAATACCATAGCACCAAAACAGACTGTAGGAAAAAAATAATCTCCCACTTCTTTGGCCTGGGGCCTGCTTTGACCAGGCTATTCTACAGAAACTGTAGACTAGGAAATTACTTTGCAAAACAGACCTTTTGTAAAAGAAATTTACATTTGTAAAGGACATCTACATTAGCCAGCATTCTGTACTGGGAGCCCAGCTGCTGCCAATAATTTTTTTTTAATTGAGAGACTTATTTGCATGACAAGAACACCTCTATTTGCCATACAATTCCTTTCCTTAGCCCCTAGTAACTTGTGTCTCCACCACCCTGCCCTAGGACTCCATTCCTTTCTGTAGCTCAAGAAATTTCAATCATCTGACGTCATTATTTTTGGGACTCCCATGGATATGTAATTAATTAAATATGAGTTTTTTCCTGTTAATATATTTCCTATCTATTTAATTTGTAAACAAGCCAAAGATACTAGGGGGAAAGCCATTTATTCCCTTTCCTTACTATAAACTCTAGAATTAGAATTTGGTGAAGTCTGTGCCTCAGTTTCTCCCTCTGCTAACAGGTAATACTAGTATATAACTTATTGGCTTGTTAGGAAGATCAAACTAATTAGAATATAGGAATGGTGACTAATACATAGTTTTTTTTAAAGTCTTAAGATTTTGATAAACTTTTTGTAGGTGAGGAACCTAAGACAATAGGAGTTTGATAATTTGTCTGAGATAATGCAACTAGGGAGAAGAAGGCTGGGAATCAACCCCCAGGAAATCTCGCTGTGAACATGCTAGCAATGAATTTCTTTGCAAGGATTGGTGGGGGAAGCCTTGAATTAAGCAACGTGGAAATTTGTAGTTCTTAGGTCTTCATTCTGCTGTTGTAAATGAAGTTTGAATTATTGGACTGTGTTCAGGGGGCCAGCCATTTTTGGAAGAGGGATCTGAGGCCTGAGATGGGCCTAAATAAAAGGTGTTTGTCTGGGGCTTTCCTTCCTTCCTATCCTTCCAGGAAGTCCCAGTAAGGTGACACGCAGTATTTAGTTGGTAAATGACAACCTAGAATCGAAAGTCCTTACCAATACAGCGAAAGTTGAACAAGTCAACAAACGTTTGCTCGGAGGTTTCCTGCACCTCCTGGTAGGAAAGGCTGCTAAAATTCCTGGATACTCTCAGTGCAGCTGAGGAAATGCATACATACATACGTCAGCAAGGGTATGGGACCCCAGTGGTGGGAGGTGTGGGAAATTATTACTCCAGATAATGGCCCAAGCAAAACCTAGGAGATTAAATTTCCCACTCTGGGGCTGGCGTGGTGATCTGGAAGAGTTTTAAAAACTTAAATACAGAGTAAAAGAATCCCGAGAGAATAGTTCAAGTTTGGTGAGAGAAACGTTGGTATTTTTAGCTGGTTCTCTCTGAGGCAGATGAAAAAGCAAGAAGACTTGGTAAGGAAAAGGGGCAAACCCAGAAAAAAGTGAGCTTGGGGGCTGTGGGAGCAGTGACTTGGACTGGAGCAGTGGCAATTGGGGCGGGAAGTTTCTCCCAACTCCTTATTCGGTTCTTTGCTATATAAATTGCTCAGGTCTACTTACGATCCGCGCAAGGCCGGGCCCTGCGCCTCATTCAGTCCCCAAATCTGGAGGTCCTCGCAACCCAGGCAGTAGCATCTTGCCAGTCAGACCCGCAGGCTATGTCCGAGTGCTCCCTTAGGCTAGTCCCCACCCCTCCTTATTCCCTGCCCCTCCTAGGGCTCTTGCGCGCGGGCTCCGCCCCTCGTCTCTTGTCCGCCCCGCCCCTTCCGTACGCTCCGCCCCTGCGCTCGCGCGCCAGGTCCGGGCGGCGCCGACGCACTTGGCGGGAGATAGGAAAGTGGTTCTGTGCACTCCCGAGGCAGCTGCAGTTCCTGAGAGCGCGCGACAAGACCTACAGACACGCAGACGCCTCAGAGCGCCGCCTGGGGCCGGGAGCGGCCGGAGCAGCCGGAGTCCTGACCCCGGCCCGGCTCCCGCTCCGGGCTCGGCCGGCGGGCGTGAGGGCGCGGCGCGGCCCGGGCCGGGGGGATGTCTCGGCGGACGCGCTGGTGAGCGCTGGGGTTTTCGCCCCTCCCCTTGGGTCTGTAAACTTGAGGTGGGGTTCCCCGCGGGAAATGCACCCCGCGCGGCCGCTCGGTACCGGGGCGCCGCCCGGTGCAGGGGTGCGCGCCACGCTAAGGGGCTTTAGGGACCCCTGGTCCGGATTCCCGGGCCCAGAAGGCCCTGGAACAGGAAAGCGCGGGTTTCCCCCAGACCTAATCCCGGCCCTGGGTGAGGTCCATCATCTCCCGCCTAATTGTAGGGTGGGGAAGGAAAGCTGGTGCGCGCCGTGTCAGCTGGAGGCTCACTACCTGGCAGGGAGAATGTCTCTCCTAGTCGCAGCGAGTGGGAGGCAGAAGTCTGGGAGACACTTGTCGTCCAAGAGTGGCTCGAATTTGCTGGCGTTCTTTTCTTGTTTGTATTCTGGGAAGCACAAAACCCCTGGGCCCTCGGCCGGGTGTGAGGGGATTTATTGTCTGTCTCCTGGGGATTCGGCGGCCGGTTCGGTTTGGTTTCAGAAGCCCTCTTCCTGTCCCACGCTGGTTTTGGGCAGCTGGGGCTCAGTAGAGACTGATGATGTGTAACGATACTGATCTGCCTGCAGCCGCTAGGCCAAAGGCAGGAGCCGCGTTTCTCTCTTACTAGTTCCCCAGAGGGTAAGTGGCTGGTTAAGCATGGACATTTCGTACACCTGTGTATCTGGGACCTGATCGCGGGGCTTTCCAACCTCTCTAAGGAGTGGGATAATGGGGTCCTGCCGTGTTCCCTCTGGGACTCTCCCATCCAGATCACCCACGGCCTCAGATGGCCGAACTGGGCTTAGGATGAAGATACGGAACAGAGATGACCTGCTTGCTTATTTTCAGAGTTCCTCGTGGCTTTTAAGTATTCGGTTCCTGGGTGCTGGTCTGGTTGGGTTCCCATGCCCCAGTTTCTAAGGCCCAGTGCCCAGGAAGAGCATCCAGGACTCGCTCATTTGGAGGGACCCCTGTGAAGCAAGGCCTCAGTGCTCTTGCCTCCTTCAAGCCCCAGTCCCTTTTCTGCCACATGTTATAACTCCCTTGTACCCCAGTGCCCCACTTCCCTCTTGGCCTCTGACTCACCTTTCCCTGGAGCACAGCCCAGAACCTCCAATGGCAAGAGAAAGGGCATGTGGACAAAATGTGATTTTTTTTTTTAAACTACACACTGGCCTCTGCTTTTCAATTAATGGGGAGGTGAGGGTTTATAGGGGTGGAGCCTGACACAGCATAATCCTAGTTGGCCTCAATGTTCACATCTGTTAAATGGAGACCTCCAGACTGAGTAGGCATGGTGTGAACGCCATCATCTCCACCTGTCTAATAGTGTTCCCATTGCACAGCACCAGAGCTTCCCTGTGCAGACACCTTTTGTTCTGGGACATTGGCTGAGTTTCTCGTAGATTCTGGGCCTTGTGCTGGGTACTGGAGAAGCAAACTCAATTGTAAATGCTTAGTAGATTTTGCCTTCTGCTTTACAATGGTAGGTGGTACATGCATTGGGTCAGAGAAATGACAGAATAAATCTGTTGTAGATCCAGTGACATGTATTGTTAGGTTTAGAAACTTCTTTTCATTTTAATTGAATTTTAACATTGTTTAGTAGGCAGCTTCTCTTTGTAAGTGTTCCTTCATTCACAAATCCACTCCTTTCCTGGGAAGCTGTTTCTTAAGGCTTCTCTGTGCCAGATTCCAGGTTGTGAAGGTGGAGCTGACCTTTGCGGGTGCTATCAAGACCAGAGGCTGGAGCTGAGGTCAGGGCCTGGTTTTCCAAAGCGTTTTGGGCGTGTAGGAGTGTCTGGGAAGCTGTGCTGCCTTTGGGGGAAGAAAAGGGAAGGGCAGTGTAGATACCAATGAAAACCCTCATGGCTTGTCTTGTTTGCAAATCTCTTTGCTTTCCCCAGTTGCAGATGACTGACCTAGTAGTATACCGGGAAGGATTAACAACCTGTAAGTAACTGGTTGTTTTCCTTCCTTCCTCCCTTAATTATGTGCTAGTGTGGTTAACACATTTGGGTGTAGGTGCCTCAGCGGTCAGAGGCCGTCCGATCCTCCTGGAGCTGGGAGGTGGTGGTAACTGGAGCTGGGAACTGAACTTGCGGGTCTCCATCAATTCAGTCCCTAAGAGCGTTCTTAGGTGTTCAGAGTGGGATCTCCTTTTTCAAAGACTCCAACAAAGAGAGTAGGATTTTGGTAGCAGTTAAATAAAAAAACTTCATGTTAGTTGGCCCCGAAGTGTAGGCAGGCCCCTCTCTGAGTGAGTCTACAGCACGGAGTTCCAGGATAGCCAGAGCTACACAGAGAAACCCTGTCTTGAAAAACAAAACAATAACAATCTTCCGTTTTAGTTTCTTTCTTTTTTTTTTTTTTTTGTTTTTGTTTTTTGAGACAGGGTTTCTCTGTAGCTTTGGAGCCTATCCTGGTACTTCCTCTGTAGACCAGGCTAGCCTCAAACTCACAGAGATCATCTGCCTCCCTAGTGCTGGCATTAAAGGCATGCGCCACCAACACCCGGCCCCATGTTAGCTTCTTAAAAAGTCTTCAGACGTCAAATGATTGTATTCTGTTATTTCTGCTCATTAATTATGCCCACATGCAGGCAAGAATTGGAAAGGGACTGGCAAGAATGAATAAATTTTTAATGTGTGATGGATATGCCTTTAATCCCAGATAAAAGGAATGGAAAAATTAGTGATACATGTTTTAGATGGTTTCCTAAGTGACTAGGACTTTAAATTTTTTGTTTTGGTTTTGGTTATTTGAGACAGGATTTCTCTGTTTAACAGCCCTAGCTGTCCTGTAGCTAGCTCTGTAGACCAGGCTGGCTTCTGCCTCCCAAATGCTAGAATTAAAGATATGGGCCACCACTGCCTGGCAGGACTTTTAAGATTTTGTATGCTTAGCCCAGCGGTGGTGGTCCACGCTCTTAATACCAGTGCTTGGGAAGCAGAGGCAGGTGGATCTCTGAGTTTGAGACCAGCCTGGTCCAGGACAAGCTCCTAAGCTACACAGAGAAACCCTCTTTGGGAGGGGGAGAGGATTGCAAGTTTGATGATTACATGTTGTCTTGAAAATATCCAGTGCCAGGGACTAGCTGTATGACAAGACTTCCTCAGTAAATCACACACACACAAAAAAAAAACATAACCCTGAGCAGGGCAGCTGGCTCAGCATGTAAAGGTGCTGGCACACACACATAGGCATACAGATAATAAATGTATTATTAAAGCTCATAAACCCATTTCATTGAGAAGAAAAGAGAAAGCAGAGTCTGGGTGGTAGAGTATGCCTTTAATATTAGCACTGGCAGGAAGATCCAAGTTTAGAGCTATCCTGGTCTACGTGGCAAGTTCCAGGACAGCCAGGAAAGAAACCATATAGACAGTGTATCAAGAAAGAAACTAGTGCCGGGCGTTGGTGGCTACACGCCTTTAATCCCAGCACTTAGGAGGCAGAGGCAGGCGGATCTCTGTGAGTTCGAAGCCAGCCTGGTCTACAAGAGCTAGTTCCAGGACAGCCTCCAAAGCCACAGAGAAACCCTGTCTCGAAACCCCCCCCCCCCCAAAAAAAGAAACTAGTGTAAAAAAGAAACCAGAAGGCAAAAATGTACCTGTATTTTTTGGCTTTTTGAAACAAGGTTTTATGGTACCCAGACTAGGCTTGACTTAATTATGTAATTATGATGACCAAACTCTTGATTATTTCCCCCCACCTCTGCACCCCCCTCTCCCCAAGTGCTGGGATTACCAGTGTGGGCCACCACACCCGGCCTGTACCTAACTTTTGTGAAAGTAGAAAAGAAAGGCCTGCCACCCCAAACCTCAGTTGACCTTACCCTTGCCCATACACTGGCATCCCCAGGTGAAGGTATGTAAACATGCTCTCCATGACCTTTAGCTTGCTTCCACAGTGAGGAGCTGGAGGAGTTGCACTACCAGGACACAGACTCGGACCTTCTGGAGCCCAGAGACAGCAAGTGCAAGGTCAAATGGACCCATGAGGAGGTGAGCGCAGCTACCCCAGGGAAGTGGGGTGGGGTGGGGGTTAATGACTGGTGGTGGTGCCTAATGTCCCCCCATCTGTGAATAGTGAAAACGTTGATGGGCCATCTATTTCTCTTTACCTTCTCAGAGCATTCTCAAACTCTCAAATCTGAGGACTGGGGGTGTGGTCCTCAGGCCTCAGGATGTGTGCTTCTTGTCCTTTATCTTAGTCTGCTCTCTGTTGTTGTGTCCTAATTCCAGAGAGTAAGTAGTTCATTACAAAAGGGTTATTCACCTCACCATTCTGGGGTGCTTATAATGAAGACGTTTTTACTGGCAGAGACTCTGTGTTCACAGGCAATTTAGAGTATCACACGACAAAAGGGTTATGTAAGAGGCAGCGGCAAACTGGCTTTTTTCCCCTTCCTTCCTTCCTTCCTTCCTTCCTTCCTTCCTTCCTTCCTTCCTTCCTTCCTTCCTTTCTTTTTATTTTTCAAGACAGGGTTTCTCTGTGGTTTGGAGCCTGTCCTGGAACTAGCTCTTGTAGACCAGGCTGGTCTTGAACTCACAGAGATCCGCCTGCCTCTGTCTCCCAAGTGCTGGGACCGCCCTGCCAAACTTATTTAAGATACTTACCCATCGGTCTGTGTATTAATAATCCATTTTGACAGCAGAGATTATATGACTTCAACACCTCTAGTACTCATGAGATTACCTCATACTGCATAGTGGAGATTAAGTTTAAATTTGAGTTTTGGTGGAAACATGTGACCTAAGTACCCTTGCTGCAATCCTTGTAAAAAATGTAAAGCAAAATAATTATTTTACATGTATGGGTGTTTTGCTTGCATGTGTGTGGGTGCACCACTTGTTTATGTGGTACCAACAGAGGCCAGAAGAGGGTGCCAGGTCCACTGGAACTGGAGGTGCAGATGGTTGTGAGCTGCAGTGTAGGCGCTGAGAACCCAGGTCTTGTGGGAATGAGCGGCCGCTGCTCTTAACCACTGAGCCCTCTCTCCAGCTCCTTTTAACTTTATGTATTGCTATTTTTGTGTGAGAGGGCTGATGTGTGCTACAGGTTTTCTTTTCCCTTGTTGTGTGTGTGTCTATTGAGATAACTTTTGGGTCAGTTCTTTCCCGTTCAGGTACTAGGGATTGTTATCAGGTTTAGCAAGTGCCTTTATCCACTGAGCAGTCTCTCTGGTACTTTTCTTTTCCGTTTTAAGACAAGATATATATATATATATATATGGGATTTATTGGAGAGACAGGATTTTTAATGTGTGCTAGGCAGGCCTCCCAATCTGTTACACAGCTGATAATGAATTTCTTACTTTTCCTGAAGTATATGCTGGGGATAGAGAGCAGCTTACACCAGGCAAGCATTGCAACAGCTTAGCTGCATTCCCAGTGCTAAGTGGGAAAGTGAATTGTTGTTTTGAGGTGGGTCTCTTGTATTTTAGGCTGCTCTGGAATGCCAGCTAGCTGTATACTTTAGGATGGCCTTAAACTGATCCTATTGAATCCAAGTGCAGAGCTTAAAATAAATGCACCCCCCACCCCCATTCTGTTTTCTGAAATTTCCCCACTCTGAGGCAGCCCATGGATACTTTGTAACAAGCACATTGGGTCTAGAACATCTGCTGCCTAAGTGTCTCTTCATCGTAGAACCCTGAATCAATCCTCCGGGCCTGCCACAATCAGCCTCCACCTGCCTGCCTACCTGCATGAAGAGTTAATCACCTTAGCTCCCAGCCTATCCCCCAGCGCAGAGTGGCTATTATTGTGTCTGCCTGAGGCTTTGATTACCATCTTCCTGGCTGTCAGGCAGATGTGTTGCTGCCTGCTTCTGTGACTAAAATGAGGCACTTAGTAGGCACACAGTTCCTGAGTGAATGTGTGAATATGGCGGTATTGTGGCAGCTGTAAAACATTGCACACGCGTGAGCTAAATCCTGAATCTTTCTTACACTGGCAGGATGAGCAGCTGAAGGCCCTGGTGAGGCAGTTTGGACAGCAAGACTGGAAGTTCCTGGCCAGCCACTTTCCTGTGAGTACCCTCCCTCAGGCAAGGGCTCTGGGTGGCCTGCTGCAGAGGTGCTTAGAAAGCAGAAGTGAAGCCTGGAGGGTGGGCGTGGTGTGCACCTTTAGTCCCAGCGGTGGCTGGGGGTGGGACACAGGGCTGAGGCAGGCAGATCTCTGAGTTTGATACTGAGCTATTTCCAGGACAGCCAGGGCTACACAAAGAAAACCCTTCTTAGGGGGAAAAAAAACAAACCAAGCAAAAGCCAGAAGGCACCCAATGAGAAGATTGCAGGCAGCTGCTTTAGCGCCATCGGGTCCTAGGCCCAAAGGCATGTTTGTATTTCTTCCTACAAGGCCGGAGCACCTGGATACTGAGCCATGAGCCATCAGCTTGACACTGAGGGCGCACCCTTTGAGCAGACTTCTAGCTGAGGTTCCTGTGCAGGTGGCTGGTATCACAACACTGAACTTTCCAAAGCCTTCTAGGGATGAGTGCTCTTCCTCCCAGGACTGCAGGCATGTAGACAGCACACACTGCTGGGTTCCCCAGGCATCTCAGGATGGATCAGCATACTTCTTTCTGTGCCCCCCCATCCCCTTTCTCCATTTCTTCCTTGTAATCTGAACTCTGTAACGAATAAAAATGTTGGGCTAGAGAGGTAGCTCAGTGGTTAAGAGCACTGGCTGCTCTTCCAGAGACTCCTGGTTCGATTCCCAGCACTCACAGCTATCTGTAATTCCAGTTCCAGGGCATCTGACACTTTCATACAGGCAAAACACCAATGAACATGAACTAAACATAAATACATCATTAAAAAATAAATAGCCGGGTGTTGGTGGTGCACACCTTTAATCCCAGCACTCGGGAGACAGAGGCAATCAGATCTCTGTGAGTTCGAGGCCAGCCTGGTCTACAGAGTGAGTTCCAGGACAGCCTCCAAAGCTACACAGAAACCCTGTCTCAAAAAAAAAACAACCAAAAATAGATAAATAAATAAATATGTTCTCCAAGAAGAAAGCAGGAATCATTAATAAGTCCACAGAACTTTTTTGGACTTTGAGATAATGCACCCCACACATATACTTGGTTCAGAGGGTAGGAGGTTCCTCGCTGTAAGCGTTTTGAGGGATCGGATGGGACATGTATTCCGGCACTCGGGAGTCACAGAATAGTGTGTTACACAGCTCAGATGGAAAGGTATCCTGGAGCTTGGGAGCCAAGCTCTACCACAGGTCTCAGTAAGCAAAGCAGCTTATAGCCCTGCCTCAGGGAAAGGCTTCCTCAGTGTATCGGCTCTGCTCCAGCAGGAGAGGGTCTTCCAGCTGGGGATGTTTGCCCCGTGTAGCAGTTTTGCTCTGGCAGGAGGAGGTTTCCTGGGGCGAAGTTGCTACAGTTCAGTTCAGCTCTGCTTCCCCAAGCCAGGTTTCCCCTGCAAAAGTGTTACAGCCCTGCTTGCTCTGCTCTGCCCTGGGCCGCCTCCGCTCTGCGGCAAAAGATCTTCACCCAAAGTTCGTAGACGAGGTTTAGTAGAAGGAGGCAGCTGCACCCACCAAGCTGAACATACACAGGGTTTATGTAGGGATTCTTGGGGGCAGGGTAGGGATTGGTCAGATTTCAGTGCTGAGCTCATATTGGCTAGAACTCCTGCTCAAGGATTGGCTAGTTTTCTGCACAGGTTTAGGGTTAGATTTGGCTCTGGTTTCAGGGCCAAAGTGTGTTTCTTTCTCTGATCCTTTTTAGTCTTTTGATTCTAGTTTCAGGGTCAGGGTGCATTTCTTTGGTTCTAGTTGCAGGGCCAAAGTGTGTTTCTTTGGCTGGCCCTTTTTCCCTACACTTGCCACAGGGCTGGAGTTTGTCCTTTGAAGCAAAAATAATGTACCTGTGTTCTGGTAGGCCAGCCTCTGGTGTGTGATGGGTACATGGCACAAGACACAGCTACCTGTTGTATGAGTGCTTGCATCCTGGCCCCTGAGCTCTGAGCTCAAGCTTATGGTCCCACAATCATTTCTGTTCCTGTCCCAGAACCGCACAGACCAACAATGCCAGTATCGGTGGCTGAGGGTTTTGAATCCAGATCTTGTTAAGGGACCATGGACCAAAGAGGAAGATCAGAAGGTAAGTGCTGGCGAAAAGACTGCATGCATAGTGGGCTGTCAACACTGCCAGTGAGTCAGACACCGTGAGATATCAAAACGTCCCTGTACCACTCCACTTTAGTCCTAAGTGTCTTCAGGAGAGAGAGAGAGGGAGGGAGGGAGGGAGAGAGACAGAGACAGAGACAGAGAGAGAGAGAGAGAGAGAGAGAGAGAGAGAGAGAGAGAGAGAGAGAGAGAGAGAGAGAGAGAGAGCGCGCGCGCTCTGGTGTACCTCCCTGGTGTCAGCCCATAAGATGCCATTTCACCTTGGTAGGCACAGCACCCAAGAAAAGCAAGGGATAAAAGCATTGTCATTGTAGATGCATACTCCCCTTCAAATGGGATGTGAGAACGGAAGAAACTTACATCACAGCAAAGTTGGGTGTGGTGGCACATGTCTGTAATTCCAGCGCTGGGACGGTGGAAGCTGCAGGATCAGGCCTTTAAAGCCAACCTGGTTGACATAGTGAGGCCCTGTCTCAATTTTTTAACTATACAGAAATGAAATAGATTATTTCCACACAGCTGGGCATTGGTGGTGCACACCTTTAATCCCAGCACTCTGGAGGCAGAGGCAAGCGGATCTCTGTGAGTTCGAGACCAGCCTGATCTACAAGAGCTAGTTCCAGGACAGCCTCCAACGCCACAGAGAAACCCTGTGTCAAAAAAAAAGAATATTCCACATAAAAACTCCTTTTTTTCTGTAAGCATCTACTCTTCCCTGGTTGTGGCTTTGTGCACATTAGACTGTGTGTATCAAGAATTGAGGTGGGAGCCCGGGTAGTAGTGGCGCACGCCTTTAATCCCAGCACTCGGGAGGCAGAGGCAGGCAGATCTATGAGTTCAAAGTCAGCCTGGTCTACAGAGAGAGTTCCAGGTCAACCAGGGCTACCCAGAAGAATCCTATCTGGAAAAACAAGGAATTGAGGAGGGCCTAGCTTGGGTAGATGTGACTGTTGGTATTTGTTTCCTTAGCAGCAGAGCCTTCCTAAGAGATGATTGCAGACTGAAGTCTAGCTCTAGGTAGCACACACAACCTGGGGCTCTCCCCTCCTAGTTTCCACAGAAGTGCGGAGGGGACTTTACGTAACCCTGTGGTGTCACCGGGGCTGACCTGTACAGTCCTGCAAGTTGAGACACACTGGATATGGCAGTGCTTTAGTGGAGGTGGTTGAGGAGCTGCTCCTTCACTGATATTTTCTTCAAGGTCATTGAGCTGGTCAAGAAGTATGGCACGAAACAGTGGACACTGATTGCCAAGCACCTGAAGGGCCGGCTGGGGAAGCAGTGCCGTGAGCGCTGGCACAATCACCTCAACCCTGAGGTGAAAAAGTCCTGCTGGACCGAGGAGGAAGATCGCATAATCTGTGAGGCCCATAAAGTGCTGGGCAACCGCTGGGCTGAGATTGCCAAAATGCTGCCAGGGAGGTGAGCTAACGTCTGGTAGATGGGGTGCAGGCAGGATGCTGTTCCAGCATGAGAGGCCCATGCTTCATGGAGTGACTCAGAGTAGATCAGTCCCATGTTCTTCAGTATTCAACCAGCCTTGACTCCAGGTCTCCCAGGACATGCTTTAGAAGGAAGAAAGTAGGTCTAAAAAGACAGTACCAGAAAAGGCAGGTTGTATCCTGCCTGTTAAAGGAAATATAATGGAAACACTAGTTTCTGTCACCATTTCCTACTTTCTACTAAATCTGTGGCGCCCGAGCCACAAACAAGTCCAGGGTATCAGGAAAAGAGAGACCAGACGTCCACTTGTTTGTACTAAGAGAATACATGTGTTGCCTTTATTGCCAGGAGAGAGAGAGAGGGAGAGGGAGAGGGAGAGGGAGAGGGAGAGGGAGAGGGAGAGGGAGAGAGAGAGAGAGAGAGAGAGAGAGAGTGTATGTGTATCTTTATTACAAGTGCTAACAGGTCTCTCCCTTGTAGGAGGGAGGAGCTTTTTATACAAGTTTACAGCACAGTGGAAAAAACCCCAGGTAGAAGAGATCGTTGTTTTCCTCCTGCTAGATGTTGATGTCAGAGGGTCAAGGCCAGGGCAGTAAGCCAGGACTAGAAAACAGAAAGCACTTGAACTGGAAAACAAGTTGCACTTGTAGGCTGACCAGCAACTCACAGAGACCCCATGGGGCTGGGGCCCAACAAAATCAGACTCACCTTTTGTTTGATTTTAAAGACAGGGACTTGCTGTGTATGCCACACTGGTGTTGAGCCCAGGTTGACTTCAAACTTGTGACCTTGGCCTCATGAGTGCTATGGATGTAGGTGTGCCCCACTATGCCAAGCCTAGCCAGTCTCCATATTTATGAATGATTTCTTGTTTTCGAGAATATTATACTTGTGAGTTCTTTCTTATTTTTGTTTTTATGTGTACGGATGTTTTGCCTGCTTGTGTGTCTGTACCATGTACATGCCTGGTGCCTGAGGAGGCCAAAAGAGGGCATTGAATGCCCTAGGAACAGAGTTACATTTGTGAGCTGTGGGTACTGGGAATCAAATCAAGAAAGATTCTCTGGAAGAGTAATTGGTGCTGTTAGCTATATTTTTCTGAAGATGGAGGTTTCTGTCCCACCTGGTCCTGCAGCTGTTTAGCCCCAAATAAACGCCTGGACACTATACTAATTGTTAAACTGTTTGGCCAATGGCTTAGACTTCTTATAGGCTAGCTCTCAATTATTGACCCATTTCTATTAATCTATGCATTGCCAGGAGGCTGTGGTTTGCCCACAATCTGGCATGTTACTCCTTCAGCATCATGGCATGTCCTCAGCAGCTTCTCTCTGCCTTCCTCTCCCAGCCTTCTCCTGGCTTTTGAGTAATAGTAACATCATAGACACAGATTAGCTTTCTGAGGCTCTGACTCTCTTTGCCTCCCCAATGCCCCATTATATCTGCTCGAGTTTCTTTCCTGTTGCTGTGATGAAACACTGACCTAAAGCACGTTGGAGAGGCAAGGGTTTTGTTGGTGGTTTTTTTTTTTTTTTTTTTTTTTTTTTTGCTTGCACTTCCAGGTCACAGCCGAGGAAAGTAAAGCAAGAGCTAGAAGCCCAAACCAGGGAAGAACATTGCTCACTGACTTGTTCTACATCACTTGTACTTCTAGGCTTATACTTAGCAAACTTTTTTCTTTTTGAGACAGGGTCCTGAACTCTGTGTAGACCAGGTTGGCCTTGATCTCATGGAGATCCACCTGCCTCTGCCTCCCTGCTGACTGTCACTGTTAATTAAAACTAATTAGATGCAGACACCATGATATGGTGGTACACACCTTTAATCCCAGCACTTGGGAGGCAGAGGAAGAGTTCGAGGCCAGCCTGGTCTACAGAGAGACCCTGTCTCAGGCTAACTAGGATGCCTATTATATCCCATTACTCCGATTTTGAATTAGGACAATAGAGCTTACATTATTGCTGTGAACATAGAATTCAAGTGCTAGTGCTATCTATGAGTATATTTCCTTCTTACCTGGCTGTTGTTCTTCCTAAGTGCCCCCCCCAGGTTTTTGTTTTGTTTTTTTAACTCTCAAAGACAATTTTATTAGTTTAAGAGAAATATAGTACAGGTTAGGCCACCAAGAGATGGAGAGAAAGTCATGCCTCTTTTTTTTTGTTTGTTTTGTTTTGTTTTTTCAAGCTCTGGATATCCTGGAACTCACTTTGTAGACCAGGCTGACCTCAAACTCACAGAGATCCGCCTGCCTCTGCCTCCCAAATGCTGGGATTAACGGCGTGCACCGCCACTGACCTGCAAAAGTAATACCTTTTAAATTAGGCATGGAATAGAAATAGCTTTTTAAGAAAAGTAAAAGTAGCTGTTTGGTGGTAGTGCAGTCCTTTAATCCCAGCACTAGGGAGGCCAAAACAGGTGGATCTTTTGAGTTATAGGCCAGCCTGGTCTATAAAGTGAGTTTCAGGACAGCCAGGGCTACACAGAGAAACCCTGTTAGGGAAAAGAAAGAGAAACCAACAAAATCAACCAACCAAAGAAAGGCCGAGGCAGAACTGGAGAGATGAAATTTTTGCTGTTCTTGTGGAGGACCTGATTTCAGTTCTAAGCATTCACATGGTGGCTAACAACCCTCTAACTCACTTCCAGAGTCTATAACACCCTATTCTGGCCTCTGCATGCACTGACTGCGCGCGCAAGTAGGAGTACCTGCTCCTTTGTGTTCATGACTGCTGCCCTGTTGTTAGATTGGATGTCTTTGTCCCTCATCCTGTTTGATTCCACCTGTTTATTGTTTTGTGCCCCTACAGCCTTCATTAGTATCCTGAGCTCAGTCCTCAATTTTATTTCACATTTAATAGATGATTTGAGTAGATGTAGAGTTTGAAAATAACTTTTATTGAGAATATTGAGAGCATTCCAGGATCTTTTCATCTTTCTTTTGATTTCATTTCCTGACAAGTTTCATGGGTTTTACCTTCCAGCCCTTTGGAAATTATTTTAACTTAAGAATTTTGGTTTTCTAAATTCTCACTCCTTTTCTGGACCAAGTTCCTAACATGTTTGCAACCACTTATTTCACTATTTATACTGTGTTAAAAGATCAAAAGACAAAACTCCTCCCCTGCATTGTGTGTTTGCTTAACCTATGGGTTGAGAGCCTTTTGATGGTCAGACAACCCTTTCACAGGAATCATCTTAGACCATTGGAAAACACAGATACTTTACAATTTATATCAGTAGCAAAACTACAGTTATGAGGTAGCAGTGAAAATAATTCCATGGTTAGGGCTGGCCACAACAGTGACCTGTACCAAAGGGTAGCAGTGGTAGGGAGGTTGAGAACCACTGGCTTGGTGTTTGGTTTTCTTTGTTTTGCCCGTCCATATTGGTTATTACAGGAGGTTTGCTTTGAAGGATTGCCTACCTGTGGTTGGCCCTCCGCAGTTAGGAGACAGTCCGTGAACATTGGTGAAGCCCACTGCACACCGCTGGTGCTTACCTGCTGGTGCCTTTTACCTGCCGGGTTTGTTGTCCTCTGGCCCTTCGGGAGGAGACGCTCCAAAAACTAATGCTTTTCTCTAGAATTACTCATTTCCCCAGAGCTAGATGATTCCTTTAAGGAGCTGTTGCCTGGGGTGCCCTGCAGATTTCCATGGAGTCCCGGTTTCTGTCTGTTGTGGCCACAGTTGCTGGCTCGTGTCTGCAGTCAAATGCCCTAGCACTGAGCTGCACCCCCAACACAGAAGCTGGATTATTTTAAAAGAGGAAACATCCGCTCTTCCTGCCAGGAGGTCAGGACAGGAGCTGGAGGTTGGACAGCTGCTCTGCTTAACCTGAGCCTGTCTGTGCTCCTCATTCAGTCTGGTTGCTCCAATCCTGGGGCTCTGGAGTTCTGGGAGGAGCCCTGGGATGAATTGATTGTAGCTAGAATCTTCCTCTAAGGTCAGTTAGGTTTGGACTCTTCGTCTCCTGGGCTGGCTGTTGGTCACGTGACCTCTTTCCATCTTCTGATAACTTCTAAAATCTGATTTGCTGCCACTTGCCTCCCTGTTTCCTCCTCTTTGCTCTTGTTTCTTGTTTTTTTTTCCTGAGACAGGGTTTCTCTGTATTGTTTTTGGAGGTTGTCCTGGTCTCGCTCTGTAGACCAGGCTGGCCTTGAACTCACAGAGATCCGCCTGCCTCTGCCTCCCGAGTGCTGGGATTAAAGGCGTGTGCCAACGCCCGGCTGTTTCTTGTGTTTTCAGTCTCTCCTTTGTCATGGCAGTGTGATCCTGGGAGGAAGAATAAAGTGTCTTCTTTCTTGACTCTGAACTGCCTGTTTTCATAACTTTAGTCCTGTGTATTGTCTTTGAGGGCCTGCCTTGTTTCTTGGTTGGGGACTCAACCCCTTCCTGTGTGGCATGGTGGTGGCCTTGCTCATGTTGGTAGCCTCATCTCCATCTGCAGTCACCTTGGTTGCTTGGTCCTGAGCAACTCTTCCCCTTCCATTCCCGCAGCTGCTGGGCTCTGATGTATCCCCCGCTCCCCCAGCCTTGCTCCCTTGCCCTGTTGTGAGGCCCACCGGCTTGCTGTCAGTTCTCACTGCTGTTTCTTCAGAGCAGCTTTCTGGGTCAGTCCAGCTTGCACTCAGTCCTGCCTTGAGTTCTGCATTTGCTTATTCCACGGAGATACTGGAGATTGCTAAGTCATTGAGAGCTACAAACAGTGAGACTTCATTGTAGCTCTAACCAATGCTTTTGGTACATTCGGCCTAATCTTCACTTACACATGGGGGAGAAGCTGCAGAGGGTGGGAGAAACCTCCAAGAGGCAGAAAGTGTCGGTCGAGTCAGAGGCCCCTGGATTTCCCCACAGGACCGACAATGCTGTTAAGAATCACTGGAACTCCACCATCAAGAGGAAAGTAGACACCGGAGGCTTCCCAAGCGAGTCCAGAGACTGCAAGCCTGTCTACCTGCTTTTGGAACTTGAGGACAAGGACCGCCACCAGAGTGCCCAGCCCCTGGAAGGCCAGGTCAGTGGCTGCCTGTGGCTCAGTCTCTGGGCTCCATTCCAGGGTGGTTGGCTTGCTTTATTCCCTGGTTATCTGACCCTATCTCTTCAATACCTTCCCCAGAGCCACTCATTTCTGCCCTGGGGTCTGAGTGGCCATCGTGTTTCTAGGTCTTTCCTTGTGACAACCTAGCCATAGTTTGCCTGTAGGATAGGAAAGCAGTCACATAACATTTTGAGAAGTGGGTTGGGGAGTTCTCAGCCTCTTACCCCTTTTAGCAACTTTTTTCTTAAAGGTCTTTCCAATCTACAAACTGAAAATTGCTTGCTATTTTTAAAAATTATTTTTATAGCTGGATGGTGGTGGTGCACACTTTTAATCCCAGTACTTGGGAGGCAGAGGCAGGTAGAGCTATATGAACTCCAGGATAGCCTGGTCTACAAAGGGCTACACAGAGATACCCTGCTCCCCAAAATAAATAAAAATTCAAAGGGCTACACAGAGATACCCTGCTCCCCAAAATAAATAAAATTCAAAGGGCTACACAAAGATACCCTGCTCCCCAAAATAAATAAAAAATTCAGTTTTATAGGGGTGTGTGTGTGTGTGTGTGTGTGTTAGAGCACATGTGGAGGACAGCTTGCTCATGTTTTTTCTTTTTGTGTTTTGCTTGTCTTTTTGGTCCTTTGAGACAGGGTCTCTCTCTGTAGTGCTGTCTGTACTGGAATTCATTATGTAGACCAGGCTGGCCTTAGACACATGGATCCTACTGCCTCTGCCTCCCTGGTTCTAGAATTAAAGGCATGTACAACCATGCCTCTGACTCTCTCCTTCTGCCACCTGACTTTCCGTGCATTGTACCTGCTGAGCCATCTCACCAGCCTATGTTTCCAGTGTAAGGGTTCTTATGTGTGGATGTGTTCTTACGTGTGGATGTGTTCACCATGTGCCTGTAGGAGCCCACGGAGATCAGGTGAGGGCATCGGATCCCCTAAAACTGAAGTTACAGAAGGTTGTGAGCCTCCATGTAGGTTCTGGGAACTGAACTGGGACCCTCTGCGAGAGTAGTTAGTAAAGTATTCTTAACTACTAAGTCATCTCTCTAGCTCCTCATTTGCATTTTAAAAAGGATCAGATTATTGAGAGAAACTATTCTGACATTTGACGTATATCTGCATTATGCTATAAAGCGCTGGTGTATTTGTAGCCACTTCACCACCACCGTTCCAGTCATTCCAGTGTTCACCTGCTCACATACCACCGTGGCTCCCCATTGCCATCTAGAACATTGGTTCTCTACTGCGGGTCGTGACTCATGGTGTGGTGGGGGTTGGATGGCCATTTCACGGGGGTCACCTGAGACCATTGGAAAACTCAAGCATATTACCATCTACCCAGAATTCCTTTGTGGTTTGTTTGGTTTTTTGTCAGCCTTTAACCTCCTATTATCTCCCTGATGCATTTCTATCTTAGAATTTCTACAGTTATAAACACTGAAACTGATGTGTGAATGTACTAAATCTCCACTCCCAAAAAACTATTTCTTTTTTTAAAAAATATTATTTGAGCCAGGCAGTGGTGACGCACGCTTACAATCCCAGCACTAGGGAGGCAGAGGCAGTTGGATCTCTGTGAGTTCAAGGCCATCCTGGTCTACAGAGTGAGTTCTAGGACAGCCTCCAAAGCTACAGAGAAATGCTATCTCAATAAACACTGTTAGAAGGCCCTTGAAGTTTGGTTGGATTTATTTTCCATCTGATGTGTATATGTGTGTTATTAAGTCCGAAGTAGTAGCTACCTCATTCATGCTCACTTTGTCCAGTAAGCATCATGTCATCAATGCATTGCACCTGCGTGATGTTTTGTGACTGCTGCCTTGCCAACTGAAAGCAAATAGTCTGGCAGTCCTGAAGGACAGGTACTTAGGAAGCCGAGCTGCATACCGTGTAACTCAGGAAATATGTTAATCTGCTCAAGTAAGGACACCACATCTGGTACAGCAGCTACAATTGGAGTCACTGCTTGATTGAGTTTTAATAATCAGCTGCCATTCTCCACTACTAGTTTAGCAGACAATGAAGGATTAATTTTCTCAGTCAAAGGGGGAGAGGCAATATTTTGGGGGGGCAGAGGGTTTGTGCATCTTCTGCTGAGGGTGGAGAGACTACTACTTCCTCAGGTGAGATAAGCCCTTGAGAATCTGAGAGGTTCAAAGTTGTCAGCCTCACTAAGATTCTCCCATACACTCCCATCCCAAGTTATAGGATACCATTCTTTATCAATTAATGACCTTAATTCTGCTTTAGACACCCTCCAAGTCTGGGACTTGAATTTTTCTTTGTAACTCAGCCATTATAGTAATGGCTTGGTTTTCCATAGCTTGAGTACTGTAGCTGCTGGGGAGAAGATTTTCTTCAAGGCCACTCTGAGAAACCTTTAAACCTATGGATTGAGACCCCTTTCGGGGTGAGGGGGTGAGCTTTCACAGGGGTTGCCTAGGTCATTAGAAGTCACAGATTTACTATTCATAGCAATAACTAAATCACAGTTACGAAGTAGCAATGAAAATAATTTTTTGGTTGGGGGTGACTACAACATGAGAAAGTGTACTAAAGGGTTGAGGCGTTAGGAAGGTTGAAAACCACTGCTTCAGACAGCTTATGTACATCTGAAGTTGGTCAGTTTTACCACTTAGTTCATTGTTATCCTTTACCAAATTCTGAGATGTTAGAAGTTGTTGAATTTTATTTCAAAACAGAAAACATTCCTTTGTCAACTCTTCTGGAGGAACAACCAACCACCAGCATCTTCATTTTCCTTATTTATAGTCTCCAAATACATTGTTTCTCACTGTCAGTGAATCAGATCATCAAATGCATTTGCCTCCTTACCACAGGCTCACAATACATTCTGAGCTTCTAGGAGAGATTTCAGTCACTGAAAGGCTTTAGTAACTGTAGGTGTTGACAAACTGGAAAACCTATTCAGATACTTCCTTTCTGGGCAGTGGTGGCACAGGCCTTTAATCCCATCACTCAGGAGGCAGAAGCAGGTGGATCTTTGAATTCAAGGCCAGCCTGTCTACAAAGCAAGTTCAGGACAGTCAAGGCTGTTACAGAGGCTGCCTGTCTTGAAAAAACAAACCAAAACAAAAAAATTCATCCTTATACTTTAATTGCTCTAGAACCATTTCTAGTTCCAAAAATTTTATTAGTCAAGGTTCTCCAGAGGAACAGAATTTATAGAATAAATCTGGCCAGGTGGTAGTGGCGCACGCCTTTAGTCCCAGAACTCTGGAGGCAGAGGTAGGAGGATCTCTGAGTTCAAGGCCAGCCTGGTCTACTGAGCAAGTTCCAGGACAGCTTCCAAAGCTACAGAGAAACCCTGTCTCGAAAAATAAAAAATGAATCTGTCTATAAATATAGAGAGGGGAAAGGCTGGGCGTTGGTGGCCACGCCTTTAATCCCAACACTCCCGGGAGGCAGAGACAGGCGGATCTCTGTGAGTTCGAGGCCAGCGTGATCTACAGAGCAAGTTCCAGGACAACCTCCCAAACAATTCAGAGAGAGACCCTGTCTCGAAAAACCAAAAAATATGTATGTATGTATGTATGTATGTATGTATATGTAGAAAGGGGATTTGTTAGAATGGTTTATAGCTGTAGTCCAGCTAGTCCAACAATGGCTGCCTACCAACAGAAGGGCCAAGAATCTACCAGTTGTTCAGTTCTCAAGACTGGAACTGTTTATCTTGTCTTCATTTACTACAGAATGCCAAAGAAGTAAGCTCTAATGCCAGCGAGAGTAAGCAGGCAAAGAGCAAAAACTAACTTCTTCCATGTCTGTAAAGGTGTGGCCCAGATAAAGGGTTAAAAGTGGATCCGCCCCCTTCACAATATTTAATGAAGAAAAATCCTTCACAGTGTACCAAACTGCTTGGGTTTAGTTACTTCCAGGTGTAGTCAGGTTGACAACCATGAATAGCCATCACTATTAAACCGTGTCTCCAATTATTTGTTTTTTATACTCAACTAAAAGGTCAAGAAACGGATTTATTGTTTTAAAAATTAAGACTGGAGACAAGATGACAGTGTGAAGATTTGATTGAACAGCCCCTGCCTTGTCTTGTACTGTGAGCTGAGCTGGTTACCGGCCTGTGTGCTTGTTTTGTGTCCCTCTTCCTGCTTGCTTGGACTGCTGCAATGCCTACGCTGTCCTGATAAGAGTTACACTACGTTTTTTGCCTCTATTTCTTGGGGTCCCAACTTCTGGGAATCTGATTCCCTGATGTCAGATGCTGCTGTGTGGGGGGATAGGATATGAAATTGAAATTGTAGAGAAGGATGGAAGTGTTCTAGCTCCCTGGAGGTCCCTTCACCAAAGAAGTCTGCTCCTGGCAGTTCCATATATATATATACAGGTTCTTATGTAGCTCAGGCTACTTGTTGAACAGCTGAAGATGACCTTGGATTCCTGATCTTATCACAGCTGCCTCCCAAGTGCTGGGATTACAGATACAGATTTCTGTTCCTGAAATCTCACGAAGGCAGATATTAAAATAAGAGACAACACAACTCTACCCACAAACAAAAACAACCCCAAACCAACCAAACAACAAAAACAAGCCTTAATAGCTAATGAATACTATAAGCGGGTGTCAAGACTGTCTGGATAATCTTCATTGTCCAGGCATTCATTGCTCTGTTCTTAAAGCTTCTCATGGTGCATGTTGAACACAGTATGCACTAGGCTGAGGTTTTTTAGCATTCCTGCTTTATGAATCAGAAAACCAAAGTCCATAGAGATGGCCTCAGGTGCTCTAAAATTCACAGCCAGGACTTGAATGCAAATAATTTGTTTGTTGTTGTTTCAAATGGGTCCTCAAGTAGCCCAAATTGGCCTGGAAGTCAATATTAGATCAGTCTGGCCTGGGACTTATAGAGATCCACCTGTCTGTGCCTCCTGGGTGCTGGGTTTAAAGGTGTGCACCCCCATGCTTGGCAGTTAAGATAAATTTTAATTTAAATCAGTGTTCTTTGTCAGTCACAGACTTCTACGGACTTGGAGAGTCTTCAGGCTGCAGGGTTTCATGTTTTGCTCATCAGAAGACTAAAGCAATTGGTCCTCAAGGCTGTGAAGGACAAGCGTAGTGAAGCTACAGTGTGCCTCTTGTTGTCTCCTCTCTATGGCTAATGAACATTAGCGGCATGGTTGAAGCAGCCAACATGGCACAGAGCAGAAGAACCCACAGGAAGGAGAAGTTGTCAATTACTGTTTAAATAGCTTGTTTTACATGTCAATCCCAGTTCCCTCTCCCTCCCCTCCTCCCGCATCCCCCCATCCTCCCACTCTATTGCCAATTCCTTCCGCATAGGGGATATCTAGAGTCTATCATTTCATTCAGGGTAGGGTCCAGGCACTTCCCTAAGAGTCCAGGCAGAGAGAGCAACCCTCTTTGTGTTATGGACACACGATGTCTGTTAGTATTCGAGGGATAAACACTGATCCACTGCTCAGGGCCCCATAGGTAGCCCAGGCCTCCTCATTGACTCTCACATTTAGGGGGTCTGGATAGGTCCCATGCTGGCCTCCCAGCTGTCTGTCTGGGGTCCAAGAGCTCTCCCCTGTTCGGATCAGCTGTCTCTGCTGGTTTTGCCAGCCCATTCTTTGCCAATTTGCTCTTCGCTCCTCTCTCTCTGTCGCTGGGTTCTTTGGGTTCTGTTCAGTATTTAACTGTGGGTGTTTGCCTCTGCTTCCATCAGTCACTGGGTGAAGGCTCCAGGATGGTTATAGACATCAAGCTCATTATCAGGAATGGGCATTCGGGGTGGTCTCTACACTATTGCTTAGCTTGCCAATTGGTGTCATCCGTTTAGATCACTAGAGGTCACAATGGTGCCTGATCTGTCTTCTAACCTATGATTCCCTCTTCCCCCTATCCTACCCCCCCAGTCGACCTTCCTGTTTCTCCACGTCCTACTCTCTCTTCCACTTCTCCCCCTCTCTATTTCCCAGGTCCCCCCACCCCCCACCCCACCCCTCGCCGTGTTCCCCATCTGTTCAGAGGATCTTGTCCTGGCAGTTTCTTGCATGTCTAAGCTACATGAAATTTCTGAGAAAAAGCACACACCAGGGCAGCTGGGAGCATGAGGGGGAGTCGTGCTGCTAATGATCCTGCTTTGCTGGAAGTCAGCTTCCTGGTGCATCTTCCTTTGACACTGGAGTGCTGTTTGACATGCTGGCCTTGCTGGGGTGGCTCTGAGCCCCACATAGGCCCAGAGCACCGGAGACCTTTGTCTCACTCTTCTCCAGATGAATTTTAGTTTTTCATTTTTTTATGTGCATTGGTGTTTTGCCTGTGTGTGTGTGTGTGTGTGTGTGTGTGTGTGTGTGTGTGTGTGTGTGTGTTGGATCCTAGAGTTAGAGACAATTGTTGTGAGCTGCCATGTGAATGCTGGAAGAACAGCCAGTGCTCTTAACGCCTGAGCCATCTCTCTGGCCCCACGTTTTCAGTTTGTTATTATATTTGTTTATCTTCTATATGTGTGTGTGTTGGGGAAGGGGCATACATACCACCGTGCAGGTAGAGGTGAGAGATCATCAGACCCTCTGCCTCCAGAGTGCTGGGATTAAAGGTGTGCGCCACCAACGCCTGATGGAACTAAGTGCTTTTACCCCCTGAGCTACCATGCCAGCACAGCAGGTCTCATCTCATGTAGCATAGTCTGCCCTCGAATTTGTGGGAATTGTGGGCTGGGCTCATTTACTAGGTTCTGCTTTGAGAATTATTCCTGTGAAGGATTTTCCTCAATCTCTATTGTCACAGTGTTGGAAGAGTTTCAGGAATAGTGCTAGGAGTTCCCATGTATTTTTTTTTTTTTTTTTGGTTTTTTTTGAGGCAGGGTTTCTCTATGGCTTTGGAGACTGTCCTGGAACTAGCTCTTGTAGACCAGGCTGGCCTCGAACTCACCGAGATCCGCCTGCCTCTGCCTCCCGAGTGCTGGGATTAAAGGCGTGCGCCACCACCGCCCGGCTCAGAGTTCCCATGTATTCTTGGGATTGGTTCCATTCCCATCCCATTCCAGAAGGGCTTTGCCCATTCTAGATAAGCACCCTCCCACAAACCTGCAGCTCCAAGGCTTAGTTCATTGTTCCCATTTGCCAGACTTAACTGTATTACTCTGTGTGTCCATTTAGGGTTTTCTTTATCTAGGGCAGGGTACTTGGACCCACACCTTTAATCTCAGCACCCTGGAGACAGACTGGTCTGTTTAGAGACTTAATTACAAGCCACATTAGGACTATATAGAATTTTTGCCTCAAAAAAACAAAAACAAAAGAAAGGCCGAGAGTTACTACATTTTTATCTTCTGACTGTTCTGTGCTTCCGATTGTATTTCCTAAGATAAGGGCATTCATTTACACTCATGGTATGTCTGTTTCTAACTCAGGGACTTCCACATGGATTCTGAACCTTGTGGTAACACAATTTGTTATTGTTTGCTTGCTTTACAAAATATTTTTTAAAAAGTGTGTGTGTGTGAAAGTCAGGTTACCATTTGTTTTCTCTACTATATGGGTCTTGTGGATCAAACTCAGGTTGTCTGCAAGCACCCTTTATCTGCTGAGCCGTCTCTGTGGTCCTTGCAGTTGTGGAATTTACTATGTAACTCCTGTAAGCTTCTTGCCTGGGCCTTCCACATTCTAGGATGAGTACTTCCGTGCTCACCGTTGATTCAGGACCTCTGTCTCATCTGTAGCCCGTGTCTGCCTTTCCCATGGACCGTCCAGGGTCAGTTATTTATCTGCTAGTCTCATTAGCCTGTGTCATACTGATAGTTTTTCAAATGTACCGTATAGATGGAATGTCTCTCAACTTCTGTTCATCTGAGCTTCCTTTATGTTTGACTTGGGTTATGTGTTTTTAGAAACTACAGCGTAGTCTATTTCAACATAAGCATACAGTGTGCCCTTGGGTCTGACAGGGAAGTCTTATGACCGGCTGGCCCCTGGCGCCCTCTACTGTGAAGGAGGAGGAGAGCAGTGAGGAGGAGGCTGCAGCAGCGGCTACTTCTGCTGCTAAAGAGCTTGAACATGAGCCTGTCCCTACGGATCTGGGAGAAGTGCACACCCCACAGTCCCTGGAATCCCTCAAGCGTGAATATCAGGAGGACTCCTCGCCAGAAACCAGCTTGCCCTACAAATGGGTGGTAGAGGCAGCAAACCTCCTCATCCCTGCTGTGGGGTCCAGTCTCTCTGAAGCCCTGGACTTGATTGAGTCGGTATGTTGGTCCTGGCACTTCTCTTGTGAACTTGCCTTTTTTCCCCATCATCCTTCTAGTGTTTATTGACTGATGGAAGTTGCATAGCTCTGATCAGACTGGGGACACCAGTGAGGTCATTGCAATCCTTGCCCTACAGCGTGGAAAGGGGTAAAAAGGATTCTCAGAGAGGGCACTGAATTGGCATCTTATAGTTATAACTCACTGGAGAGGGCCCTGGAAATGCCAAGGGTTATGGTTGCCTCTGGAGCAGCAAATGGGTTTGACTTCTCAGCCCAAGGCCATGCTGTGATTACTGCCGTGTTACAGGTTGTGCTCCTTACGTGGCTTTTCCTGGGGAGACAAGTATCTGTTTGTCCCAGATATGTTACGAAGGCTAGATCGAACGATCCCACACAGCTCTAGCATGGTGAACTGATGAGTTCCTGGAGACAATTAGAGGATTGTGGGCATCCTGCAATCCCTTAAGACGGCTTCGTCACCAGAAAGCTGACCCATCATGGCCTTAGACTCAAGCTGCATCCCCGGAGCTCCCAGCCCAGCTTGCATGCAACCCTCGGGGAGGGGCCTTCTGGCTCTTGTAACTTTCCTCTAGGAGGGAATGTGTCATTTCTGAGAAAATAAACAAAGACTTTGCCCGAGTCTGTAGGCGGGGCCATCCCTCTGTTGTACTATCCAGATTTAGGCTGTATCATCTAGGAGTTAAGTCCTGACTGTGACTCAGACCTCAGGTTCTTTTACAGTTTCCTTTTGGGAGGGGTGAAGATCAGGGAAAGGATCTACAGAAGCTGCTCTCCATCCTCTCCAGCGTCCTTCCAGGCATTCCTGCAGTATATGCTTTCTAGCTTCAAGATGCCATCAGTTTCCTGCACCTCAGATCTCTGAGATCCGGGTATGGGACTGAGGTCAGCCTAGCTACAAGCTAGTTTCTGCTCTCAGGAATGAACTGCCCCTGGCTCCAGCAAGTCCCAAGAACCACAACTTGTAAGTGGGCTCTGGATCTACACAGGGCCATACCTCAAAGATCAAAGTGGAACCTTCTGTTTCCAGAAGCCTTTGGGTAAAGACAAAGGACTGTGGTGATTCTCATATGCTCTTCGGAGCTCAGTGTGGGTTCCTTGATAGGAAAGTAGGAAAGGGAGCCAGTGAGATGGCTCAGCAGATAGAGACACTTGCCACCAAGCCCGACCAGCTGAGTTTAATCTACAGGACCCACCTGGCAGTAGGAGAGGACTAACTTTCAAGTTGTCCCTGACACTCACGTATAAATAAATGCAGTGAATTGATTAAAAAAAAAAGGCAAAGTCGTGCTTCCTAGCAGGTTGCTAAGGGGATTATGAGGCTGCTGATCGGCACGCATCCCATGCAAGCTTCAGCATAATACCTATACGTAGAATGTTGAGGAATTGAATGTAAGTGGTAATGACTGAATTTGACACTGGTGTATTTTCCCAAACCAAGTTCTACTGTATTAGGACTTTCTAACCTCTCTTTCTGGCAGGACCCTGATGCTTGGTGTGACCTGAGTAAATTTGATCTTCCTGAAGAACCGTCTGCTGAGGGCAGTGTCAACAGCAGCCCCGTGCAGCCCCAGACATCACAGCAGCAGCAACAGGCAGTGTCATCCCGCCAGAGCACCACACCAGGGCCCAGCATGACTGAGTATCGACTCGATGGCCACACTATTTCAGACCTGAGCCGGAGCAGCCGGGGGGAGCTGATCCCCATTTCCCCCAGCACTGAGGTTGGGGGCTCAGGCATTGGCACGCCACCTTCAGTGCTCAAGCGACAGAAGAAGCGGCGTGTGGCCCTATCGCCTGTCACAGAAAACAGTGCCAGCCTGTCTTTCCTGGACTCCTGTAACAGTCTTACCCCGAAGAGCACACCTGTCAAAGCCCTTCCCTTCTCTCCTTCCCAGGTGTGTGAGCCCTTCTGGCTACTTTGGCTTCCATATGTAAACACCTAGTGCCCAGTAGGGTCTGGCACAGGTACACGCCACATAATCACTATTTGCTGAGTGTCTCCCTCTGCTCAGTGCTGGGGACCCAGTGCTAGTTGAGAAAACCAGACCTGGCCCTACCCTAATGAAGCTTATACTCTGGGTTGTAAAATATCCAGATAAGTGATAAAATGAAGAAGAGGCAAAGACTGTAGTCACTTGTCCTGTGTTTCATCAAAATACTTGATGTGAAAACAATTGAAGAAAGGACAGCTTTATTTTGACTATGGTTCCAAGGTGTAGCTCACCATGGCAAGGAGCTAAAAGTAGCCGGTCACACTGCTGCCAGTCGGGAGATGGAATGATGTCCTGTTAGTCTCCTTTCTTTCCTTGTCATTCAGTCCAGGAGCCCAGGCTGTGGGCTGGCACTGCCTACATTAGGGTGGGTCATCCCCATCTCATTTAACCTAATCTAGAAAAGTCACTTGCAGACATGCCCAGAGGTTTGTTCCCATGGCGATTGTAAACACCATCAAGTTGTTAACTAGGGATCCAGGGGCACTTTCAGAGGCGGAAGAGTGTCTTCCATTGAGAAAGCTGAATGGCCATGCTGGATGATACAGAAAAGACAGAAGGACTGAGTCACACTTATTGAATGAAGTCAGGACAAGACCTCAACCTTACAGAACAGGCATGGGGAGGGGTGTCTAAGGATCTATTCCTGTGTTCCTCGAAGGCCTCATCCTGTCACATGTTCTGTCTCTTCCCTGGCAGTTTCTGAACTTCTGGAACAAACAGGATACCCTGGAGCTGGAGAGCCCCTCGCTGACATCCACTCCAGTGTGCAGCCAGAAGGTGGTGGTCACCACACCCTTGCACAGGGATAAGACACCCCTCCACCAGAAGTATCCATCGTGAGTGTCACACGGCCACCTGCCCACCCTGGGCAAATCAGTGGAGTTTTGTTGCTAGAAGTATTATTTCCTGCATCCTGTGTTTAGGGTGTGTTATTGCTTGCGACAGGCTCTCATGTGCCCTACCCTGCCTCAGACATAGTATGTGATTGAGAATGACCTCGATTTCGTATCTTCCAGCTTCTGCCTCCCAAGTGCTGGTGTCACAGGTATGTGTCACCATGCCCAGGACTTTTTCCCTCATGACATAGAGGTTGTGACTTAGTGAAGGGAACTGCCAAAGCTAAAAGGTAGAAGCCTGTCTTTGTGTAAAGAGCCGTAGGGCCCCTGAGTAGTGAGCAGATGGGGTGAGAACATGGAGGAACTGCAAATGTGTTCTTTCCATATTTCCGCCCCCACCATAATTTGAGAGGACTTGTGGAGGTCGTGTCCATGCCATCTGGTACAAGTACCACATACTTTCTGTAGAGAGGGCACACAGGGTTGTCTCTGGGAAGTCCCAAAACTACTTTGATGGCAGCATTCCCCATCACTGTCATGGTCTCCTTCCCCCCTTTTCCTGTTCTTTATTTGAGAATAGCCCTTCTTCTAGTTCCCTGGCCTAGACATGTGCAGGAATACAGGCCCGCACCACTGGACCAGCGTGATAGGAAAGAATATCTTGGGGGAGAGGGGATGACGGGGACGGGGCACATGACACACTAGCCATGACAGGAAAGTGGGGGTCTCCTGTCCTTTTGCTGAGTCGCCTCTTCTGGCCCATGGCAGGTTTGTAACCCCAGATCAGAAGTACTCCATGGACAACACTCCCCACACGCCAACCCCATTCAAGAATGCCCTGGAGAAGTACGGACCACTGAAGCCTCTGGTATGTGGCATGGTTGCTGGGAGTCTCTGGGGTGAATTCATCTAACATGGGTTGGTGAGCCCTTTTCTCTCTGAGGTCTCTAGAGAGTCTTCTAAAAAGGAACAGTTTCTACTTGTCACCTCACCTGCATTTCCTGAGTACCTTCAGTGTGACAGGCAGGCAGATGCTGGCTGGTGGAAGAGTTAGTGGCGTTTTGGTGAAACAGTGTGACGTGCCACCTAAAGAGCTTACTGTAAAGGCCAAGACATGCATAGACACACACACACACACACACACATCAATAATACCTGTACTTGGCAGGTGGAGGAGGCAGGAAGGCCAAAAGTTCAAGGTAATGCTCAGCCGCCTAGAAAGTTTGAGGCTAGCCTGAGCAACATGAGACACTATTTAAAAGTGTGTGGTGAGCCGGGGTTGGTGGCGCACGCCTTTAATCCTAGCACACGGGAGGCAGAGGCAGGCAGATCTCTGTGAGTTCGAGGCCAGCTTGGTCTACAAAGTGAGTTCCAGGACAGCCTCTAAGACAATACAGAGAAACCCTGACTCGAAAAAACAAAAACAAACAAAAAAAAGTGTGTGGTTTGTTGGGGGGATCCAGGTATGGTGGTCCATGCCTATAATTCAGCACTCAGGATGCTGCGGCAAGGAGATGGTGAACCAGTCTGCACTGCGTGGGGCGGGGCAAAGGAAGGGCTCAGTAAAGATGCAGGTTGTCTCATTGCCTCTGGGTTACATGGGGTTCTAGGGACTGGTGCATGTGGCAGAGTCATGGCTACTAGTTACTACTGCCCCTTTCTGAGGGAGTAGAGATGCTGTCGGTTGAACTAGGTTGCCCACCAGGCTTGTTCTTGGCAGCTGTAGTTCGTGCTCAGGGGCTCTTTGTGTGCTGTTTGAAGTGTCACTGTGCCCTTTCACTGTCAGGAGCTCACTCTCTCCTGTCTTTGCTCCCCGAGGGTGGAGAGGCTGCGTGGGCCTGAGGAGTGAGAACAGATGACACCCTAGTGTCCCAGTTAGTGTGGATCAAAGGCAGAAGGCCCCTGGACTGAGTGTGTGCAGGTTCTTTGTTTTTGAGCTAGCTTTTGTTTACGAAGCCTGTGTCTTGGGTTTCTGTTGCTGTGGTGTAAAACACTGACCAAAAGCAACAGGGAGATAAGGTTTATTTCAGCTTTCCGTTGGAAGTCCATCACTAAGGGAAGGCAGGGCAGGAACCAGGAGGCAGGAACTGCTGGGGAGACTGTGGGGGAAGCTCTCTATTTGCTTGCTCCTCGTGGTTAGCTTAGTTTCTTTATGAGACACCCCAAGACTACCTGCCCAAGAGGGGCACAGCCCACAGTGAGCCTTCCCACATCAATTACTAATCAAGAAAATTCCCTCACAGATTTGCCTACAGCCCATTCTGGTTGGAAACATTTTCTTGGTTCAGGTTTCCTCCTCTCAGATAGAAAACTAACCAACACTATCAAGACTATCCATGAACTTGCCCAAGCTGATTTCCTCCTGCCTTGGCATCACAGTGCTGGAGCTATAGACAGGTGCTGTGTGAAATTCCTGGGTTCAGGTGATGCTTCTGCCTTGACCCATGAGTGCGTGAGACCTTGGGGAAGGCTGGGCTCAAGAATCTGGATTATAATAACTGCTGTGGTCTGAGTCAGGCTCTTGTTATGAGCCGAGTCTATTCTATAGGCATTAAAATTGCTGCACAGGGCTAGGTGAGAGTGTCAGACTGCTCCTCTGGACACGCAGACCTTCAGAGTCAAGGTCATCATCCATTTGTTCGAGGCAGGACATATGGTTATAAACAGTGTATGTGAGGTCAGTGTCCTGGTATAGGCTCCCTTTGCTTGCCCAGTACTGTCTACCTCTCTTAGACCTACACAGCCTGAGTGGGCTTCATGTGGATCTCACTTGTCTCCGCCCACAGCCCCAGACTCCACACCTGGAAGAGGACTTGAAGGAAGTGCTACGTTCTGAGGCTGGCATTGAGCTCATTGTTGAGGATGATGTGAGGCCTGAGAAGCAGAAGCGAAAGCCTGGGGTGAGTGGTTTGAGGACTCTTACTCTGCCTAGGCAGTTGGCATAGAAACAAAGTCAGCCCTGAGGGCAGGGAGGACCTGTGGAGTACCTTAGGGGAGTGCACCTTTCAGAGGGCCCTTCCTTCTTACCGTGTCCTCTGTGTTGACTAATGCACTCCCTCATCCAACATTGTGAATGGACCTTCCGATGAGGGCTTGGGCAGGGGTGAGGAGTGCATAGTGGTCAGGTGAGACTTCCAGAGCTCAATGGATGGCACTCACTCATCCAGCATTTTGAATGGACTTTCTCAAGTGGACTTGGGGTGGGGGTGGTGGGAATGTAGTGGTCAGGTAAGACTTCAGAGCTCAGCGGATGGAGACAGGCATACAACACACACCTCATGACCATGTGAATTCATGGGGATGAAGGGAGTAGAGGGGCACAGACAGAGTCCAAGTGTTTCTTTCAGATGATAGACAGTGAGCTAGGAAGAGAGTGGGTGCCTCGGTCATGAAAGCAAGCAGCGTGGGGGTGGTTTCCATCAGGTGGGATTCACAGGGCCACCCGGTGAGATGCCAGGCTCATGGTCTGCATCCTTCTCATTGCACTGCCTAGCTCTTCTAGCCAAAGGTGGCACTTCAGGTCTCTCCTAGCCTTTGTGATCCTTTTTCCTGCTCTCCCTAGGGAGAGATGATAGTCAAAGCTGGACAGTGAGCCTGGGATGGACCCACAGTGTCTGGCAGGGTAATGACCGCCTGGGTCAGAGTCTAATGTGGCCAAGGTCTCCTGGTCTTCCCATATCCCTGGAGTAAGAGCTGCGGTTATCCCTTGAAGATCCCACTCTGGAAAGTCCTGATTCAGTGACTGTGGTCACTGAGGCTTTGGCCATGGGGAATCTGATTGCCCACGCTAACCATCCTTTTCTTCCCTTACCCTCAGTTGCGGCGAAGCCCTATCAAGAAAGTCCGAAAGTCTCTGGCTCTTGACATTGTGGATGAAGATGGGAAGCTGATGTCCACACTGCCCAAAACACTGTCCTTGGTAAGGGGCTGACAGTGACCACCTGCCTCACAGGTCTTCAGGAACCTTCTGCCTTCATGGAGAGGGCCCTTTAGATGGGGTGGGTTTCTGGTTCTCCAGTTGGCCCAGTGTTGGGAGGAATGGCAGGTGGTGGCAGGTCTAGGCACCCAGCCTGAGCCTCACTGTGAGTTCTGATGTGTCTTTCCTAGGTTTGATTTGGCAGGAGATACATTTCTAGAATACTATGGGGCCCCCAGCACCACCCTTCCCACTGAGTGTCAAGCACATGAGCCCTAAGCACAGCCGGGTGGTTGAGGCACATCAACCCTGAGCATATTCTGTCTGGCCTATAGGCCAGCCTTGCTCTTCTGGGCATAGAAGTCACTGCTTTAAGAGCACAGGTGTGTTACTGACTGGCTCCTTGCAGCTGATGGGATATGGCCTGGCTTGACCTGCTATATAAACTGATGGCATGTTCCATTGTGTGGGTAGGAGAAGGTTTGTTATTGTAGGTATGAGATGGAGAGGAACAGCTAGAGACATCTGGATGAATCCAGAGCAGAGAAAGTATAGACTGCATATGGACAGCAGACTAGACATGACCAGGGCTATCTGTGAGAGAGGGGAGGATAGCAGGGGATAGATAGTTATTAGAGAAACATATTGAGAATAACAGGATTCTAAGGACAATGAGTAGCTGCCAGGAGGGAACTGGGATTCTGGGGTAAAGGAGGAGGTGAAATGCCTTTGAAATGAGTAGCAGGTACTTGGCAATACTGAGCCAGCCTGGAGACCAGCATAAATAAGCTTTGATATACTGATAGGCACCATTATCTCTTTTGCCTGAGGTAAGGGAAAAGATCCTTTTGGTAGAGGGGAACCAGCTCCACAAGTTCCTGAGGAATGCTGGCTTTTATCTGCCAGAAATCCTCCTGTAGTTTAGGTTGAGCTCATCTTTTGGAGTTCGGGGAATTGGAATTTCTTTTGGACCTGCCACCTGGCACCAGTAAAGAGGCAGTCAGTGAATGGGGGTGGGGGGGCATGGATGAGGATATGAATTGCTAAACAGATTTTATAGGTAGGACTGTTGTCCTTCTAGAAAAGCTTTTTTCCCCAGGGAACCCTGCCAGTTGGAGCACTTGCTCCCTTCAGTCAGACCTTTGGCTGCCTCTACTTGAGCACAGGGCCTCACCCACTCTGGGAGATGAGCTGTGCTGTGGAGATGGATGTGGGAAATGATTAGCCTGTGAGCCCCAAGTGGCGCATTATGAAGGCAGGTCAGTGAGCAGGGCAAGGGGTGCTTCATGGGCCCATGGCACATTCCACTTGGTACTTATGGGTGTTTCTGGACTAGGAAGCCTGGAGCATCATGTGGGGCCTCAACGTGACAGGGGATGGCTTTGCTGGGCTCTGAAACAATCAGGTCACAGATATTCCTTTAATCCTTTGAGTAAAAAGATTGTCTGAAAGGGAACTGAGGCTTACAGGGCAAATACCCTGCTCCAGATCTCATCGGGAGGGGCGGGTGCCGGGATACCAGGTTGTTTGTTTTGTTTTCTCCTGGCAAAGATCTTGTGGCAGAGTAGTGACTAACTTGGTTTTGATTTCAGCCAACAAGTGTCCCATCCAGCTCCTCTAGCTTGACCCTGCCAGGTATCAAAGAGGATAACAGCCTGCTCAACCAGGGGTTCCTGCAGGCCACCCTGCCAGGTACCAAAGAGGATAACAGCCTGCTCAACCAGGGGTTCCTGCAGGCCAAGCCTGAGAAGGTGGTGGTCACCCACAAGTCTCGGAGCCACATTCCTGCCCCTGCCCCTGTGAGTCTTGCTATGAACGGGTCCTGCTGCCCTTTCACCCCAGGGCCACACTATTCTGCCGCATTCCTGTGGCTGATTGTGTGATTAACTTCTAGGATCTTAGCCCAAATGCTACTTCCTTCAGGAAGCCATTGCTGACTTCACCCAAAGAGATTCCCCCAGCCCCATTTCCTTCCTCGCTAGGTCATTATCTGTATTTGGTTTGCTTAGTGCTCTGTTCTTGACAGTAGCTAGCCCGGTCCCTTGTATCACAGTGACCTCAGCTGCTCTGCAGTGCTGCCTCCTGCGTTGCTGTTAAGCCTGCAGATGAGGCATGACTTCCCCAAGATCATCAAAGAAAATGGAGGGAGCACAAGCTGACTTCCAGCATCCAGATGTCCTAGAAATGTCCCCACCCTTACTAGCCAGCACCACCAGTGTTTGTTATTGAGCAAACTCTCTCATCTCCTCCCAGATGACCAGCGCCTGGAAGATGGTGGCCTGTGGGGGCACCAAAGACCAGCTCTTCATGCAAGAGAAAGCCCGGCAGCTCCTGGGCCGTTTGAAGCCCAGTCACACATCTCGGACCCTCATTCTGTCCTGAAGGGGCTTGGAAGGCACAAGCCTGTTCTCATGTTTACAGAGGCTAGGGTGGGGGGGGTGAGGTGTGCATTGAAATTGCATTCAGGTGATCAGCGTCAGGAAGTCGTCTGCTGCCAGCCCCTCAGACTACTCAGGTGGCAGTAGAAGTAGCACACTATATCCTGTCCCCGGGTCTAGCTTTGGGATGTTCCTGGTGCTAACAGAACAAAGTCCCACTCCTGGGCCTGTGTGTCCTGTCCCCAATGCCTCAAGGAGCCCTGCTAGTTTCTCCCAAGCTCCCTTCTGGCCTGGCCTCATCTCAGACCCCTGCTTAGGATAGGGGGCGTGGCTAGGAGTGTTCCTTTTCTCATCCCCTGTTGGTACATTCTCTCCACAATAAAATGCCATTCTCCCTATGCAGCCCTGACTCTGCCTTCTAGGCCTTGTGCCTCAGTGGCTTTTCCTTGACATGTAGGCATGTCGACATTTATCCTCAGGTAACAGCTTTGCCCAGTGGGTTTCTCTGCAAAGCTCTCGAGAACTCTTGGTGGGGTGGAAGTTGCAGGTGGGTGGATAGAGACAGGCTCTGAGAGGGCTGCTGGAATGGTACATTGAGCTTTGTCCTAATGCACTACCACTGTATAGTACTTGGCTGGGGCCATGGGTGCCTCTTGGCCTCCAAGGAGATGCTGCCTTAAGCTGAGCCAGACATTAGGTAAAACCGTTAATGAGGAAGGGCTGGCAGAACCTTCCAACTCTGGTGGCCAGTGTGCAGAAGGCTGCTTAGCCCTGGGACCCTATGTCTGAGGTTGCTATAGCAACTGCCCAGACTGTTGCCTCCTTTGGTTAGGTTCAGTGGGTAGACCATGGTCCCTGGCTGACAGTCACAAGCTTGAAGAGGGAGATGACTGAGCCTAATGCCTACATCAGGAAGTGTTCAGTAGCTTACATGAGTGTCCTTGGGTTGGATGGACCTGTGGAAAGCTTATACTTAGTCCTGGTTACAGGGGAGACTAGAGGCAGGTCCTCTCTGCTAGGGCAAGAGATAACATCTGAAGACATTACTGAGCTGGTACACCAGAGTTAAGACACTACCCTGCTCTTAGGCAAGGGATGTTGGGGGCATACTCTACTCTTCTCAGCCTGTCTCCTACAGCCCATGTGTCTTGAGTCCCATGCTGAGGTAGGCTGTGTCTGAACTGTACCTGCCTCAACCCTGTCTTGTGTATGGGGGCCCTCATGCTCTCAGGTAGGCGCTATCTCTGAGGTGGCAGAAATTGAGGCTACCAGGAAGCAGAGGATGAAGGCTGCTAGTGCTCATGAGGCTCTTCAGTCTGGGCTCTCCAAAGGGTGGTGCCACCTGCATTTAGGGTGGGTCTTTTGAGCCCCTGGAATTTCCTTGGACATACCCAAATATGTGTTCCTAAATGTCAGCCAAGTTAACAAGAGTAGCCATCATAGTGTCTTTGCCTTTTTCTTTTCTTTGCCATAAAAGACTAGGTCTGAGTATTCCTGCCCCTCCAGCCCACTTCCAAATTACCACACAGACTCAATATTAATTACAAATTCTTGGCCAATAGCTCAGGCTTATTACTAACTAGCTTTTGCAACTTAACCCAATTGTAATGATCTATGTGTTGCCCCAAGGCTTGTGGCGTTTACTTGTCGACATGTCTTGCTTACTCTCCCTCCCCTCCTTCACAGCCTCCTCTGTCTTGCTGCCCCATCTATACTTCCTGTCTAGCTACCAGCCTGTCAAACTTTTTATTAAACCAAATGACACAAGTCATAACAGTGTACAAAAAGATTATTCCACAACATGTCTGCTTCCTTGGGGAAGAGGCCGAAACTGCATTCTTTCCAAAGATTTCCGCCAAGTATGGGGGCTGCCTGCTGTGGACTGGAAATGTAGATTCTTGGGTCCAAAGACCTTGGAGAGGAGCCCAGGCCCCTGGAAGTCTCTGGTTATACCGATGAGCTGGCCTAAGAGACCACAGGCTCAGCCCAGTTCCCTTTCCTGCCTCTGGTCTTGTTCTCAGGAACTACACAAAGGGGCGGTCCACTGGGGATGGGAGGACCTAGTGCCAGGTATTGGTGCCAGGAGCCAGCTGGAGGTGAGTTTGAGGGGACCTCAGCTGTGGTGAGGCCTTGCAGCCTTCACCAGTAGGATCAGTGCAGGGTTGGTGTGTCCTAATGTGATGAACTGCTGGGAGCGGATTATGAATACTGAGTGGGAATGGTCTGAAAGTTGGGCAGGGGTGAGCCAACAAGATCTGAATGGTGGACCGTATATAACATGGCCCCAAGGTGAAGATAACTGACGCTTAGATGCAAGAAGGGTCCCTTGGGACTCTGGGAGTCAATCTACTGAAGGAGGCAGGGGATTCCTGCTGTCACTGAGACTGTTGGCATGGGAATGTCCTAAACTATGCAGACCAGCTGGTTACAGACTTTGAGGAAGCAATCAATCCATATCTCAAGCTAATTGGAGGTAGTTTGCTATATAGACATTGCAGTCTCCCAGTTCTTTGGGGACAGGGCAAGAACTGAAGCAGGCCTAGGCAGCAGCTGATGGCTGGAACCTAGGTTCGGGCCAGCCTGCAGGGAGGGAGTGGGCTTGCCGGTGAGACTTGGAAGAATGTCGTGGAAGACTGAACAACTAGTGTTGATGGAGAGCTTCCCTGATCCAAGTTTGCTGAACCACTCAGTCCTTGACAGTCATGAGCCCATTGCCCTACTGATAAGCAGCTGATGGGAACTCCCCATACCTGGAATCAGGTGACAGGATGGGGTCAGCCTGTAGAGGCTTTTCTCCCATCCTTCCAGCTTCACCTTGCATTTAGCGTATGCATTTAAACCTCATTATGGAAGACTTCAAGTATATATAGAGGTAGGCTAAAGGTATAGCAAGTGGTAGTGTATGCCCAGTGTGTGCAAAACCCTAGGGCCCTAGTTACACAAAAGAGTAAAATGCCAGAATCAGTTTATATAACAGGTGATAGCAGGATCTGTTATTTATAACCAATTTGCTCATAACCCACACCAGACTTTTTTCCTGACCTTATACAACCATTCTTCCACTGTCCCCTGGTGTCCCGTTGGCAGATCTCTACTTAGTGCACTTAAATTCTTGCTAAGTTTTATTTGTTATTCAGGGCTCTCTTCCAGAGGATCCAAGCTCAGGTTCCAGTATCCCTGTCAGGCAGCTCACAGTCCCCCAGCACCTGCTAGGGCCTGGCATACATTCACATACAAGAATAAAAATCTAAAATGGGGCTGGAGAGATGGCTCAGAGGTTAAGAGCACTGACTGCTCTTCCAGAGGTCCTGAGTTCAATTCCCAGCAACCACATGGTGGCTCACAACCATCTACAATTTAATCTGGTGCTCTCTTCTGGCATGTAGGCAGAACACTGTATATGTAATAAATAAATCTTTTTAAAAATCTAAAATGGTTATTAGTGGATATGTGTTGGGGGCATTGCTGACAGTGTGCATATGGAGGTCAGAGGTCGTGTGGAGTTGATTCTCCACCTTTGTGTGGGTTCTGGAGATTTAACAGGTCAGCAGGATTGTGAGGCAAGTGTCTTTACCCATTGAGTAATCTTGTCAAACACACCCAGAGCCTTCTGTCTCTGCGCACAGGGACACATAGTATTAACTTTATGGGGACAATTGGAGAGGTAAGGGGGGGTGTGAAGTATGCCCAAATTATGCTTCAAAAAAGCGATTAGATTTCCTCCCAAATTGGATGTGGTGGGTCACTTGTGATATCAGCGGAAGCAGGAAGCTCACTTCAAAGTTCATGGCCAGTGGGTAACTACCCAGTAAGACCATGTCTTAAAAATAAAGATTTCTTCTATAAGAACTTATAGAAAACCTAATTATGGCTTCTGGCTGCAATTTTTTTTCATTAACCATAGAGTTTATTACAGGTGAAGTTGGAGAGGGAAGAGATGAAGAGGGTAAGAGAGAAGAGAGTGGGGGTGTGGAGGGGGGTTAGGTGTTGGCCAATCGGGAGCAGAGAGGGGGGAGGTGAGGAGCTGGCTGCTAGTTATTTTAATCTGTATATTTAAACCAGGTAACACGTTCACATATATGGACAGGCGAAGAATGGAGAGTTGTCTTCCATATTCCTTGGTTCCCTCATCATCCTCCCTTGAGGCAGTCAGTATTAGATTCTAGGGAGGAAGCTCTTTTATCAGGTGGTAACCACTGAGACCTCCATGGATAGACTCCTATAGCATCACGAGTATGCCATGCAAACAAGCAAATATGTTTCCTATCTGGCCCTGTAAAAAGGCCACATTATAATGTAATTTTTCTAGGCTTTGTTTTTTTATCAGTTAAACTCAGGGGTTGACAATCTACATCCCACTGGCCAAGTACAGCCTGCCTCTTTATGTAGACGGTTGTATTGGAACATGGGGTCACTGGCTTCAGTGTTATCTCTGGCTGTTTTCATGCTATAGAACCAAGTAGCTGCCAGAGAAACTGCAAGATGAGCCGAGCCTAACTATAAACCTTTCTGAATGAGCCATGCGCAGCGCCCAACATCTGTACAGTTTCTACACCTGGCTCATAAGACCTCTCATTTGTAAAGCTGCAACAGTTCCCTCAGTAAACCTTCCTTATGGGTAAGCTCATGCTGCTATGAATAACACCTCACTGAATAACTGTACTCAACCTCATTTTCTACATGTGGTTGTCTGTGCAGGGCGAAGTCTTAGATGTAGAATTATTTGATCAAAGCTCATGTGTGATAATCATTTTCATAGCTACTGTCAAAGTGTTCCCCAAGGAAATTGGTTCAGCTTACATTCTCACTTACACTATAAGCCCCACCTCCTCCGCAGAATCCCTAAGCCTTTTGGAACAATCAGCAGCAGGGCCAGTTACTTTGCAGGTTTTTATTCTGAGATTCGCGTCTATCCACGCATTTGAGAGCCCTCATTCTCCTGCTAGAGGTTTGCCCTCCTGGTCCTGGACTGAGGATCTTCAGGGGGTTGGTCTCCTCTCTGTGACTCTTGTGTGTCACTTTCACAAACAAGTTTTTGGGGAACAAAACTCTTAAGGACGAACATTGGGTGACAGTTGGCACCGTCAACATTCCATATATCAGGATTGGAAAGCCAACGGACCTGTAGTGTGTCCTCATCCTGCGGCTGTGGGAGACTGACTTGCAGAGGGCTCAGAGTGTCCTCTTCCTCCATGGAGCTTCTGTTGACACAAGTCGCTTCATGTTCAGCCAGCTTTCTGATAGGGACCACGTGGCAGGCATTGTATTTACAGCTGGCCATCTTTTTGGCTTTCTTGGGGTTCTTCTTCCTGCATGATGCCAGGTGGTACTGGAATCTGCTGAGTGGGATTCGGTGGTGAGGGTTATAAGGACAGATTTCTATGGATTCTGGCTCCATGGGG